GCTCTCCTCGCAGGCCTCGCTCTGGCCCGAGTTCGTGCCTCTCCTGTAAGACTGTGAGCTCGGACCTCCCCCTCCACTCTCCCTTCTTAGTGCCAGCGACCCTGCAGGGCGCTGCTCAGGTGACACCTCTTTCAGGAGGCTTTGGCTGATGTCCACAGATGGCAGTAGATTTCCATTCTTTCTCATGTTGTAATGATTTGTATGTGTGGGGAACACAGCCCTGTAGCTTTGTTTTTCCCCCTTAGAAATGCCCTGCAGGCAGGTTTTACAGCCCATTCTCAATTGTATCCATACACCCCCTGCTTTGCACATGGTACATACACAGTAGGCAGTGGTTTACTCTTGCAACAAATGCAGACGAGTTTTGAGTGGATTAAGAGGTCTGCATTTGGGAATGGAAGGAAACCAGGGTGCTTTGTTACTGTTATTTATTTGAAAGTCAGAGTTACACAGAGAGAGGAGAGGCAGAGAGAGAGGTCTTCCATCTGCTGGTTCACTCCCCAGATGGCTGCAACGGACGGAGCTGCGCCGATCTGAACCCAGGAGCCAGGAGCTTCTTCTGAGTCTCCCACACGGGTGCAGGGGCCCAAGGATTTGGCCCATCTTCCACTGCCTTCCCAGGCCACAGCAGAGAGCTGGATTGGAAGAGGAGCAGCCAGGACTAGAACCGGTGCCCATATAGGATGCCAGTGCTTCAGGCCAGGGCGTTAACCCACTGTGCCACAGCACCAGCCCCTAATTGTTTTTATTTTAATAAATAGGAATTAGGTATTTTTTAATCAGTAGACTTACCATCCAACAAAAGAACTGAGTCAATAATTGGAGATACTGGGGTTATCTCACTAAATATATAATTATTTTCTCTCACCTTCTCTCAGTGAATTTCACCTCTTATTGTCTCTTAGGAACAGAGGGCAAATATGTCCCAAAGCTTCAGGATCCCAGGATGAGAGCTTCATAAGCAATCCTAACACTACCATGGAGAAGCTGTTTTAAGGGAAGAGGTCACAGAATAGGTAGAAATTCATCTATAAGCTACACCCCATTAAATCACACAAATAAAGAAAAATTTGCACTCACAAAGATTAATGAGGCAGTAAATAGTGACCTGACAAAAAGCACTTAGCCCGGTCACCAAGCACTGGATGTACTGTGATTTCAGAAGTCCATCAGCCACAAAAAGCCAGGCGAATCCACCTGCACACACGTGGCTCAGCAAGTGATGGGAGCCGGGTCACGTGGCACCAGTCTGAGCCACACGTAAACAGATATCCTTTTTCCCCAGCCTTTTTAAAAGTCAGATAATTCTGGAAGGATGAATATTTTTCCAGTTGCCTCTTAAGGATCTTTTCCTTCCAGTCAATTGAAAATTGATTAACATGACTCATTGGCACAACACAGAACACAGTCAGGAAGTAAGAAACACCTTTCCGGTGTCTTAGTCACTTCTGTCTCTGACTCTTTGCTTCTTCACTTTAGCCTAACTTTGCTGTTTTCTGATTCGTTCAAAATGTTTGATGGACAGTGTCCTTAGTAGCAGGCATACGATAGGAACTTGGTGCATGTTGAAGGACAATAAGTTTCTTACACTGCATGTAGCATGCAGTGTTTTATTTGTGGTTTTGCCAGGTACAGTAAACTGTGGACCTTGAGTAACTAGAACGTAAGTATTTGAATTCTTTTAATTTTCTTCTTCTCCAAAGTGCCTAGCACAGGGCTTGGTGAATAACACACACACACACACACACACACACGGGTATGTGACGATGTAGAAACATGCAGACACACATGCATACACCCAGGCTTATTAGCTACTGAGTTGCTTAGAAGATCCTCAGTCAATGAACTTTAGGGCTTATGAGCCCGGCCTTTCTATTGTATCTGGAGAATACTGATATTTTTATAGGAGCCTCAGGGAAGAAAAACACCATCCCTGCTGATTCCAGTGGCTGCTTAACATGTTTGGTTTATGGTGGTTAGTCATGGTTGAATCACTGATCAATCTATGGTTACCAAGTCTAGTAAACAGATTGCTGTCTAATTTGTTACCATCAGTGAATTATGCACACACCATAGTACTGTTGACTGAAAACATCCCCATGGTTTAGATGGTTTTAGTTCTTATTAAATTGTCATTTACCTTCAGCCTGTTCCATTTTGATGTTGCCTAATCTCTTTGAGTTCAAAGCTATTGGCATACTTGAGTGTTAATAATACTCAAGGTGGAAGAAAATAAGGGGTCAAGAGTCAAGTGGAATATAAACCTGGGCACTTATGAGATGAAGACCTTTGGCCTGGTTACTTAACTCCTTGGAAAATCATTTTTCTCAGCTGTAAAAGGAAGGTAATAATAGTACACACCTCCTAGAGTTGCTGTAGGATCATGTGAGATCACGCGTGTAAAATACCTGGCATAGAATAATAGGCCTTAGAAAACGCTACTTCTAGTCTCTCCTCTCCCCTGGGTCTAACAATCCAAATATGCAATGCCTATAACGAGGTTCTTCCTAATGTAAATGACAGGGCGTTTGCCTGGTGCCAAACAGCACTCCCCTCTTCCCCACACACTGTCCCTGAGGCCCCTGTGACCTGGCCCTGCCAACCTTTCCAGCCCTGTCTCCCCCCTCACCCTCCCTTCCTGTGATGCCTTAAACCCAGGTCCTCGTGCCTCTTCCTCCATATTCCTTCCACCTTAGAACCTTCCAACACTCTCGCCCCCGTCTAAATTCTATAACATTCTCATCCCCCCTTCTGTGTAATCTCCAGTCAACCTTCACCTACCTGCTTACACCTGTAAGAACGTTGCTGCCACCCCTCCCCAAGATCATCCCTCCTCGTACAGGCTCTCGTACCATCCAGTTTTCTTTATTTAAAGTAGTGATCACAGTCTCTCTCTTAAGATTTATTAATCTATTTGAAAGTCAAGAGATATGTAGAGAAAGGGAGAGACAGAGAGAGAGAAGTCTTCCATTCGCTGCTTTATTCCCCAAATGGCTGCAATAGTCAGTGCTGGTCCAGCCCAAAGCCAGGAACCAGGAGCTTCTTCTGGGTCTCCTGTTTTGGGTGCAGGGGCCCAAGGACTCGGGCCATCCTCTGCTGCCTTCTCAGGAGCATCAGCAGGGAGCTGAATGGGAAGTGGAGCAGCCGGGACTCGAACCAGCATCTTTATGGGGTACCAGCATCACAGGCAGCAGCTTTACCTCCTAGGCCACAGCACTGGCCCAGTTATCACAGCCTTAATCATGTATTTGTATATAATTGCTAAGGGCTCAGTTGTGTTCCCACAAAATTCATATGTGAAACTCTAACCGTAGGACCTCAGAATGTGACTGCATTGGAGACTGGGCCCTTAATGAGCAGATGAAGTTAAAATGAGGACATTGGGTGAGCCCTAAGCCAATCTGATTTGTGTTCTACAAAAAGGAGATGAGGACCCACAGAGACAGACACCACGGAGAGAGAGGCCACGTGAGGACCCTGCCAGAAGCTGCACATCTGCGAGCCAAGGAGAGAGTTCCTGTGAGAAATCAAACCTGTAGGCACCTTGACCCTAGGCTTCCAGCCTTCAAAACTGTGAGAAAATAAATGTGTGTTGTGTAAGCCGCCCTGGCTGTGGTGCTGAATTACAGCGGCCTGTTCTGTAAACCAATGCATGTTTAAGGCCCAACTCCCTCCACCACTCTGTGAACTTCATAAAGACAGGGAACATGTTGATATCTCACCAGTGAACGCTCAGCACACAGCTCACTGGCTCAGGCAAGATTAATTCGTGAGTGAATGAATGATATAGGGTGTGTCAGTTTTTTGCTAAAAGCTTTTGGGATTCTGGGCTCTTCAGTGCTCCTCTCCTGTGAGATTGACAGCAGACATGTTGAATAAGTATTGATTTGGGAGAAGTAAGTGCTAGGTTCTAGATCACTGGATGGGTTCTGAAATGCATAGCTCTCATGCAGGACGGGGGCAGCTTAAGAGCAAGCACCCCACAGGTGGTCTGCCACCCTTCCAGGCGGTATGAGTGCCCAAGGCAGGGTGAAGGCAGGCTGCATGGACTCCCTGGCACCCTGCACGATCTTAGGATGACACCACAGCACAGGGAATGCAGACTCCATCATGAGTCTGGGAGGAGAAGCCTGAGTGACTTCCAGGTCCACTCTTCCTATATCTCCAGCACCAACCGCGTCAGACCCTCTGGGGAGCTCTGACGGCCCCATGGGATGAACTTGGAGTCCACACCTGTGCATGGGCATGTGGAGGCTGGGTGGACACCTGGTTTGAAGGACAAGAAGGTCCTCGCCCCTCCCTACAGCATCTCTCCATTACCAGGAGGCCAGACGCTGACAGTCCTCTCATCAACAGGTCACTCCTTGGGGACAGCATCACTGCATCTGCTTACCTCTTTTTTTAAAAATGAGCCCCTCCCCCACCAGGCACTCCACAGTTCTCGGCACTGTTTCCTGCAGATGGGCTCGGCCTGGCTAGGGCAAGCATGGGGAAGGAGGACAAAGGCACGTGAAGGGGCTTCATCAAGTTCATGCGAAATGCACATGACGCGACGCGTGGACTTCAAAATAAACTTCGCTTTGACTGCTCTTCTACAAACGGTAAGTTCCTTTGTAGACAGAGGAGACTCCGTCTTGAGTATAAACCCTGCCGATTCCATAGCTTTGCTTTGCTCTGGAGCTTCCGCTGCAGGCCCCCCATACGCCCAGATACCCTGAGTCACACAGCCCGGGACCTGAGGACCCCCATGGCTTGGAAGAAGAGGACTAACCGGTGTTGGTGTTGGCAGTTCACGGCCCTAGCAGGTGAGGAGCAGCAATCAAAGGAAATTCCCTGGGGACTGGCCTTTTGTTCTCTTTTGCTCCTGGGTCTGTAAATGGTTAATCTGCCTAAGCTGGTAGGAGAAGCTCTCTGGGCTCCTGTGAAGTTTGATTCCTGGAGGCAGATTTTTTTTTTTTTTTTTTTTTTTTTGAATACAGCAAGTGTCAGATAATTGGAAGGGTGGAGTAACTCTATAAACCAAGACACACCTTTGTCAGGACTTGTTGGGAAGCAAAGAGCTGAAAGAAACAAGGGGAAGAGAAAAAGTGAACATTTTTGAAAGATCACTCAGCTTTAACACACCTTGGCTGGATCTGAATAAAAAAGTGGGCGCTGCAAATTGCCCGAAGAAAACATCAGGGGAAGCAAGCGAGAGGGGATTTGTTCACAGGTGTTTGCGATTCCTTCCCGGGCTCAAGCTGGTGAGTAACAGGCGACTGACCTTCCTCCCTGTGCCTGAGCTTTGATTGAAGGTTTACATTTAGAAATTAAATGTTTATGGGAGAAAACAAAGTGAAGTTCTATCTATAGACTTTTTCTATCTTCCATGTTGTAAAATGGCTTGGGTTGCGCTGTGCTGTGTAGAAGATGATGCAGGCTTGTCGTGCATTTCCTCCCTATCTCAGTCTCTCTTGCTGTCTGGCTCTCCGACAGCAGAGGACAGCTCCAAGATGAAGTTCAAGTGCGAGGAAGCGGGGGGCCTCCTCGCAGCAGTCCTGGTGCTGCTGTCAGGTTCAGATTAAACTGGGCAAACATTGCTGTTTATTGTGCGATAAAATCCCTGCTGTCCTGAATCCAGAGGAAAGTACACTCTTTCACATGGTGTGATTAAGTCCAGGAACTTCCTAGGGTCAAGCTGTTGGAGGAAGGCAAGATAAGAAAGTTTTTTCTGTGTGTGAACTCTTAGTGACCAACCTGCTCCCCCTCCAAACCTCTTTGGGGCTGGGGGGGAGGTTGACCCGTCTCGGTGTCCCACTGGACCAGATTAGCTGCTGACAACTGATGGCTCCTCTCCTGGAAGCGGAGACAAAAGCTATGGCACATCACTTCTTTGGAGAGGCGGTAAATCAGCTTGCTACGTCCATAACTCAGAAGGAGGTTTTAAAAAGCGTTCACTTGAAAAGCAAAATAGTTCCCACTCCCCTCTGTGTGTTCTGTCTCTCGGAGCTAAGGCACAGGTCTTGGGCAGAGGCCCAGCCCCTGATGTACGATGCCCTTTGGAGAATCCAGGGGGCTTGCTTTTCAGTCCTGGGCCCTGCACACCCCACGCGAATCTGATCGGAGTTTATGTGGGGACAGTTAAAGGGGACAGTCCTGCTGTGACCTTGCAGACAAGCTTCTTAGGAGGGTGAAACTGATTGGATCTGAGAAAAATTCTACTTCTCAAGAGAGGCCTGTGCTTTCCTGGGTTGGTTCATGTGCCGTCATGAAGGGCAGCAGGACACGACTGTGGAGGAGCCAGTGCCCGTCCTGCTCTCCCTGGCCGTGAACATCGAAGGTGCCACACGTCTCCAGTTGCAAAGCTGCCTCTGGGGTTGCAGAGACAAAAACCTCTGACTTGGCCGGCGCTGCAGCTCAATAGGCTAATCCTACACCTAGCGGCGCCGGCACACCGGGTTCTAGTCCCGGTGGGGGCTACAGATTCTGTCCCGGTTGCCCCTCTTCCAGGCTAGCTCTCTGCTATGGCCCGGGAGTGCAGTGGAGGATGGCCCAAGTGCTTGGGCCCTGGCACCCGCATGGGAGACCAGGAGAAGTACCTGGCTCCTGCCATCGGATCAGTGCGGTGCGCCGGCCGCAGCGCGCCAACCGTGGTGGCCATTGGAGGGTGAACCAACTGCAAAAGGAAGACCTTTCTGTCTCTCTCTCACTATCCACTCTGCCTGTCAAAAAAAAAAGAAAGAAAAAAAAAGAAAGAAAGAAAAAAACCCTCTGACTTCCTGCCTGTCAAGCAGCTTTGACATTCTCACTGCAGTTTTGTTTTTAGATTTAAAGTGTAAGAATACCCGTGATTTCTCGGCAAACTACAGGACCCTAAATGTGTTCCTAAAATTAAAAAGAGAGAGGGGGAGACACTTAGCTTCTCCTCTTCTTCTTTGTGTCAAGAACAAAATGTCTCCTTGTCTTCAGAGTGGGAGAAAGTTGGTATGATGGTTTGCTGTCTCTAACAGAAGTTGGTCCTTGTGTGTGTTAGATCACATCATCATTTGAATAGCATCAGGTGAATGTGACAGAGCAAAGTGGAAAGAGAAAGACCTTCTAGCAGTAGAAACCTGGTTTCAGATTGTGTCTTCTTGCACAAGAAAACACTGGGATGGCTTTTACATCCCAAACAGCGCGCTAGCTATGAAAGCGCAGCCAAGCGGCTCTGTGGCTCCGTGCCTGGGCATGTCCTGAGACTCGAGTGGAAGCTAAAACATTGCTTTCGTAGAGGGAGGGAGTAAAATAGTGGCCGCTAAAGACCAGGGAGGTAAGGGGGCAGGAAGGATGGAGGGAGGCAGGATAGGGGGCATAGAAATAGAGCTGGAGAGCAGGACTCAGACCCGGAGCCTGTCAGCACCACTGCACTGCTGATCATTTATTTCATGTTTTATAAAGAACTCGAAGGCAGGTCATAGGCCCCAAACGCTAGGCAATAATAAACATTGAGGGAGATGGAAACGCTAATGGCTCGGATTTATCAGTCCATAGTACTGACTTGGATGGAATTGCCACACTGTAGTCGGAGCACACACAACAGGCATGGGTCAGTTGATGACACACACACGCACACACACACACACACCCTTTTTTTTTTTTAAAGATCTATGGAGGGAAATCAGGATATGGACTTGAGAACTTGAATAGCCTGCTATCCTTAGTTCTAATGAAGTGGCCCAAATGTGCATAAAGTTTAAAGTGAGTCTGTTTTCCAAGCTCCCGTTAAGTAGCGCTCTGGGAAGATGAGGGTTCAGGTGGGCAGAGCCAGGCGTGGCAGGCTCGGGCACGTAGCTGTGCAGGAAACTCTCTTTAACGTGGCTCTTTCAAAAACCATCCACACTTAGAATGTATAAAAGAGAAGAACCGTGAGGCTAGCAGAGGTTCCATGGGATGACCCTAGTCTAGGTTTGTGACTCAACCCATCCTTGTCCCGTTCATAACTCACTGTGAGAAAGCTTCCTGTCACCTCTGGTTTAAAGGAGTCTGTCTCACAGCACATCCCTGCCCCTCCGCAGGTCGCCGTGACTGAGGAGTCTTGGGCTGTGGGGCACACAGCCAGTGAGTGGCTTCAGGCTGAGAAAGAGGCATTCTCCCGTACCCACCAGGGGTAGGTTTTCCCGCGGGTTCCCTCCACGGTGGAACTCCCAGCCCCTGCAGGAGGGCATCTGATTTCCTTCCTTCCTTCCCTCCTTCCCTCCCTCCCTCCCTCCCTCCCTCCCTCCCTTCCCCCCTTCCCTCCTTCCCTCCTTCCCTACTTCCCTCCCTTCCCTTCTTCCCTCCCTCCCTTCCCTTCCCTTCCCTTCCCTCCCTTCCCCTTCCTTCCTTCCTTCCTTCCTTCCTTCCTTCCTTCCTTCCTTCCTAGGATTATTTTATTTATTTGAAAGAGTTACAGAGAGGTAGAGACAGACAGAAAGAGAGTCTGCCATCCACTGGTTCACTTCCCAAATGACCACAACAGCTGGAACTGGACCAATCCAAAGCCAGGGACCAGGAGCTTCTTCAAGGTCACCCTCATGAGTGCAGGGGTCCAAGCACTTGGGCCATCCTCTGCTGCTTTCCCGGGCACATTAGCAGGGAGTTGGATCAGAAGTGGAGCATCTGGGACTCGAATCGGTACCATATGCGATGCTGGCACTATAGGCCGGGGCTTTAACCCGCTGTGCCACAGCGCCACCCCCAAGGACATCTGATTTCTTAACAGGCTGCTTCCTCAACTTGCAGGGGATGTGTGTTGGCTTTTTGTTACAGATCTAGCCTTGAATATTGGGGTTTAGAGGAAAGATGGAGGGCAGAGAACTGCCTGTTGTTTTTCTGGATATAGAAAGAACAAGCACAACGTGCCAGGTTTAGGACGTGGAGACTGAACTCTTAGCAAACAGAGCTATCATTCATCTGCCTTCATTGCGACAAGTGGAAGAATCCTAGCCTGTCCCAGATTTATAGCCACTAGCCCCAACTTTCACTGAAGAATCAAAACAAGCCGTAACTCGTGGGAAGTAAGTGTTCCATGGATTGTTAAAAACGTCCCCTTCGGGATAATATTTTGTATCAATTCAGGTGCAATCCTAGAGAGCTAGTCACCTTTCCCTGAGCACCCAGGTACATTTACTCTCCCCAAATGCCTCCTGGTCCACAGCCAATGACCAATTGGGGAAAATAAAAGGCAGAGAGGAACTGCGGAGGCGCCCACGGCTATTAATGCTCAAACAAAGGCTTTCAAAGAAGGTGTCCCAAGCCCGCCTGGGGTGCATGACATAAGTCGGACAGGTTGTAGCTGGAATGCAGATGCAGTCACAGCCTTGGCCTTGTAAAGAGGCTGGACTCCTCTAGTGTTAAACTGCTAGGGAGCCCCTCCTCCTGGCGCCAGGAAACCTACTCATTCTGTGGCTTCTCAGATCCAGCTAGAATGTTTTCCACGATGCCTCATTCCATGCCTAGAGATGCATTTAAGAAACACGGATGAGCAAGAGACTGGCACAAGACGGTGCCTGTCTTGGTGAATTCCAGCAGACAGTTTTCAGCTGGTCTCATGAGGTCTTGGTTTTCAGCATGGAACCTACTTACAACCACATTATGACCATGTTGCTCCATTGAAAGAGAACTAGAGAAAGTGAAGAATACTATAAACTTATCTTTCACAACTACCTAATGAAGAACGTAACCTGGGATAGATTATGTTCATTATTCCTTCTGATTTTAAAGAAATTAAACCAAAGTGGTATGAGCCCAGGCACTGTATCCGCTGTACTTAATTGCTAAGCCATCCCCAAGGGCACCAAGCAGGAGAGCTCAAACAGCAAAGGACTCCTGGGCAGAAATGGCTTGAATCAGGATTCTAGAATCAAGTTCTAACTGCAACCAAAGATAAATGAAGAGGAGCAGAAGGTGAGCAGAGGGGAGAGGTCCACAGAGAAAGCCAGAATTCCAGTCCTTCAAGAAGTTGGGCCCAGCCACTATTGCAAAACAGAGCCCAATAGGGCTGGGGATCCTTGCTGTACATTCCTATGTGTTTAAGCCTTGAACCCCATCCCTACCACCATCACCACCACGCCTTGAGGTCAGCCCCACCTCCTATCATCCATGCACAGGGACACAGCAGGTAAGATCTGAATTGGCTGTCCTTTCCAGAATCAGAGTAAGTGAGAAGAGAGAACATAGTTCCATGAGTGTATGTTTTTCTACATATCTGTGGATTTTAAGTTTATTTTCTTGATCAATTTTTTCCTACTTATGTCTACATATAGGCATATGAGAGCCAGTTTTTTATGAAGAGAAACTTCTATCCTTTGAAAGGTGTCAAGTTCCATGAAAGTTTGGCAATCATAATGAATTGTATTCTGATTTAAACCCTTCAAGCACTAGTCTCACATCCAAACTAACAGCAAAGCATGGTAGTCTCACGTTCCTAGAGTTCCATGTGGGACGCTGAGCAAGCAGGGGATTCATCAGGATGCCTCTGTGGCTAGCCTGGAGGGCCTCCACAGGCATCCTGCTGCTCCTTGTCCTGCAGGGGATGGGAGTTACACTCAGACGAAGGTCAGGGCCTCCGTCTGCTCTGTGAGCCCGTGGGTGCTCACCAGGAAGCAGGCCAGTCAATTAGCTTCTGAAAACTAGGATCCCAGGACAAAGGAATAGAATTCAAAGTGGAACTATGAAATGACTCTGGATTATAACTTACGGCAAGAAATGAGAATGACTCCTGTAAACAAATATGCACGTGGACGAGTTCCCCTACAGATTTCAACTGAAGGAATCAAGTTTTTGGTTCACAACTTGAACAACCTACACTTACTAAAGGCCACGGTAAGGGGTGGGCATTTGATGCAGTGGTTAAGACTGCACATCCCATGTTAGAGTGCCTGGGCGCCTGTCCCAGCTCTCCTTCCAACCCAGCATCCTGCTATTGTACATCCTGAGAGGCACTGACGTAAAATAATATTAAAAATTTAAATAAAATAATAAAGACATTGATTGAGTTCTAGGCTCTTGGCTCTGACCTGGTCCAGCCCTGGCTAGTATGGGCATTAAGGAAGTGAACCAGCAGATGGAATATCTCTCTCCTTTCAAATGCATTAAATAAATAGAAAAAAAATTTTATTAGACAGGCAGAGTTAGACAGAGAGACAGAGAGAAAGGTCTTCCTTCCGTTGGTTCACCCCCCCCAATGGCCACTAAGGCCAGCACTGCGCCAATCCGAAGCCAGGAGCCGGGTGCTTCCTCCTGGTCTCCCATGCGGGTGCAGGGCCCAGGCACCTGGGCCATCCTCCACTGCCTTCCTGGGCCACAGCAGAGAGCTGGACTGGAAGAGGAGCAACTGGGTCTAGAACCTGGCACCCATATGGGATGCTGTCACCACAGGTGAAGGATTAACCAAATGAGCTACAGCGCCAGCCCCATAAATAGAAATTATTAAAAATAAGTAAATAAAAGCAAGAAACATGACCATTCCTGGTTTCTGACTTTTCCCACACAGGTGGCTATGGGATGGATGTAACCAAGAAAAACAAACGAGAAGGCACGGAAGTCACTGAAAGACGTAAGAGCACCCACTTTTTTTACATTTATAATTATTTCATAGCAAAGGTAATGAAAGTGTTGGAAACAGAATAACGGAGTCGCTCATGAATCTACAGACAAGTTCCCAAGTGGACCTTATTCCTCCCCAGAAGATGACCCTGTTGACTCATAGTCTAACACACTTGTGATTAAAATGTGTCCTGCTTTCTCCTCGAAGGCAAAAATTGCCATTTCAATGTAGTTTTCCTAACCAGCATTTTTAATGAGTATATAGTATTTTGTTGAATAAGTTCATCACAGTTTGTTTAATCATTTCTCTTTGTAGGTTGATGGGAAAACAAAAATCTGAACATGTACTATCCCAGTGACTGCAGGCCCAAAGATGAAATGACATTAGTGTCATAGTCAAAATCTACACTAAAAATTTAAAAGACACATTTATTTTGTGAAACTGCCCGAATGATAAATTCAGAGACATTTAAACTGTCCCCCTTGCAACTCTAAATTAAGGAACTTTTTCACTTACTCTGTGACTTTCATATATCTTCAATAAAATGTTCTGGCTCCACAGACTTGGAACTTTAGGTTAGGAAATAATTTATTTTTATGTGTCAAGAAATCCCAAAGGTCTATACAATGAGAGGTTTAGCGAAAGCTCAAGGACTGTTATTCAAATCAAGCTGACACTTCACTCTGAAAAACCATTCCTTTTTATGCATTGAATGCTGTTTCATTTATATTCGTGACCCCCAGGCTCCTGCTTGGACAACAAAACTAATTAGGAAACTGTAGTGTAAAGCAGGACAGGAAAGAGAGCAGTGTGGGGTGGGCGGGTGCCCACAGTGCAGCTCCACGTGGCACAGAATGATCCTGCCCTGGCTCCTTCCACTCTGCTCCCCCCTCGGCAGCCCTGCCCACACACGGGAAGTCTGCTTCAAAGATCAGCCATCCCAGCCGACAAGCCCAAGGGTAAAGGAGTTGGTGACACTTGTGGTCAGAGCACAAAACTGGCCCTGCTGTGGTCTGGGGACTCTGCCTCTCCTCCTTGCGCTGCCGCAGGGGAAGGGGCGACTCGGGAAGGCAGGAGCTCTTGCTTGTAACTGGCATCCTTGAGAACACCTGAAACTTTTATGGCCTCCATAGACTCCTGATCTCTCAAATCCTGAGAAACTCAGTTATGGGAGTGTGGAGGGAGGAGATGCAAAGGAGCTGGTTCTTCAAGTGTGCCTGGTACTGATTTTACCAAGCACCAAATGTGGGTCACCCAGACCCCTTCCTTCCCACGCCTCTCCACGCTCAACGCTGACCCTAAGGATTTTGGAGTGAATCATGGTGTCCTGAAGCATTTCCAGATTCGTAGAGCAGTGCTCAGTGACATCAGCCAGGCTGCTGGTCCCAGCTGGACTGGGTAGACATCTGCATGGCCTTCCTTCAAAGTCAGACTCAGAGCCCAAACCAGACCTAATTGTCAAAGGTGCTACGTTAATGCCAAGACAACTCATTTTGAAATCAGTGGGTAACTTATTTTGGTTCCAAAGAAATAGAAAGTAGTTTTCCGATTACACTCAGCTTCATTGTTATTGCTCATATTTTCATGCCCTGTGAAGTGGATACCAAACCTGAAAGCACAAATGCACACAAATCTATGTTGAGCCAACTGTAATATGCCGAGCCTCTGACAGCTGGGGGACCTTGCCAAAATACAGAGATGTTATTACGCCCCACTCGACCTCATCTTTCCTTTGTCTCATTCCAGTTATCACTGAAACAGTGACTACAAGACTTACTTCTTTACCACCAAGTGAGTAGCTCCCTCCGTGGCTGCCTTCTCAGTAGCTCACATGTGAAGACCCCACCCCTGTCATCTTGTCCATGATAGCTCACGCTCCCACTGAACAAAACCAAATTACCTGACATTTTTTGGTACCAGCTGTCTAGATGTTAATTTGTGTGTCACAGAGCCTGCCAGGTTAAAGTGTGTAACTCAGTGGTGTACACTTAGTGTAACAGTGTTAGAGTAGTCACAGAGCTGTTGCTGGCATCTGAGAACATTCCCATCTCTCTCCAAAAAGAAACTTCATGGCCTTAGCCATCATTCCCAGTCTCTCTGCAGGCTCTGGAAACTACAGCCTTTCTCTCTGGGGCTATAGATTTGCCTATTCTGGACAATGGAATCAGAAATCTTATCCAGCCTGAGAGAGGTAGCAGGAAAGGACTCCATCCAGTGAAGCTTCTGTTTGAGTTCACTTCTTCCCAGGCACTCCTGAGGGTTCGTGCGTTCTGCATTAGGCGTCTGAGCCCCAAAGCTACCCCTGCACCTCCCAGGAAAAGCCTGGCTGGCTGGGAATGTGCAGAGCCTGCCCATCAGCTGACAAGGTTGGAGCTGCAATGGGCTGCCGATGAGATGCCAGCACCCCAAGCTGTCCCCTGTCCCTCCGACTTGTTTGGCGTGGCCATGTCTGGGCACTGGAGAGGCATTTGGAAAAAGCAAGCCCGATCCCGGTCCTGGATGCAAGGAGCTGTGCCTCACTCAGCTGCCCTTTCTAGCTTGAAAATTTTCCAATGAGCATCTGGCTATGCCCTACCCAGAAGTCTTTCCTTCTAAATCCAGCCGAATACTTACCCTAGATATTTGCATCACAAACAATACAGAGCAGGCAGCTCTCAGCAGCACCCCATAGCATAGGCAGAAAAGACACCCCAAGCCAAGTGAGTCCCGGTGACAAACAGGAAAGGCTTCCACAGGGCTGGGGGTGAGGGTACCTTCTGACCGGACTTGGCTCTAAAACTCTCACTTCCTTTTTGCTCCTGGCAGAAGGGGGCACGGGCAATGGCTATGCTAAAACAGGCTCTCTCGGTGGAGGGAGCCGGATGGAGAAGCAAAGCCTGATCCATGGCAGCAGCAGCTACATAAACTCAAGTAAGTGGCTCCTGGTACAAAGGTCCGGGAAGAGCAGATGGGCAGGGAGGCCCCACGGGCTGACACATCCCGGCTCAGTGCACGCCCGGGATGATCGCAGCTGCTTGTCACCCATTCCAGATGCCCAAAGAGCTATCTAAATGACACACAGTGCAGGGAGGGAGCAACTTTTAAATTACCAGCGTTTGAAGACTCCTTAGAAAAAGATCAATTTTCATTAAGTTCCAAGTAGGAATAACTTTCATTAATTAAGAAAGCTTTCTGGGTAGGTGGCTTTTTACTCACTGAATCGCTCCCTCTAAGACCTCTCTTAGAGACGGGTGTGCCGGTTTGAGGGTTTACGATTTGTATTAACAATGAAAGAAACAGAACGGTCGGGTTACTGGGCTAACAGCATCTGCAACCTCATGGCGCACGATTCCAACACAGGCCCAGCGTTCCCAGTGAAACATCCTGGCAAACTCACAACCTCGCACAACAAGGCAAAACAAACTCAGAAATGAGAAGCACACACGCCTAATTCCTGAAGCCCCTTAGAAAACTGTGAAGGGAAACTGGCAAGTCAGACCCCAGGCCCCAGAAGGGCCAGGCTGATGGCTAGGAACTAGGAAGGCGTCACACTTCTCAGTCGGGGACTCGCCAGTCTGTGGAGGCAGGGGTCCAGGAGCAAACACCGGGGCCTCCAGCCAAGCCCTGCTAGCCCTTTCCATTCACGTTCACAGGACCATGAACCTGAAGGGCATCCCTGTCCCCCGGGGAATGCACGGGAGTGAGAAGCAATAGCCAACCCCCCCCCCCACTTCCACTTCCTGGCAGCCCCAGGAATGCCAGGGCAGGCCCTTTCAGCTGCAGCCTCCTCTGCACCCTGGCCCCCCAGGAGAGCCCCCTGTCAGTTAGGGGCTGCCTGAGTGTCCTTGGGAAGATCCCTGGGTCCCTGTGCCCTTCTACCCGGTGCTGGCTCAAGGACTGATGCTTTTCCCTGCTCGCAGGTGGAAGCCTCCGAGGCAGCACCTCCACCTCCAGTTACAGGAGGGCCCACTCGCCTTCCTCCACTCTGCCCAACTCACCAGGCTCCACCTTCGAGAGGAAAAGTCACGGGACCCGCCATGGAGCCTACGAAGGTACCCGTCCCCCACGCGGCCTGAGAGAGCCGTTCTCTTCCCAGCATTTCACGCTGCCCTCCGATGTGGGCGTGGGCATGTTCTTTTCTCTTGCAGGTTCTTGCCTCACACAGAGATAGGAATTCCAGGTAGAGACTAGCGATGTGCAAATAGGAACAGGATTTATTTAACAGTGAGGGTACAAACATACATTCACGCATGAGCGAGGGGCCCTGTAGAGAGAGACACCCATCGTGAGTGGGCCACAGGGTTGCCTATGAAAGAGAAAACTAGAGCAGTGCATCCAGCATGGTCCATGACAAACAGAAGCCTCACCTCTGTTCTAGGCCTCTTTTAGTGAGGTATGGGTGGTGCCTTAATCAGGCATAAAAATGCAGTGGGATCCTACCAAGCTCCTTGCTCCAGGATGAGACCAGGGCATCCTGGGAAGGTGGCATAGCAAGCCGACAGTTAGGGAGGGACACATTGCAAGACTGTGAGAATTCCAGCTCACCTAAACTTTGACTGGCTCCCTAGTGACACTATTTCACTCTGAAGGGCGACACATTGCCCATCTGGCTTCGCCTGCGTCTGCCCCTCACCTTGTCCCCACCCTGCCTTTTTTTTTTTCACCCTTCTTTATGGACTCATTACTTGAAGATGTTACCATTCATTTACCACTTCATTCATTCAGTCATCCATTTCATCACTTTTCCAACTAGACTTTTTTATTTTTTAAGATTTTATTATGTTTATTTTAAAGGCAAAGTTACAGAGAGAAGGAGAGAGAAAGATACAGAGAGAAAGTCTTCTGTCCACTGATTCATTCCCCAAATGGCTGCCATTGCCAGGCTGGGGCCAGGCTGAAGCCAGGAGCCAGGAGCTTCTTTCTAGTCTCTCACATGGGTACAGGAACCCAAGCACCTGTACCATCTTCCATTGCTTTCCCAGGCACACCAGCAGGGAGCTAGATCAGAAGTGGAGCAGCTGGTACTCAAACCACTGCCCACACGGTACAATGGCATCACACGCCATGCTTAACGTGCCACTCCACAATGACGCCCCCTGCAACTAGTATTTTATTAAATGTCTTCCATGTGTTTAACACTGTGTCGAATGCGTTACATGAATCAGACATAGAACTGGTCTTTAAGGAGCCTGTAATCTAACAGACAAAGATGACAGATTAAAAAGAAAAAATACTGCAGAGTAGGTTATCACTTTCAGCTAAGGAAATCAGGAAAGACTGGGCCTTCACAATGCATAAGAGGCTGATACCCAGAGGTAGAGAGTTCCAGTCCAGGCTGGGCAAGCAGCAGCATACAGAGACAGGAAGGAGAACCCAGGGCTGGTACAGGAAGTGGCCTGGTACCCGTGCAGAGAGAGCTGGAGGGAGCCAGATTCAATATGAAGCTGGAATAAGAAATTTGGACTCTATTCCAGACACATTGAGAAGGCAGGGATTTTTTTTTTTTTTTTAGCAAAATAGTCCATCATATTTGAGGTCAGGGTAAGAACTCTGGGAGACACGTGCAGGAGGAACTGGTGAAAGAGAGACTAAACACCAGTACTGAGCTAGGAGGAGAATGCTTTTCCAGGCCTGGGCTGGTAACCTTGGGATAGGAGGGGCTGGCGGTGAAAGACAAATGGTGGGAGGTGGAACTGGCAGGAGTAGCCGTGGCTTAAAAGTCAGAAAGAAACTGAGTCAGCGGCTCCCAGTCAGGTGGGGTTCCTGGTGGTGCTGACAGCTACAGCAGGGACCCCAGGTGGAGGACCCCACATAGACGAATTCAGTTGTTTTGTCCTGAGATGAAGCTGTTCTCAGTGGCAGGCAGGCAAGCATGCAAGAAGCAAGGAAGGAGGAAAGGGAGGCAAACAGGGCCCCTGCTTTCCCTGGTCAGTACCCTGCGCCTCTGAAGCGATTCTGGACCACAGTGGTGCGTCCAGCTCTGCACCTGAGCCTGGAGCACCAGGAAAGTCCGCTGATGCCCTTCCAGAATCCCAGGGCTGTGGAGACTTGGGCGTGGCAGATACCCCACCCTCTGGGAAGCCCCAGGGGCCGGGCAGCCATCTGTACTCAGTGTTTTATTCCCTCTCTGCAGGGAGCTCCAGTGGCAACTCCTCCCCTGAGTACCCCCGGAAGGAATTCGGTATGTCCTCTCCTGGTTTTCTGCAGAATCGGTGCAAAGAGGCTCTGGGAGAATGCTCCAGTGGCGGGGTGGGAGGAGCGGGGGACTTCGTGGGTTAAATGGAGGCTCCCAAAGAGCCTTGACCTCTGCTGACCCATTTTCCGCGTATTCTTTGTCCTCTGATGCACCCAAAGGTACCTTCTCAAAGCACTACTAAAATGGCAAAGTGTTTGGACAAGGTTCATGCTTGGAGAGATAAACCCCCAGGGCAAAGCTGTATTGTAGGGGTGCTCCCCTCCATCAGACACAGAGACCACTCAGCAAGGAGGGGCAGCAGTTAGAATGCACACGAGCCAAATACCCCAGCACCTTGGTCTAGCGCACTTCAAAGGGGCAGGCTGTAGGCTGAGTGAGACCTTGCTCTGAGCCTTCACTTGGCCCTGTGTCTTTGGTCCCTGTTCTTGGAAGCCCATTCTGCCTATGAACCAGCCACACAATGTCAATTACAGTAGCGATTGCAACTGTGTTTATTTGCTTATGGAGGGAGAAACAGGGTGGTCTCTAAACAAGCATAGAGCAAACTTGGCAGCCTTGGGACTCATTTGATCAGTGTACTCAGCCAGGCCGAGTGGACCACGCGTCGAGCAGGCACTTCAGCTAAGTGAACACCCTCAGTGTGCCAGGGCACCACTGAGCATTCTCCGCCCTTTCTCTGCGGGATCGCTGTTTATTAAAGCATCAGCCATACAGAGAAGCTCCATCCAGATTTAGACATACTATGAAAATAATACCCCCCAAAATACATCTGCTTCTTTGAAAAAATATTGAACAGACCACCTCGAATACACGCCTAAAATTACTTTTTGTTTGTTTCTCAGCATCTTCTTCAACCAGAGGACGGAGCCAAACACGAGGTGAGTGCTCACGCTGGGTTCAGATCAACTCCTTCAACAAATGTTCTCTGAGCAACTGCCATGTGCGCAGGGGGAACAGAATAAATACGGGTGGATGCTGCCCTCAAGGAGCTTAGAATATCCTGGGAAACTTTTGCTCGCTCTGTCGGGATGAGAAGGATAGCTTTGGCCATGATCTCTCAAGCAGGAAGCAGCAGGAGTGAAAACGCATGGTACCAAACCAGCGAAGCTGTCTGGCCTGGGTTCTCCGTAGAGACAGCTACCCTGGGGGATTCCTCTCTAGGTTCTGGGTTGACTTGCATTGCCTTTCTGCAAAAGCCCATGGGTTTCAAGTTCTTCCAGGGACAAAGGACTCTTTGTAATCTACTCCCATGGCAGAGAGATGCCACCCTGGGAAAAGCTGCCCTGAAGGGGTCTATGGGGCTGGGAGGGGCCAGGCTGGGGAAGGCAGACTCCTTCCCAGCTTGGTGATTCACCACACCAGCCTAGACTTCCTGCAGGCCGTGTGGTCATCAAGAACTGGTGAGTTGGGAACACACCGTGATTTGAGGCTGACAGTTGAAAGAGACTGCTTTTCCATCTGAAGCCAACTAATAAGCTGCCCACTCCCTGCCCTTCCCATTTCTGAAGAGACAAACACTGTAGGTTTTAGAATTCTAGCATGGCTGAGAAGCCACGGAGGCAGCAGAGAAGTGTGGATCTGGCGTTTAGGAACTGGACCACGGGAAGGGGTGGGTCTGTACTGAGAGTCATGGGCCACCTTGCCCAGCCTGGGACGTGTGCAGCTGGCAGGTGGGGTGCAGAAGAGGGGCCGTCCCTTTTTAAACAGCACCTTTCTTGGTTGTCCTTGGCTTCCTGTTGCCATAACCAGAAATCTCAGGGCGGCCCAAGGACTCCTCTGCCATGCAGAGTTGGGTGTCAGGGACTGGAGTGGCTGCCGCTCCATTCACAGCCTCTCCAACTCTTCCCTTGCACAGAGAGCGAAATTCGAGTTCGACTGCAGAGTGCATCCCCGTCTACCAGATGTAAGTGGTAACTACTTTGCTGAACAGAAAGGATCCAGGAATCCAGGCTAACCGTGTGTGTGTGTGTGTGTGTGTGTATGCACGTGCGTGCATACACGTCTGCCCTCAATTACCAAACGTCTGAAAGACTTTCTATGAGCTGGAACCCTCGGCCGGTGCTGTGTTAGTTCCTGAGCAAGTCATGGCACCTGCTGCTTAGGGGTTCACAGACTCCTGGGAGCTGGCCAGTCAACAGCCCATCCCAGCTCAGTGTGCAGAGGAGCACAGAGGAGAGGCCCCTCGTCGGCCAGAGTGGAGTGCAGCTGCGGGGCACCCCCAGAGGCCTTCCTGGGTTAGGTGTTGCTTAAAGGGAGATGAAGAACAAATCAGAGTTAGGCTCAGAGGATGGAGCCAGCAGGAAACCCCCAAGGCACAGCTCAGTGCAGGGAGTCAGTGGGACAGTTAGGAACAGAGAAGGACCAGATGTCAGAGTTCACGCCAGCCTCTAGCTGTGGGAGTTGTTGGCCTCCTGAAATTCAAGTGGGAAGTTACTTGACCACTTTTTCAAGTGAGCCCCACCTTTAGGGCAGGAGCCAAGTACAAGGAGTCAATGAAGGAAAAACTAGGCCAGGGGACTCCAGATGCAGAGGCGTGGGGATGGGGAGTGGGTGTCCAGAGAGCTCAGCGCTGGGGGCATGGGATCCAACTTCAGGTCTGACACCCTCCCACCTGAGTCCTTCGGGCCAAGGAGTGCTGAGCCTGGAAAGGATGGTGCTTTCCAGGAGGTGGGGCTGGGAGCTCCCCCAGCACAGACGAGCTGTCTGCACATGTCTGCACGTCTGTCTGCCCTTACATACCAACCTTGCGGGATGTCAGCCTCCTCTCCTGTCTCCCACTTCAGGAGGTGTCAGGGGCTTGCTGTGCTCGTTGTCCTAGCTGCAAACAGGACCAGCCAGCCAGACTTGGAAGTAAATGACATGTGAAAGCAGCCTAATGCTTAGGAGTTAGGGCTGCAGACTCCAGCTGATGCTCCTGGGCACACGAGGGTAGGGACCTGACCTCTGAGGCTCCCTGTGCAGGAGGCGTGAGTACTGCTGAACCACTCGTTCCAGGGGGCCTGGCTCTCTAACTGTCCCACACACAGATCTCCCCGCTGGTCCCAGAGGCTGGGCTCTTCCAGCTGCAGCGTCACCCGTGTGGTGTCTTGTGAGGGCTAATTAGGAAACCTCTCCCGAGGACTCTGACATCCTTTCGAGAAGCTCTGTTCTCCTGGGGATGTTAACATTACAAAGTGCCACATTGTAATTTTCAAAATGCAAATATTTTTAAAAGATTCTTTGAAGGGCAGAATTAGCAGGGAACTGGATCCGTAGTGGAGCAGCCAGGACTCAAACTCTTCCCTGATGTGGGATGCTGACATCACAGTTGGCGGCTTAACCCTCTGTGCCATAATACTGGCCCGGCGAAATGCAAATGTTAAAGTGATCATCCCCAGTGTTCCATGTGTGAAGCAGATGCCATTGGCCCTAGTGTTTAGAACGTCTTCAGTGTTCTTCCCACTGCAGCTGGACTCAGGGAGGAATCCTGGGCCTAACCAAAAGGCTGGGGGACTTCCCACAGGGACAGAATTGGATGATGTTAAGCGATTGCTCAAGGGCAGCCGGTCCGCAAGCGCGAGCCCCACTCGGAATTCCTCCAACACACTCCCCATCCCCAAGAAAGGCACCGTGGAGACCAAGATGGTGACAGCCAGCTCCCAGTCGGGTAAGCCCCAGGACCCCACTGGCATGGGGGAGCTGGACAAAGAGGGCGGTTCTCCCCAACCTGGGTACTCGGAGCACCCTGACAGACCTCCCAGGCTTCACTGGCCACCTCCCAAGCACGAGCACCTGCTCCCTGGGGCAGCATGAGACACGGGCTGTTTCCCAACCCCTCCCGCTGGGCACCCTGCAGCCAGCCGTAAGCCCTGGGGTCTTCACACAGGAGAGTCTTGACAGAGCAACGTGCTCAGGGCATCTTTAGCGTGAGCTTCCTCTGGGCCACACAGCAGGTCCTGGGGAAAGCAACATACAGACCATTGCGGGCACTGCCCTCTGGGGGTGAGGGGTCTGGGGCAGCAGCAAACTGGGAGGCCCCAGTCACGAAGGATGGGGGTCACTCCCCCCTCATCTGTCAAGAGCCTCCGAAGGGTGAGGCAGGGCTGTTTGTGGCAGGGAGGTAAATTAGCAGAGCCTCAGAGGGCTACAAGGGAAGAAGCCCGGTCTGCCATGATATCAAGTGGCTCTCTCAGTCACTCCTGGGGGGAAATCCTGATCTTGCGGCCTTTTCCTAGAAAACCCTTCCTGCCCTATGTGGCCAGCTCCCTCTTATAGGGTGAACAGAACAGAACAGAACAGGAAAGCCCCTCTCTGCGTCTGGCTGGCACCCAGCAGTGTTGAAGGAGGCTGTCGTGGTGCAGCGTGGCCTCTGTGACCCGAGGGCTCCCTCCGGACACACAGCCCGCCATGGCTGCACTTGGGGCTCACCCGCTGCTCCCCCGAGAGCGCTTCCAGGCGTCTCTGAAGGCACAGGAGTCAGCCAAAGGCGAGAGGAGACCACCAGAGGACAGCCCCCCAGGAGGCAGAGAGAGGGCCTTGGAAGGAGAAACGGGTGGGCCTCCAGGCAAACTGGACCTACCTTGAATTTCACCAAGGCCTGCCAAGAACTTCTCACCAGAGGGGCCAGGTCTTCCCCAGCCAGGAGAACTCAGCTGGGAGCAGGACCACCAGCTGCCCCAGGTCGCCCTGGACAGGGATGCAGCTGGGGCTGCACCCTTCAGTGCTAGAACCGGGAAAGTGCCAGCAAACCCAGCGCCCTCGTGGGGACACCTGGCACCGTCTCTTACTGGGCCTGTGTGTGCCTGTCCCCAGTGTCGGGCGCCTACGACACTACCATCCTGGACGCCAACCTCCCCTCCCACATGTGGTCCTCCACGCTGCCTGCGGGGTCCTCCATGGGGACGTATCACAACAACATGACCACGCAGAGCTCTTCCCTCCTCAACACCAACGCCTACTCGGCCGGATCAGGTAGGTAGCAGTGGCATACCCACCTCGCCGCACCTGCGCCGTGCAGCCGAAGGACCCCTTGGGCATTGGCCATCCCCAAGGCTTCCTGTGGGGTCCTTCTGTGCTCAAGCGCTCCTGGAGTTGTGCCAGAACCTTGGTTCAGCTCAGCTGAGAAGCTGCTTCTTCTGGGGTGTTAGAATAGAAACAAATGCATCTGCAGAACTAGTTCCTATCCCTGGAGCAAGTCCCTTCACTGTCTTAGCTTCAGGGTCCTCTCTGTAAAATGAGGTCAGTAACAAGAGAGCTTTTAGCTGGGCCCACTGTCCACTCCGAGTTTGATGGACCCAAGATCACCTGGAGCCCCAGGGATGGACGCCACAGACTAATGTTCAGCTCTCAGCTGCAAGGCAAGAGAACTGGCCATTAAGGTTTTTTTCTGGAAACAAAGAATGTAACAAAATAGAAAACCCCGATCCTGGCATGTCTTCCAGTGCTCCCACAGTACCCGAGCCTGTGTCCCTGATCTGGGCTGGGTGTCCCTCTCAAAAGCCCTCCTCTTTCCCCCATGCAGTCTTTGGAGTCCCAAATAACATGGCATCCTGCTCGTCCACCCTGCACCCCGGACTCAGCACCTGCTCCTCAGGTGAGTGTCGCCGCCTTGAGTGGTCATTTCTAGGCTCTCTGCTTAAAAACATTAAGAATGCTCTCTCCTGGTGAGGGAAACAGCCCAGTTTGTACAGAAGAAAGCCTGCCTGCCAGGGGTGGCCCTGTGCACTCGGCCCCTCAGAGGCCAAGGCCAAGTGACTGTTTCGATTGTGGAAGGCACAGCACCTGGCCTCGGGACAGGGAAGCAGCAGCGGCTGGGCCTGAGCCCACACTGCCCTGCTGGCTCTCGGCTGGGCCCTTGATTGTCCGCCAGCGTTGAGGAGATGGAAGAAGTGGACTTAGGGTGTTTTGAGGGAGAAAGTTAATTTAGAAGAATCTTATTTCAGATCTTTTTATAAACATAGTAATTCACGGGCATAACTACATTGAGATAACAATGTTCCTGCTTAGCTTCCAATGCAAACATATTACAGAAACATTTATGTACTGTTTCTGCATATGTCATAATTGTACACATGCAAATGAGTTAGCAGCCACATCTTTTTTTTTTTAAGATTTATTTATTTTGAAAGTTACACAGACAGTGAAGGAGAGGGAGAGAGAGAGAGAGAGGTCTTGCATCCTCTGGTTCATTCCCCAGATAGTTGCAACAGACAGAGCTGTGCCCATCTGAAGCCAGGAGCACATGGGTGCAGGGCCCAAGGACTTGGGCCATTTGCTACTGCCTTCCCAGGCCATAGCAGAGAGCTGGATCGGAAGTGGAGCAGCTGGGACTTGAACCAATGTCCATATGGGATGCCGGGGCACTGTAAGTGGCAGCTTTACCTGCTATACCACAGCGCTGGCCCAACCTTTTTTTTTTTTCCCCCAAGAAATCAGTCTTCTTCCTGTAATATTGAGACTAGTATATGATATGGGTCATTTTTTAAAAAGATTTATTTTATTTATTTGAAAGGCAAAGTTACAGAGAGAGAGAGAGAGAGAGAGCTTCCATTCTCTAGTTCAGTCCCCCAAGTGACCACAATGGCCAGGGCTGAACCAGGCCAAAGCCAGGATCCAAGAACTTCATCCAGGTCTCCCATGTGCGTGGCAGGGATACAAACACTTGGACCATCTTCTGCTACTCTGCAGAAGACATTAGCAGGGAGCTGGATTGGAAGTAGAGAGGCCGGGGCACGAAGCAGTGCCCATATGGGATGCCAGTGTCTCAGGCCATGGCTTTGCCTGCTGTGCCACAGTGCCAGCCGATACAGATATTTTCAATTTACTTCACTGGCATAACTGCAAGGACACATTTAGCATGGAAATTTCCAATACCCCCAGCTGCCCAGGATTCCACCAAACACAGAGGACCCCAGCTCCGGGCCCTGTTTCTGCCACCTTTGCTAAGTCCTGGCTGAGTGAGGCCCCAGTGAAAGGTGTCCTGATGTCGAATCCGTGACTTGTGCTCCCAATTTGAGATGGGATGGAGTAGCCAGTGAGGAGTGAACGCCCCCACATTCTTCAGAAACAGTGAACTTGGAAATCATAAAGGGGTGGGGGGAGATCTGTGAGTTTGTGTTTACGTCAAAAGGGAGTTAGAAGGGAAGCCAGCCTCTGCAGTCCCAATGTGTCCACATCTCTGACCCACAGTTCCTCCACTGTGTGTCATGGCACCCATGGACCCCCTAGGATGGCTTAGGATTCAGGGAATTCATGACCACCTGGCAGATCCCATAGGAAGCACTGTTGTTAGGTGTGTGGGTCCAACTACTTGATAAGTGGAACTATCAGGAATATTTGGCCCAGGGTAAGGAGGTGGGATCATAAGGGGAAAAAAAAAGATTTACTGTGTCACTAAGAGTGTGAGAACCAAGAAAGTCTGGGAATCTCTGTTACCTGTGTGATCATTTATCGTGAATGTGGTGCGAAGACTCCAGGAGGCTGCCCTGGGTGGGGGCCATCCTCTGCGTGCCCCGTGCTCACCTGTCCCCAATCCCTCTCACAGTGTTCGGCATGCAGAACAACCTGGCCCCCAGCTCGTCCACCCTGTCCCACGGCACGGCCACCACCTCCACAGGTCAGTAGCCTGGGGTTGCAGCTCAGGGGCTGGGAAGCACCAGCTACAAGCAGCATGTGCAGTACCTGCAGCGGAAGGAGCAGAATGCCCCCAGTGAAGCTTTCCCACCGACGAAACAGCTCCCTCCGCAGCCTAGAGATGCCAACCTTGACCTCTTCCTGGCTCTGCCTTGAGGAAACACACAGCAGGGCTGTCCTGTTAGCAGCATCTGCCCGCCAGGAGACATCCCTGGGTATCCCCATGTGCTTCATAGCCAAACTGGTCAGGGCGGTGCTCTCGTCTGCTGTGCTGTCCTGGACAGCCCACTGTCACTCAGAATGGATCATCTGGTTGACTTTATGGCGCACACCCCAGGTCGTGCCTCTCTCTGTGCCAACAAGCATCGGGGGAGGTGGGTGGGGGTCAGAAGAGATGTGAGCCTCAGCCTTAGTGCTCAACTCCCCTGCCGTTTAGCCAGAGTAGAAAGTCAAACACCCATAACACAACGAGGGGATCCTACAAGACAGTTGAGTGATACATTGTGCACAGCAGGAATTTAGAAGGGAGGGAGGTATGTGAGGGTCTGGTGGGACTCCCGGGAGGAAGTAGCCTTTGGAATATTAGGAGGTTGTACACAAGAATGGGCCGTAAACCTTCATTGTTCCCCTGTGGCTGCAGCTGTCTCGTCTGTCTCCCCTGGACATGCTGCCTCTCCCAGGCTCCCCCTAAGCCACATGACCCACCCTCCCATGCTGATCCCACTCACTCAGTGGTTCCTCTCTTGCAGCGTATGCTGTGAAGAAAAACCTGCCCCAGAGCCCTGCCGTTGCAAGCACTGCTGTGTCAACCTCAGCAGGTGAGTGCTGCTCCCAGGGGCCAGGGGTCAGGCTGGGGCCTGGAGAGAATTGCTCTGCTGTGCTCCGCAGTGTGTAGGAAGAGAGGCTACAATCCACAAGTGGCCCGAGGTCCAGACACAGCTCACCCCAGTGGTCTCTTGGATGTTTCTTGGGGTGAACAGACATGAGCATCCCCTTGAACTTAACCTTGGCCTTGCTGTCCAAGGCCTGGCCCTTACACACCAACCACCACCCTTGTCAGAAGGCCCTTAGCTCCTGTTACACGTAACCCATCATGAGGGCCAGGCCCCCCTACTTCCTACAGACCCTTCATCAACTTTAGCTATTTCTTCCACTGCTCTGATCGTGGTATGCTTCCTTCCATTCGAGAATTCACTCATCTAGCAATTCTGTAATGAGACCATCCTTTGCATTAGACAGACAATGTTCTAAGTGCTGGAGGACAGCAGTGAACAAGGCAGGACGGACCCCTGCCCTCACCACACTGACAAGGCCAGTGGAGGAGGCAGATGACAAACACAGACAGGGTACACAGGCTAGTTCCAGAAAATGACACAGAGCTTAGACCCAGCAAATAGTGATGGGATAGACAGGAGTATGTGTGCAGGATTTGCCTCCTTACAAGGTAATGCTTGAGATCTGAAGGATACAAACGAACCCCTAGAGCAGTTAAAGAAGGACTTGCTGGGAAGGGGAAATTTTACCTGCTTGATTAAAAAACCTGAACTCTCCAGGTAGGGAGGCAGCCCCATAAATCAGCAGCCCAGAGCTTCTGACCTTGACCCAACCTCCTGGCAGCCAGGCCCAGCCAGGCCCAGCCAGGCAGGGAGAGTGTCCTTGGTCCCAGGATGCTTCATGGTGACCACTGTCAGTCTGAACCAGGAGATACACCCTCCAATCTCTCTCTTTCTCCATCCTCTTCACTCAAACACGTTCCCTTCCTCTTCACCCCCTTCCTCTCCAGCCTGCACCACAAGGGTCCAGAGTGATGAGCAGTTGCACAAGGATTGCAAGTTCCTGATCCTGGAGAAGGACAACGTGCCTGCCAAGAAGGAGATGGAGCTGCTGATCATGACCAAGGACAGCGGCAAGGTCTTCACCGCCTCCCCCGCCAGCGTCGCTGCAAGTACGGCAGAGCCCGGGGCCTGTGGGACTCAGGTTTCAGGAGAAAGGCAAAAAGCATAGGCAGCCAAATGTCCTAGCAAGGTGGTTTGAGACATTTAAATCATGAAACCACGGCGGTCCCATTCTGATGAAAAATGCCAGCCCACTAGGATGTCACAGGGTCTGCCTTGAATGCAGATGAATTGGGGAAAATCAGGGAAGAGCTCCCTGCAGGCCAGGATGGGGGTGGGGTGGGGGTGTGGGGATGGGGTGGAGGTGAGGGTGGCTGGGCTGTCATCTTTTCAGGCTGACCTCGACCTCCCCCAGCCTGTGGGAAGAGAATATTCTGGGTTGTCATGGGTTCTGGGCACAGCTTCCTTTTCAGATGACACCCTGAAAAAAGAAAAGCAGGCTGCCTACGCTGCTGACGCCTCCCTGAAGGCTGAAGCTAACGGTAAGGATGAACCTGACCTTTGTCTGCTTCAGCTTCAGCCCAGCTGCACTTCATTGCTTTGTCTTCTCACTAAGCGGGGTGTGGGTCCTGGCTCAGCAGCACCCGGGAGTGTGTTGGAATGACGGGATCCTGGGCAGGTGAAGCAGCCACTGCTTGGGATGTCTGCGTCCCTGGTCGGAGTGCCTAGGAAAGGGGTCCCAGCTGCTCCACTTCCTATCCAGTTTCCTGCTAATGTGCCTGGGAGGCAGCAGGTAATAACCCAAGCACTTGGGTGTCTGCCGTGCACAGGGGAAACGTAGATTGAGTTCTGGGCTCCTGACTTTAGCCTGACCCAGCCCTAGCTGTTGGGCCCCACCCTCCCCACTCCCTCTCTCCCCCTCTCCGTCACTCTTTCAAATAAATAAGTAATGCTTTAAAAAAACATACTAGCCCACACCTGCTGAGTTAAGCTGTATCTTAATGAGCTCCCCAGGTGACATGTATGAGAGTGGAGCAGGGGCTCCCGCTGGCAGGTCTTACTAGGCCTCCTAGAATGCTCCAAACTAGCAGAAGAGTGCTTCCCAAAGCATGGTTCCAAAAGCATTAGCTTTTCCCCCAGATGTGTGGATTCTTCCTCGGAAAACCACATATCCTCACAAGGCCCTGTAGAATTTCTCCAAATCGCTGTTTCCGGTGAGGTCAGTAGAAGAAGGAGACATTTTTTTTTTTTTTTTTTTTTTGACAGGCAGAGTGGACAGTGAGAGAGAGAGACAGAGAGAAAGGTCTTCCTTTTGCCGTTGGTTCACCCTCCAATGGCCGCCGCGGCTGGCGCGGTGCGGCCGGTGCACCGCGCTGATCCGATGACAGGAGCCAGGAGCCAGGTGCTTTTCCTGGTCTCCCATGGGGTACAGGACCCAAGCACCTGGGCCATCCTCCACTGCACTCCCAGGCCACAGCAGAGAGCTGGCCTGGAAGAGGGGCAACCGGGACAGAATCCGGCGCCCCAACCAGGACTAGAACCCGGTGTGCCGGCACCGCTAGGCAGAGGATTAGCCTAGTGAGCCGCGGCGCCGGCCTAAGAAGGAGACATTTTTAAATAAATGAAAATTAAGTCAGTGAGCCTCTGGACAAGGGAGGCAACTGGAACCTGACTTGAAGTCTCCAAAAGTTGGAGCCTGGCAGTGAAGCCAAGACCCTTTTCAGAGTCTGGAGAAGGCTGGGCACCAACAGCCCAGGAGATTCCAAGTTGCCCACAAACACTCCACGTTGAAATAGTGTCAGGGACTCAGGGGAAACCCTCGCCGAGTCCATTCTCGCCCCGCATCCCCAGTTCCGTCCACCCCAGGTCAGGAGTGTGTGTTCCAAGTCCCTTCATGCAGAAGTCGGTCATTTCCCACGACACGTTCACCATTTGAATGCAAGTGTTCCCCGGCACGGCCTTCCCCCGTGTCCCGGGCGCTAAGTGTTTACAGCCGTGCAGGGCCACAGCGCTCTGCTTTGTCCCACCCTTGCTGGCAGAGCCGCATCGTCACGTCCCAGAGCTCAGGGAGAAACGTTCCTGATACTTCTGCATGTTGCTGTCCTGCAACACCTTTTCCTAAAGCCCTGCCTGCCCTGCATCCCACACCAGGGACAGTTGTGTGGGCCCCTCCATTTCCAAAGCGCAGGCCCAGACCCACATACTTGCTGTCTCTCTCTCCAGGAGACCTCAAGTCCATGTCCGCCAAGGGCAAGGCCGGCTCCGCAGGTAAGAACTGAGGGCCCTGCAGTGGGAGGCAGTGGGACAGGCAGTGGTCCCCTTGTCTGAAGCCAGAGCACACAGGCTCAGCTCAGGGCTGGTTCTTCTTGGGCCCAGGCGCCCCTACTTGCCTCCCACCTTGGGCTCTCGCTCCAGCGTCTCCCAGCACGGCAGGAGCATCATGGCAGGACTCCCCTGTGTCCCTGTGGGACCTCCCAGCCCTGGCTCCTGGGGACGCTGAGCCCTGCTCGCCTCCTGCCCTTTCCATTCTCTGTGCTCCTTCTTGGGCGCCAGTGGGTCCAGGCCTCCCCGTCATTTTACAGAACCTCAAAGCTTTCTTTGTAAGAAGATTTTCTGAGCTTCCTGGGTGCCCTTCACATGCTATGGGTGATTCTGGGTGCTGTGAGTATTACAGAGGAAGAGCTGGGTGGACCCTGACCTGACCTGGAATGCTTTAGGACTAGGCCTGAGCAGGTGGAAGAGGTGGGGCAGGTCATTGTAACTTCACAATGACAGAACTGCTTCAGCTGCCTGCTGGGGCTGCAGACCGCAGATGCCTTGTTTCATTGACCAGCCCTCTTAGGAAGTAACCTAGCCCCCATTTTATACGCAAGGAAACAGAAGGTTAAGTGACCCCGTCCTGGTCACACAGCTCATGTTCTCATGCTCAGGATTGTTGGACTCCTGCCCCCTCCCACAAGGCCCTGTGTTCCTTCCAGGAGCCAACCTCCCCCTCCCCAGGGCTGCACACACTCACCCAAGCCCACAGGAAGTCACTAACAGCCAGACCATCTGGAGGGAGAAGGGCGGGGGCCACTCACCTGCGTTGTCTCACGGCTCCTGTCTCTTCCACAGAAATCCACGGCTACGACCACGGCGGCGGTGGCGGCGGTGGCCGAGGTGGTGGCGGTGGCGGCGGCGGCGGCGGCGGTGGTGGGGGCCCGTGGGGCGCGGCACCGGCTTGGTGCCCGTGTGGCTCCTGCTGCAGCTGGTGGAAATGGCTGCTGGGCCTGCTGCTCACCTGGCTGCTGCTCCTGGGGCTGCTCTTCGGCCTCATTGCTCTGGGTACGTGAGCAAGGTGGCAGGAGCCCACAGGCCTGGCTGCACATTCAGGGGTCAGTGAATGGTCCCCGTTGCCTGAGATCGGCAGGGCAGTCGCCTTGAGGCCCCAGGAGGCGTGGGGCCAAGGTCCACGTGTGGCTGGCTGCCTGGCGGCCCAGCTGGGATTCTGCTGCGGCTCCTGATTCCATTCCAGCCCTCTGCCCCTGTGGTCACCTGCAGCGTGCACATGCCTGCCCGTTTTGTTTCTTGGTGGCTTCTCACACCACGGCCCGGGGGAGCGAGGGCAGCTTTATCACCCATCTCAGATGGGAGAGCGACTCCCATTTCTGTAAGACTGGGGGAGGGTGTGGAGGAGCTGATCCTGCTGGTGCCCACAGCAGGTCATCCCCGCATCACTAGTTCAGCAGCACCAGGAAGCTGCACCTGGCCAGGAGCCCGCGGGGGTGTCACTGACACGGCCTCTGCCCTTCCACTCCAAGGCGAGGAGGTGAGGAAGCTGAGAGCCCGCGTGGATGAGCTGGAGAGGATGCGGGGCGGCGTGATGTACCGTGAGGACACCCTGGGGAAGAGCAGCAAGGACCGCCTGCAGGCGGCACCCGGCGTAGGGGCAGGAGTGGGCAAGGCCGGGCTGGATGGCCACAGCCAGGAGGCGCTCTGGCTGTTCGTGCGGGAGAGGCTGATGACGGAGCAGGAGAACGGTGAGAGCCTCGGGGGCCCAGCCTGCACCGCGTGTCTGATGTACGTGGGGTGATGTGTATGTGTGTCCTGGGCCACCACCACCTGCCCTCAGCCCCTCTTCCCGTGCCCACCTGAGCCCAGGGATCAGGACCAGAGCTGGGACCCCATTTTTGTTTTGTTTTACTAATGTGGGAGGCAGAGAGGAAAAAAAGAGAGAATGTGCTCCTATCCACTGGTTCATTCCCCAAATGTCTACAGAAGCTGAGGCAGGGCCAAGCCAAAGCCAGGAGTTGGAAACTCAATCCTGGCCTCCCACATGGGTGGTTCAACTACTTGAGCCACCACTGCTGCCTTCCAGGGTGTGCATTATCAGGGAGCAGGAAGCTGGCATTGGGAGCAGGAAGCAGGTGTGCGACACAGGATGCCTGGGATGAGTGTGTTAGCCACTGTGACAAACACCTGCTCCTGTGTTCCCATTTCACTGCTGGGAAAACTGAGTCCTGAAGCTAATTGCCCAAGAGCCCTCCACTAGCCCGGTTTAGAACCTTTTCCTAGTGCTAACCAGTTTCTTCTGGCCATCCCGTGATCTTCTTGTGTATGCGTGAGGGACATGGAGGATGTGGCACTAACTCGGGATTTACTCTCTCTTGTAGGAAACCTCCGGGGAAACCCTGGCCCTAAAGGTATTGTGGGGATGGAGCCCTTTGGGGCCCTCTTCCTGCACATGGCATTTCCGGGGTGGGCTGACGAGGAGCTGAAGGTTCTGATGCTGTCTTAGAGGAGGCTTGGGAACCGGCTATCGAGGGAGAACCTCTTAGCTGGTGGAGGGGGCTCAGAGGTAGATCAGGGGAGCCCAGCCATGTGCCCAGGTGACACAGACAGGGACTGGGAGGGGCCCAGGCCACCAGTGGCTCCCACCCCTGTCTCAGAGTTTTCATGTCTTTCTGATTCCAGGTGACATGGGAAGTCAAGGCCCTAAAGGTAATACACAAGCGCGTTCTCACCGTGACCATCAGTGAGGGCTGACAGTTTAAAGTGGTCAACAGTGTCAGAAAGCCCAGCTCTGATCTAACAGTCGGGGGCACAGGTGTGCAGGGAGGAAGAGGTGTCCCATGGCCCAGTCGACTGGGGCTGGCAAACCACAGGGATCACCGGCAGCTCCTGGGCCCCGGAGCCTCTGATTCGGCAGGTGTGGGCAGACTGGGACCCGTCCATCTTAATCTCCCCAGGCGGCTCTGCAGCCAGGCATACGTGGTCCACCCTGAGCACCACCACACAATATGACAGGGGTCCCTCCTTCCTGAAAGACCCCCCACTGAGGGACCTGCTGCCTCTCTTGGCTCCCGCCAGCCTCTCCCACACAGCCCCTGGGTCCTGCCAGGGCCCAGGACTCATGCCTCGGGAGCCCCTGGACCTGGTTGTCAGGTAGCACACAGCACGCCCACTTCCACTGGAACCACAGATCAACCACCAAGACCTTTACACTGTGTGAGGCCGCTGTGCAGACGCTCCACAGCACGTGGGCACACTGCACTCGGCTTGGCCATCTGCAAGTCCAGTGGAACTGAGTGTCCATGATTTTGGTGGCTAACTGTGGCCATCCTGCACAAATCCTACCCATGGCTCCATTAGGCAACTTGCCACGTCCTCTGGCTGACTTCTCACTTTGTCCTTTGTTTCTGCAGGAGACCGTGGGCTCCCTGGGACTCCAGGTGTGTAACGCTGGTGACCTCTGACCCCATGGGGATGCTCAGTCCCAGCTGCTGTTTCTTGGGGGACTCAAGGCTGACGTTGTCTCTGTATCTGCAGGCATCCCCGGACCCCTGGGCCTCCGTGGCCCGGAAGGACCAAAGGGGCAAAAAGGCAGCGTGGGTAAGAAACGCTTTTTCCACTCATTTACTCGCTCATCTGTTCAGTCAACAGCGTTTGTTAGGTGCCAGCTCTGTGCTGGGGCCCCTTGTAGAAGACATGGTGGGGCTGAGATTTGAGTGGCAGGGGAGAGAGTAAGGACAATCAAGGCGTGAAGGATGGCACAGGTGAGGGGGCAGGACATGGATGTACATGACAGAGCCTGGGGGGACCTTGGGGGTGAGGGCTGAGGGCGCTGATCTGACAGAGGGCTCAGAGAAGGCCTCCCTGCAAGGCCACCAATGGAGCAAAGACTGGAAAGGAGCTGGGATCTGGGGGAAATGTTCCCAAGGGAGCAGCCAAGGCCAAGGCCAAGGGCAAGTTCAGGGAGCAGCAAGAAGAGGCTAGGTGCTGGCAAGGCCAAAGCAGACAGCCCAGGGAGGGCTTGAGGCCAGCACGGGGACATCTGCTGTGCTCGCAGAGGTCTAAGGGACATTCGCAGGGTTAGGGCCTACGGGACCTGCTTTCTGACTCCTGGGTGGAGCCAGGGCTCCAGGGGCTGGGCAGAACCATGGAGGCCAGGGAGGAGGTTCCAGGTGCGAATGCTGCCACAGGCTGCCTGTGGGGCCCACAGCCGTCGCTCAGGATCCTGACTCTAGGGTGGGCTGTTCCCTTCTCCAGGAGATCCTGGCATGGAAGGACCCATGGGCCAGAGAGGGCGAGAAGGCCCCATGGGACCTCGTGGTGAACCAGGGCCACCTGGGTTTGGAGAGAAAGGGGAGAGAGGTAAGAGCCAACCCCTCTACCAGGAGCGTCAGCTGCGCCTGCCCATCCTCTGCTCCAACTTCCCCCTCCCTTCTTTCAGTAGCGTTTCTCGAGCACCTGCCTTGAGCCAGGGCCTGTGCTGGGCCCTACAGAGACAGTGGCCTGGCCTTGGGGCCTGGGCCAGGCTGCAGGGCAGGCCTAAGGCTGAGGATCTGTCTTGGATGCTCAGAATCCACAGGGACAGTAGCCCCGGGAGCCTTGGCCTTCCCAGAGCGGGGAAGTGAGGCACGTGTGGCATCAGGCAGGGGAGAGCAGAGGGAGGGCTGGGCGTGGCAGGAGGCAGCATGGGGTACAGGCCTTGGAGCCCCTCGGGGCTGGAAGGAGGCAGGGGAAACCCAGGCCCAGGTGGCACTGGAAGGGCAGAGAAGGTTTAGCAGTTCAGTCTGTAACCTCGGGACTGCTGTATCTGGGAAACTGAGGCATACTCCAGAAATCCTCCAGGCCAATACTCCAGCAAGGAGCCTCCTACTGGTTTCCCTCTTGTAATATCGCTGACTGCAACAACAGGTGATTAGGAGAAACCCCTGGGGGCCAGACGTCATAGAGTTCATGCAGCAGGGACTTTGCTGACCTGTGGCCTCCTGCAGGCACCATGAGGCTCTGAGACCACAGCAGGGTGGAAGCATCTCCTCCAAATGGCACGTGGGCAGGGGGGCAGCCAAGCTGGGGCTCCCTCTGAGTACCCACTCTTCCACCTTTCCCCAGGCGCTGCTGGTGAACCAGGTCCTCACGGGCCCCCCGGTGTCCCGGGTTCTGTGGGTCCCAAAGGTAAGCAGGTGCCCAAAACACTTGCAGGGAGGGGCCCCAGAGGCCAGCGCCGCCCGCTGCCCCAGGCCTGTGTGGGGACTGCCCTACCCCAAGGAGCCCGCAGGGCTCAGGACCAGGGCTGTAGTTATGGCCCCAGAGCAGGACGGGAGCGACATTTCTTCTCTCTTGAACTCTCCTTTATGTGGCCCCTCCTGGAGGTCAGATTCTAGAGAAAACCGGGAGCTGGAGAGTTTGCTCCACTGACTGGGGCCCAGATGCACACACGGACAGCCACGTGTGTGGGGGACATGGAATCGGGCCCTTCTCACAGTGTGGTGCCTGTGCTCACGCCTCCTCCCCAGCCCTGGCCCAGGACCAGTGTCTTGCTCTGACCTCCCCACCACCACCCCGGCAGCCATCTCCCTAAGAAAGATAGAACGTTGGGGTCTTTCCTGGACCCCCTGATGCGACAGGGCCCCCCCCCCCAGCCCCATGCAGGCAGTACACACCCCCAGCGCCCACCCCCTACCCTTCACCCTGGGGTCCCATGTCCCTGGCCTGTACCTGGCCCTCTGCTGATTGTGGTCTCCTCCTCCTCAGGTTCCAATGGCTCTCCTGGCCCTCAGGGGCCCCCAGGTCAGTAGGAAAAAGGCACCTGGGCGGTGCCCGTGAAGTACCTGTGTGTGTGCACAGCTGTGGTGCGTGGATGCATGCAGACGTGGTAACCGTGTGTGTGCCTGTGTGTGCGTACAGGTGTGGCACCCACGTGTGTGCCTTGAGGTACCTGTGTGTATGCATACAGGTGTGGCACCCATGTATGTGCCTTGTGATACCTGTGTGGGTGCCTGTGTGAATCTGTGTGTGTGCAGATGTGGCACCCATGTATGTGCCTTGTGGTGCTTGTGTGAGTGTGTGCGTACAGGTGTGGCACCCATGTATGTGCCTTGTGGTACCTGTGTGGGTGCCTGTGTGAATCTGTGTGTGTGCAGGTGTGGCACCCATGTATGTGCCTTGTGGTGCTTGTGTGAGTGTGTGCGTACAGGTGTGGCACCCATGTACGTGCCTTGTGGTCCCTACGTCTGTGTGTGTATAGCCATGGTGCCGGTGTCCACTTATGTGTCTGTGCGGTGCCTGTGAGTGCATGTCTGTCCCTCCCAAAGCCGAGGCTCTTATCCACCTGCATGGCTTCCTCTGCTGAGCAGGTGCCATAGGTCTCCAAGGGCTCCGAGGTGAAGTGGGACTCCCTGGTGTCAAAGGTGAGCTGGGGGAAGGGGCTGTCACCCTGAGGATGCCTCTCGCTCGAGAAGGGGGAGGGGCAGAGGTCTGCTGGACATGACCCCCAGGCTGTGCAGCCCACGGGCAGGAGGCGGGAGGTGGGAGACAGGGGCGGGGGAGCTCAGATGGCTGGAAGCAGCTGCCCCTCCTTGCTCATCTCCCACAGCTCTCTCTACAGCCAGGTGTCTGTTTCCCTTCTAGGTGACAGAGGCTCCATGGGACCTCCAGGCCCCAAAGGTGAGTTGCTGCCACCACTGCTCCGTCATCACTGTGCCCTGCCCACTCCTGGATGCCCGGATGTGGCCCCTGCACTGGGATCTGAGAATGCCTGTGGTGCTAGCTGCTGGGCCCTGGTCCAGACATGGAGCTGAGAGTTCTCTCTAGCCTAGCCTCTCAGAGAGGGAAACTAAGGCACAAGGCGGGGAGTAAAGTAACCCAGTCACGTGGCCGGGCTAGCGTGGTGCTCAGGCAGAGGGGACGCAGCCTGGGCAGGGGTCTGACCTCTGGTCCGGGATGAGAACTACCCTGTGGTCCAGTGCCCCACTGCTGGGGAGACGCTGCCCTGCCCCCAGCTGATGCCCTGTCCCATGTGTTTCGCAGGCGACCAGGGCGAGAAGGGACCACGAGGCCTCACAGGTCAGTCCCACACTGACACACAGCACAGGTTGGCAGTCTCTGGATCCCGGGAGGTGGGGAGAGTGCTGACATTGGGGACGGAGTCTCTGCACACCTTTGGGGCACCTGTGATGTAGAAGAAGCTTGAGACAAGATCAGCTTCAGCCCCGGGTGGAGGTTAAGCAAGCGTCTTGTGTCCAAACAGTAGATGTTTGGGTGCAGAAAGGGGAGCTTGGGGCTTCTGATTCTTTGGTGGAGTCCAGTTGGGAAAGTGAAATTTTTCCCAAAGCAGCAGGAAGTTAGCACCACCTGCACCCTCTCAGCCCTTGGCATGATTAAAGAGATGGATTTCTAATAGCCCTGGGATGCCAGGGGGACCTTTCAGTTTCCAAGGAAACCAGACACGCAGATCGCCGTGTGTTCCCCCCAGTCCATGCCAGTGGCCCTGACCTTGGAACCCTGGCGGAAGCGGCCTCCCTGGCCTCCTCTGGCTGGCCGGTTGGGCTGGGGGAGGTGGGTGCATACCGCTGCTGTGATGCACACGCGCCCTGCAAGCCTCCGACCCGCTGGTCCTCTGTCCTCTGCAGGCGAGCCCGGTGTGAGAGGTTTGCCTGGGGCCGTGGGCGAGCCCGGGGCTAAAGGAGCCATGGGTAAGTGCCCCAAGGGAGCCTCTCCTGCCCTCTGCCCCCCACACCTGCTAGAGTCACCCTCTGAGGGCCATTTCTGGGGGTCGGGTTGTCATCCCCCCCAGGCTTAGGGAGCTATAGTCTCAGGGTTTTGAGGAATTTCTCCTCCCTGGGGCCCTGAGAAGGCTTGGCAGTGCCAGGCCCATCTACCCTGGTTCCTGCCCACAAGCTGCCTAGTCCTCTGGGGGAGACAGAATGTGTTTCAGTCTCCTGGGACCCTTGGGCATTCTGTGTTAGGGCCAGTGTCCCAGCCAGGTCCAGCTCTGAACCCTGACTCAGGGGCCAGTCCTCCAGGGCATGAAGCTAGCTAAGAACACTAGGGGCCAGGGCTCTGTATCAGGCCTCACCCATGGAGACGTGGCACTTCCGTGGTCACTGACCCCATGGCTGGTGAGCACTGGCTGTGGAGGGCCCCATGCTGGGCCAGTAAGACACTGAGCCTCCTCCAAGGGGAGATCCAGCTTGCACGGGCGACAGGAGAGGCGGAGTGTACTAGGACAGCGTGGAGGGAGGGGCCTGCCGACCAGAAGGGAGGAGGGAACGGCGTTGCCAATGGCCACAAATCTTAGGGATTTTAGAAAACTCCAGCTGTGCGGAGACCACGACATAAGTGAGGGGGAAGAGTGAGGCGTGGTCCCGGGGAGACACCTCTGGGCACCGGGGTTAGGGTCCCCTGAGAGCAGAGATGAAGACTCGGAGGGCCTGGGCTCTCAGGACCTCAGGGAGGTACAGCCGACCTCTGCTGAGCTGCTGTGCTCTGGCCACACATCCCAGCAGGAGCCGCCAGCCATGGGCAGGGGCAGGGGTAGGGAGAGCACTGTGTCCAGAGTTGGTCACTGCCAAGGCTTTCCCCGGGCCTTGAGGGGTTCAGGAGGGGCTGTGTGGGGTCCCACACGGGGGACAGCATGCTGCAAAGCCTTGGGTAGGAGAGGGCCAGAGCCGCAGGCACAGCTCCAGCAGAGACTGATGGGCCTTTCCTCTCCTTTACCAGGTCCCGCTGGCCCCGACGGACACCAAGGCCCACGAGGTTGGCACCCGGTCCGCTGTCTTCCCTGTCACCTCCTCCATTTGCCTTCTCGTCCCTGCCCTCCAACCCTTGCTCCACTTACGTCCCCACCATGGCAACACCCAAGGGGCGACAGATGCTTGGAAGTGGGCGTGGCCCAGCTGTTGTTCCCACCCCTTCCCCAGCCCCGGCCAGCCAGGCAGGAAAAGCCCACGAAGCACCAGCAGGTCAGCTGTGCTAAGGGGCGGCCCTGGTACCCAAGTCATACTCTCTCGCAGGTGAGCAAGGCCTGACAGGGATGCCGGGAACCCGCGGCCCACCAGGACCTTCAGGAGACCCAGGAAAGCCAGGTAACGGGCAAGGAGAGGGAGCCAGGCCCACTCGGTGTGTGTGCCTGTGTGTGCAGGTGCGGATGGGATGCCTGTTGCACCACGTGTGCCTTGCCTGTTTTCCTCCAGCGTGTCAGCGGGGAGCAGCCCCACCTCTCAGGTGACGCTGCGTGCAGTGATGGCACCTCCAGGTGCCCACCGCTGTGCAGTTAGGGTTCCCGGCCGGAAGCAAGGCGCTCCAGCCGGGAGCAGGGGCTCTCGCAAGTGCAGACTTGAACGGCACCTCAGTGCCTGCTCCTCTGAGCTTTTCCTTCCTCTCCTCGTCTCCGGGGGCTGGACCCTCACTGACACAGATGGGAGCCTCGAGAGAGGGAGTCGGGGCAGCATTCGGGCCCTGGGCGCGTGAGCACCCTCGGTTCCTGTGGCAGCCCAAACAGGCTCAGAAGCCCCACCTGGTGGAGCCCTAGGTTGCTTCCTTGCAAAGCCCAGGTCTGGGAGGACGCTGGAGCCCCGCTGCCCTGGCTCGGGGCTTGTCCTCTTGACCCATCGACCCCCCGCTGCCATGTCCACCTGCTCCTGCAGCTGAGGTGTGGCTGCTCAGGGACACCTGGACCCTTCAACACTTCCCTCTTGTGTCTTCTTCTTTCAGGTGTCACAGGACCCCAGGGACCTCAGGGTGAGTCACCTTGTCACTCCCAGCTGCCAAGCCTCCCACCTGCCCCTGCCACAGTCGATTTGGCCAAAGCTTTTCCTACCCCCACCCTCTGCAAACAAGAGTGCAAGGTTCTTTCACTGTTTTTTTTTTTTTTTTTTTAAGATTTATTTATTTGAAAGGCGGAGTTACAGAGAGGCAGAGAGAGAGAGAGAGAGAGAGAGAGAGAAAGGTCTTCCATCTTCTGGTTCATTCCCCAAATGGCCGCAATGGCTAGAGCTGAGGTGATCCGAAACCAGGAGCCAGGAGCCAGGAACTTCTTCCAGGTCTCCCATGTGGGTACAGAGGCCCAACCCCTTGGGCCATCTTCTGCTGCTTTCCCAGGCCATAGCAGAAAGCTGGATCAGAAGTAGAGCAGCCAGGACTTCAACTGGCACCCATATGGGATACTGGTGCTGCAGGTGGCGGCTTTACCCGCTACGCCACAGCGCTGGCCCCTTACTGTGGGTTTTGAGATGCACCTTGGAGAGGAAAACTAAGCACACAACAGTCTAGAAGGTCATTCTGGTAGAGATGAGGTGACACGGTGTGCCCAGTCTGTCTGCCTGTGCCCTGTGGTGCAGGGATCCCCCAAGGAGATCCTGAGCCCAGAGGTGAGTCCCACAGAGGACCCTGGTGCCCCACGGGGGGGGGGTGGTGGCAGAGGGAATGGCGCTCACCCTCCTGCAGAGGTCCTGTTCTCTGGGGGCAGCCTCAGGGTTGAGGCCTATCCCAGAATTGGCCCAGTGTGCACCCATCTGGACCTGAGAAATCATCACCCGACTCTGAAGAATATTGGATAAAGATTTTAAAATGAAATCAAGCATCACCCCCCCCCCCAAAAAAAAAAGAATGCAAATTGGCATCCTTCAAATGCTCCCAGGTCAAGGTTCTGTAGCTACAGGCAAGAAGAAGGTGCAGCCCTGGGTGTAGGGAGCCCAGCCCCTCTCTACAGGCTGCAGGGGCTCATGGCCTTCGGGCTGAGCTCAAGGGCCTCCACCTGCCTCCAGCCCAGCTCTGCCCCACCTCGCAGAGGGAACAAGGCTCCCAGCAGGTGGCTCTGCCAGGGGCTGCAGGGGCCACGCCCCAGGGTCTCAGGGCTTCAGTGAGCAAACGTGGCCATGCTGAGCAACAGAGCGCTGGCTGCCTCCTGTGTCTGCAGTTGCTGGGCTGTCGTCGTCATCCTGACTGTCTTGTTTTTAATCATCAGGCCTCCCAGGTACCCCCGGCCGGCCAGGGACTAAAGGTAAGTGATTTTCCAAATGAGATACTCTTGCCTCTCAGGAGCTGTTGTGGTGGGGGAGAGGGCCTGGCGGGAGGGAGGCCCATCTCTGGCCATAGCCTAGATCAACAGTGGCATCTAGTGGCCCAGCAGCCAGTGGGAAGGGGGGAGCCCAGAGATCTGTGCAGAGTGGCCCAGCCCTGGTCATCAGGCCCCAGCCGCCGCCCCATAGCTCTGAGCCTGGCTGGCTGGGCTCTCACTGGGGCGGTGGGGTGACACCCGTACACACGGGGACACTGTGGTTCTACCTGGCAGACTCCACGCCCAGCCGGTCCAGGGGAGCACAGAGCTCAGGGATGGCGTTTCTCCCTCTGCCCCTGGGACCCCACACGCCCTGCTCTGTCCTGAGTGGTCGCTGGCACCCTCCATGGCACCCTGGCAGTGAAATTGGTGCTCTCCCAAAACGATGCCCAGTGGGGCCCAAGAGTGCTTTGGGGAGAAGCAAACGTCATTCCAGGAGAACGTGAGCCCAGACAGGAATCCCCAGTCTGCAGACCCAGGCCTGGGTGCACAAGCCTGTAGTAGGTTTCCCAGGGGCGCCAGAAACCCACGCCTCCGTTGTGTCCTGGCCCTGGGGGCTGAGGCCCTCCTTGGACAAGGTGACCGTGGGGACGTTTCACCCAGCTTGATTGTGCCGTCTCCTGTTGTGACCCTCCCATCTTGAGTGTGTGAGTTCAGGGCTCTCAAATCTTGAGAATCTAAGAAGAGGGCCTGGAGGGATCCCCAGCCCAGGGGCTCCCCGCCCCCCTTCCCGCTCCTGCCCTCATCCGGCTCCCCCAGGCTTGTCTGCAGCAGGCCCGGCCTGGGAGAGGTTTCCACCGCGGGCACGATGCTTGGGAAGGTGTGACTCCCACAGCCCTGTGCGCGTCTGCATTTCTGTCTGTGTTTCCTCGCTCTGAGGCGCTGGTGGGAAAGAGCTGCTACCCTTTGCGTAGCTCTGCACGGCCCCTCCCCCACTGGCCCTGTCCTCTGACCTTGGGCTGACTCACCCACCTCAGATGACTCCCAGGGTGGGGGACGGGTGAGGCAGCCTCACTCCAGCCCCTCTGAGACTTGCCCATATGCTGCCCCGACACCCTCGGTGTGAAGACAAATGTGCAGCCCCCAGGTCTGGGGCTCGGAGACTGGTACTTAACGCATCCCATTCTCCCCACCAGCTCAGGATTGATTTCTTGAGCCACTAAGTGATCCTGGGAATAACCGTGCTCCTCCTTGTCCTCCCAGGTGAACCTGGCGCTCCGGGCAGGATCGTGACTTCAGGTAGGTGGTCTGGGGAGGCACCTCCCCTGGAGCAGGGGCACCTGCCTGGGCTCTGGCTGGTGCCCAGGCCCTGTGCTGGGGGTGGGAGGTGGCAGTGGGCTGTCCGGATGAGCAGGGAGGGCGGAGCAAGGCCAGAGAGGAGGACGCGCCAGCCGGGGCCCCACTGCCCCAGCGGAAGGACGGGGCTCAGCACACCTCGCGTTCCTGTTTCAGGGGGATCATCGACCATCACTGTCCCGGGCCCCCCTGGACCTCCTGGCGCTATGGGCCCCCCGGGACCTCCAGGTTCTCCAGGTGAGTCCATTTTCTTGTTCTGCCTCAGTGAGCCCCGGGCCTTGGTTGCATTTAAGTCCAGCCCTGTTTTCCCAATTCCTGAAGCCCAGGGCAGGAAGGCAGGAGAAAGCATAAGGAGAGCCAGAGAAAACCAAGCTCTGGCACTCGGACAGCGAAGCAGGTCAGGCGTTCTCTCTCACGGCGCAGGAGGCCACGGCTGCCCTCAGCATCTCAGGGTGGGCACACGACTTCTGAGGTCACACAGGCAGTAAGCAGTGGGGTGAGGATTGGCCCCCATCACAGTCTCCAGGGTCTGTGAGCAGCCAGCTCAACCCCGAGCCCCTGGCTCCTGTGGGACAGCGGTTTGAGAACAGACCCCAGGCAGCCAAGGGCCAGGAACGGGCAGGGGAGCATCTGCCCGGCCGCTCCACAATGCGGTGGGCGGTGCTAGGAGCAATTTTGGAGAAAGCCATGAGCAGATAAGAGGATCATTTAAAAGAGCAGGACACGCCTCCACACGTGTTCTGTGGCTGCAACTACATGTTTTTTAAAAATATTTACTTGAGCTGGTGCCGCAGCTCACTAGGCTAATCCTCCGCCTTGCGGCGCTGGCACACCGGGTTCTAGTCCCGGTCGGGGCGCCGGATTCTGTCCCTGTTATCCCTCTTCCAGGCCAGCTCTCTGCTGTGGCCCGGGAGTGCAGTGGAGGATGGCCCAAGTGCTTGGGCCCTGCACCCCATGGGAGACCAGGATAAGTACCTGGCTCCTGCCATCGGATCAGCGCGGTGTGCTGGCCGCACAGGCCATTGGAGGGTGAACCAATGGCAAAGGAAGACCTTTCTCTCTGTCTCTCTCTCTCACTGTCCACTCTGCCTGTCAAAAAAAAAAAAAAAAAAAATTTACCTGACTTAGGAGACAGATGGGAGGGGTCTTCAAAAAGTTCATGGAAAACATGCATTATGGAAAAAAATCCATGCATAAATTTCAAAAAACTTTTTGTGCCAAAATAAAAAATTTAAAGGTTTTGTTTCTTTGAGAGGTAGAGTTACAGAGAAGGAGAGACAGAGAGAGATCTGACATCCACTGGTTCACTCCCTGATTGACTGCAATGGCTGCAGTTGAGCTGATCTGAAGCCAGGAGCCGGGGGTTCTTCCAGGTCTCTCACATGGGTGCAGGGGCCCAAGGACTTGGGCCATCCTCTACTGCTTTCCCAGGCCACAGCAGAGAGCTGGATTGGAAGAGGAGCAGCTGGGACTCGAACCAGCGCCCATACGGGATGCTGGTGCCACATCCCATCTGCAGGTGGATGCTTAACCACTGTGCCGCAGCACCTGCCCCTGCAACTGTATTTTACAAGATGTGGAGAAAAAAAGGATGGTGGGCAAGAAGGATATAAAATTCTCCCAAAGCTCAAGAATTAGGAGTGAGCTTTTTCTGTTTTTCCAAAAGGACTGCATTTTTAAATTTGTTTAAAAGGTCTGTATACAGGCCGGCGCCGCGGCTCAATAGGCTAATCCTCTGCCTGCGGTGCCGGCACACCAGGTTCTAGTCCCGGTCAGGGCACCGGATTCTGTCCCCATTGCCCCTCTTCCAGGCCAGCTCTCTGCTGTGGCCTGGGAGTGCAGTGGAGGATGGCCCAGGTGCTTGGGCCCTGCACCCCATGGGAGACCAGGAGAAGCACCTGGCTCCTGGCCTCAGATCAGCGCAATGCGCCGGCCGCGGTGGCCATTGGAGGGTGAACCAACGGTAAAAGGAAGACCTGTCTCTCACTGTCCACTCTGCCTGTCAAAAAAAAAAAAAAATGAATACAACTTCTCCACTGGCAGGGTGTAGCAGCCTCCCTTTCCGACAAGCCCTGGGGACATGGTGGGGTGCAGAGGTGGCAGGCTGGCATCTTGGGGCCCTGGGGCCTCTCTTGTAGGCACCTGCCCTTTCTCCAGCCTTCTAGCTGTTGCCACAGGTTAACAGCCTTTTCTCCTCTACCACGTTTCCGTTTCTAGGCCCTACAGGTCCCGCTGGTGTCCCTGGACAGCAAGGTGCGTGTCTCCCTGAGGGGATTCAGGGCTGTGGGTGTGGAGAAAGTAGGGGTGTGTGTTTGGGAAAGGAAGGAGGAGATCCTCGGGGGAGCCACCCCCAGCCTGCCGGGCTGGAGCATGGACATTCTCACAGGCCAGAGGCCTCTCGTGATGGGACCCTGACCACCAAGCCATCGTCTGCCATTGACCGACCCAAATACCAAACGACAGCCCCGCTGGCCCGGCTCCGGCTCCCCTGGGATGTTTGGTGGCAGACTTGCCAGCGGTCTTCGACGTGGTCCTGTCCGAGTCCTGTCCCACCCACTCTCCACCTGGGAAGGCAGGAAGCAGGAGTGCGGGAGGCAGGGCCGGTCTGATACTGTGTTCCCCACAGGCCCACGAGGGGCGCCGGGGCTGGCCGGGGAGTCCTTCATGAGCAGTAGCAGCTCCATCTCTGAGCTCCTCTCTACCCGTGAGTGCGCCTTCCCCTGGGGTGGTGGGGGGCGGAGTGGGAGAGCTGGGGCCGGCAGCAGCTGCACCAGGGAGACCGCGGATGGGAGGGCGACCAGGCCCCAGGGCACGCACTGAACACTGAGCAGGGACAGCTGTCCCAGAGGCCCTGGGATGCTGGGAGGACCAGGGTGAGGCCGGGCCATGGCGTTGAGTGTCACAGGCAACAGTAGTGCATCCCCCACTCGGCCCCAGGCCCAGGCTGGGCGGCTGGCTCCTGTCTTCTCCCATTCACAAAGTTTCAAGAGCCTGGGGCTGCTGCTGCTGTCATCCTACCTGCACCCCTGGAACACTGGCCACGGAGACAGCCACCTGCCCCGGCTGAGCACCGGCGCCGTGTTAGGGGCTCAGCACTCCGTGGCCTCTCGCCGAGTCCTCACAACAGGGCTATGATGCCGATCTCCTTGGCCCAGGGTGCAGAGCAAACCAAGGCCAAAAAAGCTGAGGTCTTGCCCCAAGTGGCAGGCAGGGGTCTGGACTCGGGCTACCCGGCACTTCACTCACACCCCCAAGTCAGCATCCGGGGCCCTGGACTTGACCCGCCCTCCCTGGGAGCCTTGTCCCTGGGGTGATGGGTGTGGACCAGGGTATCTGCCTCTGGGGGTCCTGGTGGGAGGTAAGGGCCTCACTGCAGGTGTGCTCATTTGTTTCTTCCTCTCTACAGAAGGCCTGGATTTACGAGGTCCCCCAGGCCCACCTGGACCACGTGGGCCACCAGGTGAGCCTCCTTGGCATCTTTGGGGTCAGGAGACGTGAGGCTCCGAGGGAGGGGTCCGGGCTGCTGCTCCCAGGGTGACTCACCCCCCTCTCTTCTGCAGGACCTTCCATCCCTGGCCCACCCGGCCCCCGAGGCCCTCCAGGTGAGAACCCACCTCTCTGCCGGGACGGGAGAGAGCACTGCTGGGGCTGACAGCGGGACCCAGAACGCAGCCCCCTGCAGAAGTGTCCCCAGCCCACCTGCCGGCACTAATCAGGCTTGGGCTTCTCTCCTAGGGGAAGGCGTGCCAGGCCCCCCGGGCCCCCCAGGATCCTTCCTGGCCAACTCAGGTAATGTCTGATCGTCCTGTCGTGTTTCTGTCAACTGTCCACATAGCCATTCATCCCCGTGACAGCACGGCCTGGGTGCGTCTGCCACACCAAGTGCTATGCTGAGAGCTCATCACCACAACCACACACAAACTCCTTCTGTTCTCCGCAGAAACCATCTTCTCTGGGCCCCCCGGACCCCCTGGCCCTCCTGGCCCCAAGGGAGACCAAGGTGAGGACAGTGTCTCAGGGAGGTCCAGGGCCTCTGTGACCCCTGCCCACCCGCCTGGTGGCCAGGAGCGTTTGCATGGGGCTGGTTGAGCCGGGTCCCATGTGAGCAGCCTGCAGCTCGGGGTGGGGAGGGGGAGTGCGAACACGGTGGTCACAAACGTGGCCCAGAGCTCCTGCTCCATGTTGGCTGGCAGGGAGGAGGGGTACAGGGAGCCCCAAGCTCTGTGCCTCAGCACCACAGTCCCTGCTCCCCGACCTGGGGATCACAGAAGCCACACCCCCTGATTGGGATGCATCTCTCAGCTCTCTGTCTCCTTCCTTAGGTCCCCCAGGCCCCCGAGGACACTCAGGTAAGGCAGAGCTGGCATCCGACAAAGCCTGAGCTGGGGCTGGGGTGGCAGGAGCTGACCTTCCAAGACCCCTGAGCTTATGGGCAGTGCACTTGGTCCCCACAAGCAGGAGCGGATCAGAGACGTGTCTATGAACGGTCAAGTGTGTTGTGTGCATGGGTGTGCACACACGTGGGGGGAGCTCCAAGTACCATGTACCGGGCAGGGCAGCCCCAGCAGTCCTGGACTTCAGAACCCCTGGAGGGAGGTGGTGGGGAGGGCAGGGGTGGGAGACTAGGACTGCAGTCCCTGGCAAGGGCTCCTCAGGCGAGCCAGGTCTCAGGGCTCTCAGCTTCCAGGAGGTGCCGAGCCCCCATCCACGGCGGCTCTGGCTTGCTGACTGCACCGCGTGTGTGCTTGGCTTCCAGCGTCCAATTCTCTTGGAGTCGATCTACAGGGACCACCAGGCCCACCTGGCCCGCAGGGACCCAAAGGTGACAAAGGTCAGTGAGGGAGCAGCCAGGAAGGTGGGGAGGAGTGGGCATGGCCTGGCCCCAGAGCCCAGCGCCAGGATGGAGCTGTGAGAAGCTGTGAAGACCAAAGTCTTGGGAAAGAATAGGCCAGAGGGAGGAGGGACAAGGACGGGGAGCTGCAGTCTCTCTCCAAAGGGAGCTGGTGGTATTGTTGCTGAAATGAGACTGAGACTTGGGACAGTGGTAGAGTCACACGGTAACAGGTGTGGTTGCACTTATCCAGGGCAGGCTTCCTGGAGGTGATGCAAACAGGCCTTTTTGTTTTGGATTCCAGGTGATCCTGGCATTCCTGGTGGGCCCTCCAGAGGTAAGACCCAAGGGTGACCCAAGTTCCTCTCTCCCTCTCTCTAGTGAGGCAGAGCCCCCAGTAAGGATGTGCTTGTCCATTCCTGCCTGCCTGGGCTCCTTATTGATAGGCGCCTCCCCCACATGCTGGGATCCACGAGCTGCCTCTAAGGTTCCGTGGTCGTGGGGGTGGGGAAATGACCGAGCCATGCAAAGATAACAGCGCCAGGTGGGGAATGGCGGGGACCCCAGCAGGCCCAGGAGCCAGGGCCCCGGGGGAGGCAGGGGCTCTGCGAGGCAGTGAGCAGCTTGAGGGCAAGCGTGGTTTGCCTGGGCCCCACTGCCGCTCCTTTCAGCCAACACCGCTGTAGCCACTGCGTGCGCCTCTTCTTGGGGGCCAGCTCTTGGCTGGCTTCTCCCACTGAGAAGGCCCCTGTCCTCCCTGTGTGGGGGCAGCCCCTGGGCCCCTCTTCAACCCGGCCTGTGTGGGGAAACCCACCGGGCACCTCTTCTTGCCGCAGGGGGATCATCAAGCACCACGTACATGCAGGGCCCACCCGGCCCCCCCGGGCCCCCGGGCCCCCCAGGCTCCGTCAGCAGCTCCAGTCGTGAGATTCAGCAGTACCTGGCTGAGTACCTGCAGAGTGAGTGCTGGCCCTCCACGCCTGGGGACACCTTAGGGCAGCGGAGAGCATGTGTGCACACACGCGCGTTTGTTCCTCCCCCACCTGCCCCTCACCCCATCTGGAGGCCCACTCACTCACATACTCACCCCCATGCACACTCTGGCACGCGTGTGCTCACACGTACCTCCCCATCCCTGCGCGAGAGTGACTGGTCAAATGAGTGGCCAATCGCAGTCTTGTTGGATCACAGCCTTCCGGCCCACCTGACCCAGCACAGGCTGCTGCCTCAGTTTCTCCACCTGTAACAAGGCACCCAGGGTCCCTGCTGCCTGTGCCGTGGGGCAGGCACCTCATCCAGCTGTTCTGGGCACACCATGAGGAAGACCCGCCCTCTTGGGGCCAGGCTTGACTTTGCTGCATTCCTCTGCTGGCAGGTGACAGCGTCAGGTCTTACCTTTCTGGAGTCCAGGGCCCCCCTGGCCCCCCGGGTCCCCCAGGGCCCGTCACCACCATCACGGGCGAGACCTTCGACTATTCGGAGCTGGCGAGCCTCGTTGTGAGCCACCTGAAGAGTAAGCTGTCTGCGGGCCCTGTACTCGGACACCCTCCTCCTGAGGGCCCGCTTCTCTTCCTGCGCTGTGCTCTGCCCTTCTGAATTCGCCTTTTCAATTCTGGACGTGTGAGATCAGGCCTCGGGGACCCGGGGATCCACTTCCAAGGGCCACGCAGAGCGCCAAGATTTGGGAGCTTTCCTGCCTGGACCAGGCGTGTTCTCAGTCGCAGGCTGCTGACCTGCTCGGGAAGGGGGTGCTGCAGGCTGGAGGGGGAGGGGAGGGGTCAGGCTGAAACATATTCTGGAAAACAGCCTGCATTTCTTACCAAAGCAAAGACAGTCTCCGGCCTTTCTGTGCTTTCAAAACAGCCTCGCCATGCCCCATTCCTTCATTTCCCCAAAGAGAAGCCACTAGCGGACCAGGCCTTTCAGATCCTGGCATGGCGAGGGTGTGGCCTTGGAAGGGGATGAGTGGCTAACCTGGGCCTTCTTGACCATAGCTTCTGGGTACAGCCTCAGCTCGGCCTCGGCCTCCATCTCGTCTGAAGACATCCTGGCGGTGCTGCAGCGTGAGTCACCTGCCGTGGGCTGGGCACCCCTTGACCTCACTTGTCAGGCAAGCCTGGTCCCATCGCCCCTCCCCCAGAGCTCCCCGGCTGCTTGCTGAGCCTGCAAAGGGATGGTAACCCTCCCCCTCCAACACCAGGAAGCTGAGAGGCACCCCTGCCAGGGCCTGGGAGTTCTCCACCCACTCCCCCTGACCAGGGTGGGCCTGAGCCCGGCACCCACAAGAGTCACACAGGAAGCAGTCTGGGCAGGGGGACCCACCTGTGGCCAGAGCGGGTCCATGCGAGTGCATCCTCTCCTCTCTAGGGGACGATGTACGTCAGTACCTCCGTCAGTTCCTGACGGGCCCTCGGGGTCCCCCGGGGCTTCCAGGAGCCAGCGCCGATGGGGCCCTGCTGTCACTGGACTACGCAGAGCTGAGCAACCACATTCTCAGCTACATGGCCAGTGAGTGTCTGCGGGCAGGGCGGCTGGGAAGGGCCTCTGGCCCCCTCCTGCCAGGCTGCACCCAGCCCAGCAGAGGGAGCAGCCTGCAGAGTCACTCAAACCCATGGCCCAGAGGAGGTCAAGGGAAGCCGACACCAGTGTCTTAGGGCCTGTCCTGCATGGACTTGGTACGTGGTGCAGTGCCCCCTCCACTCCCCTGCCATACCCTCACCCCCGCCAACGGCTGTTGACCTGTGCTCCTCCCGAGTCCCAGGGCCACCCTCCCTCTGGGGTGGCACAGCCCAGCACAGCGTCTCCCTCCCACCCCTCTTCCCTTCCCCTGATGGCACTTGTGTCCAGATCACTGGGCTGACCCCCCTCACAGGGTGTTTCCACCTGCCTTGTCTGAACCCATCACAACTTCGGCTTTGTTCCCCAGGCTCCGGGATCAGCATTGGGCTTCCTGGGCCCCCTGGCCCCCCAGGCCTGCCAGGAACATCCTATGAGGAGCTCCTCTCCCTGCTCCGAGGTGAGGCGGTGCACAGAAGTCTGTCCACATATGTGGGATGGAAGCAGAACCCTCGGGTCAGGCCACGACTGACCCCTTGCTCTTCCTTCGTGTCCCAGGGTCTGAATTCAGAGGCATCGTTGGACCCCCAGGCCCCCCAGGGCCTCCAGGGCTCCCAGGCAATGTGTGGTCCAGCATCAGCATGGAGGACCTCTCGTCTTACTTGCACAGTGAGGCACCGGGGAGGGGGCACAAGGAGGACAGAGGATGTGGCCTAGGTTTGGGGGTGCCTGTGGATTTAGGCGAGGGCATCCACAGACGACCGAGCGCATACAGGGCTGGCCCTGGAGAGGGCCCCAGTTGATGAGGTGCCCTTGGCCTTCTCAGGGCGGGAGCCACTGCTCCCAAACGCGGCCCCTAGAGAACTGAGATGCTGTATGTGATTTGAGTCAGACGGGGTCTCCAAGGCTCCATGCTGAAGGGCTGGGAGGGGGCTAGGATGTGTGTAGGAAGGAGGCTCAGAAGTGGGCGTGGAGGGCCAGTCCGAGCCGCCCTTTCCCAGAGGATGCTGGGAAGTGGGCAAGCTCTCGACCTGCTGCTGCTTCATCCTCTGCTCACCCAGAGGCCCAGCCTCGACCTCTCCTTTCCACAAAGGGGTCCCCAGTGGGCCCAGCGCCTGGGCTGGGAATTCTGCTGTCTCTGCTTGATGACCTTTGACCTTCCTCTTTCTCTTCCTCCCACCCAGCTGCCGGCTTTTCCTCCATCCCAGGCCCTCCTGGTCCTCCTGGGCCCCCAGGTCCTCGTGGGCCCCCTGGGGTCTCGGCAGCTCTAGCGACCTATGCAGCTGAAAACAGCGACAACTTCCGGAGTGAGCTGATCAGCTACCTCACAAGTAGGTGCCCTCCTGTGCCCACTTCTCCACCCTGTAAGTGGGGCAGCAGGTGCTTGACGTTGCCTGGAGACCAAATAGATGAGAGTCTCTGTCTTTGGGGTACACCCTGCTTCTTTCCTCACGAGCGTGCTCCTACGCACGTACAGGGACCCTAACACTCTTTCAGCTCATAAGGGTCCTTGAGACCCTGGGAGAGACCCCCTAGCTCCCAAGTCTTTCCACCACAACTTGAACTCCCACTCCATGCAGGTCCTGATGTGCGCAGCTTCATCGTGGGCCCCCCAGGCCCGCCGGGGCCCCAGGGACCCCCTGGAGACAGCCGCCTGCTGCCACTGGACGCCGCCTACAGCAGGAGCAGCAGCTCCTCCGCCCGCCGGAGCTCCTCCTACAGTTCAACGGGAGGCTCCTTGGGCGAAGGGGGAGCCTTTGGTGCAGGAGCCGGGGGCCCCTATGGCACTGACATCGGCCCAGGCGGAGGCCTTGAGGCAGCAGAGGGCGGCGCGTACGGCAGCAATGGAGGATCATCCCGGAACGGCTTTGCTGGAGATCTGGATTACAACGAGCTGGCTGTTCGGGTGTCAGAGAGCTTGCAGCGTAAGTAGGGACGTTCAGGCCTCCGTGCGGGGGGGGGGGGGGGGGCTTGTACGCCCCCACAACTGGGCTGCAGACACCGGCCCTTGTTTCTGTGAAGACAGCGGCTCTGGAATCTGTTGGGTAGGGACTGCAGATGGGAGGCATCGTCCTGGTCCTCAGCCGGCTCAGCTCGGGGGCCCCGTGCTGGGACCTAGGCACTGGGGGAGTCCCAAGCAGTCCAGGAGGGGTCTTGGTGCTTTGCTTTCCAACACCTCACTTGTTCTGGGTCTCCCAAGAGTCATCATGACCCTGGCACTTCTCCGGTGGGTCCAAAGGGAGTTGTTGGCTAAGACACCTTTCCTCCCTGTGGCTTTTCAGTCCAGTTAGGCAGGACGCTGCTACTGCATGCCCAAGTGTGTGGGGCACACAGGGGCAGTCACCAGGGCGGTGCCCATACTGTAGCTGCATCCCATGCTCTGGTGTTTTCCAGGTCAGGGCCTGCTACAAGGAATGGCCTACACTGTCCAGGGCCCACCAGGCCAGCCCGGGCCCCAGGGGCCCCCTGGAATCAGCAAGGTCTTCTCTGCCTACAGTAACGTGACTGAGGACCTCATGGACTTCTTCCGAAGTAAGGCCATCCCCTTGCTTTCCCAGTACCTTCCTGCTGCGCAGCCTCCCATGAGGCCTGCTCGGTGGACCACGCTTGTGAAAACCTGCCTGTACTGGAGATGCTGAACATCAGATAAACTCCGAACCGTGTTTCCTCTTGCAAGTGCAAACTCCATCACTATCTGTCGGTGATGCTTTGCACAGTTCGCGGGGCCATGCAGGCTGCAGGGCAGGCTCTAGCCTAAGGTCCTTTTTCACTCTCTTGCAGCTTATGGAACCATTCCAGGACCCCCTGGGCAGAAGGGGGAGGTGGGCATCCCAGGACCCAAAGGTAAGTGGTGACAGAGAAGCAGCCCCCGCAGGCCACACCATGACCACCCCCTGCCAAGAAGCACCTGTGGTGCCTCAGCCGCTCCTCCAGCCCTGGCACTCACGGAGCACTTGGTCATGCCCCCATCTTCCTTCTAGGTGACAGAGGCTCTGCTGGACCAAGAGGTCTTCCTGGGCCACCTGGCCCTCGAGGGCACAAGGGAGAAAAAGGAGACAAAGGTAAGTGCTGGCTGCACAGGGGAGTGCCAGAGCGAGCCGAGAAAGGCAGGTAGATGCCAGTGACCGAAGGCAGCCCCTGCTAAGAATGCCACTTTCACAAGTCACATTGGCAGGGAGAAGGGAAGAATGCCAGTCTAGTGGAGGAAGAGATGTTCAGAAAGTCAGTCTTAAAAAAGGTGTCTTCTTTGAAGCCTTCTTTGCAGCCAGTTACAGTTGCTGTGGTCACCCAAGCTGAGGTCCCCACGGCCACATGCTATTCTAACTTCCTACTCATCTTCTTTCAGGTGACCAAGTCTACATTGGGCGGAGAAAGAGAAGTATCGCCACCAAGCCGTGAGCTAACCTTGGCGGAACAAGCCCCTGGACCGGTTCTTACAATGCTTATGGGCACTTACATCAAATTCTCTCTCAAGCGTGAAAGCTGGAGCCTGCCGATGTCCTACTGACAGCATGGCCTGAACAGTCCACCAGCAACACCTGTTTTAGTCTGAACAAGATACAGGCATACATATAGCATTCAAAGACGATCTGAAAGCCTCAGGGGCAGACTTTAACAGTAGGTGCAACGTTTTAGAACGAGAGTGACTTCTCTGCTCTCTAGCTCTGTGCTCTTGACTTCTTTAATACTTAGTTCACGCCCCAAGCTAGGAAGGCCAGTTCACGCAAGCTTGTTCAGGACTCTTGGAGCTTTGCCTAAAACTGAATCCAGGAAACAAAGACTGGATGGGGTGCCTCTGCGAGGTGACACTGGGCAGGTGCGTCCCGGTTATTACTGCGAGCTGCGCTGGCAGCTCCTTCCTCCGCCGTTCCCTCTGCATTCTTAAGTCACAGAAAAGTTAGCTAAGATGCGATGCTTGCTACTGACAAAATTAAGAAATTCACTTCCCTTATAGGAGGTGACAGGGTTTCTCAGTTATATTACACATGTGTATCACAGTCCGACTGGCTTAGAGAGTCTGACTGCAGCTATAATATGTATCCACAGGTCCACGCTAGAGTTCAGAGAGAGGCTGTATTGAAGTAGATGTGGGCAATGAGCAAGGAATAGAGGGAGAGGAGGGGAAAGAGGCTCCCTGACACTGGGAGAGGGGGCTTCCACTTGAGACGTCGTCCTCTGCTCTGCACTTAGGACATGGCGTGGAGGACTGGGTGCAGTTGGCTTTTAAGCACTTTTCAATGTCTAAAAACATCTGCATGTGGTCTATGAGATGAAAAGTCATTTCAGTTGTAAAATCTTCAATTAAAGTTTTTTTTTTCTTTTTTAGTATGTTTAAATGTGAGGGGTTAAAAAGGAAAGAATGAACAAACATGTTCTGGGTCAGTTTGGTCTAACATTATTTACATAAATGAAAAAAACAAAGGTGGTTGTATTTTGGGGCACAGATTCTGGCATTTCATTTCATCACGGAGCCCTCTACAGGCAGACCTCTGGTACTGTCAGCTCTCTGGGCCTGTTAGGAAGCATCGGAAGGTCTCCCCTAAGCCCAAGTTACCTGAAATAAACACTATTACAAATGAGCAACATCACTTACAATTAATGCAGTGATTTACTCTGGGCCAAAAGAATTATTGATAATAGGGCAGGTAATACATGAAATAGCAAAATTCCTCCTGAGTTAAAATGTAAAGATACCAAGTACCCCAAAGAAATGCACAGTAAAAACATTAAGTGCAGGGGCCAGCGCTGTGGTGCAGTGGGTAAATCCGCCGCCTGTGGTGCTGGCATCCCATATGGGCACCGGTTCGAGTTCCGGCTGCTCCACTTCCAATCCAGCTCTCTGCAGTGGCCTGGGATAGCAGAAGATGGCCCAAGTCCTTGGGCCCCTGCACCCATGCAGGAGACCCAGATCAGCGCAGCTCCATTGCGGCTATCTGGGAAGTGAACCAGCGGATGGTAGACCTCTCTCTTTTTTTCTCTCTTTCTGCCTCTCCTTCTCTCTGTGTAACTCTTTCAAATAAATAAATAAGTCTTTTAAAAAATGCTAAAACATTAAGTGCAGAAGAGGAAATACTCGGTCAACCCGAGGATGTTACAAGCTGTGACTCTCAACTGCTGGATAATTTAAAATGGGGTTAAATTAAATCTACTTCTCCACCTCTACTCTTCTAAAAGACTGGACTGTTTGTTTTCTTTATGGTCTCCCCTGGGTATCTCACATCTTATCCAAGAGAAAGACACACCATTTAGTTTCATGGTATCAAGCATCCACTCACGCCAGCCATCAGCAAGCACCCAATACTCTGCATCAGTCTCTTTGTCTCCTTTACCATCTTACGATGGCCACCTACAATGAGCCAATCTAGGGATTTAACAACGGGCTCACATGGCCCTCAGAATTTTAACCAACTTATTTTTACCAGCTAGTGAAAACTTACATTGTATATAATGAACGAATGCAAAAAATGTACCTTTTAATAATTAAAATAATTCATTGGTGACAAAGTTTATCAGATTTAACCAAAAGCTGGATTTACTTTTACTTTTTTCACAAGTGCTCTAGGGGGTGGGCGTTTGGCACAGAGGTTCAGTCGCTGCCGCACATGCCCAGGCCCTGTAAGTGGAGTGCCTGGTGAGCTCTGGCTCCCCTGCTTGCAATCCAGCTTCTTGCTCATGTGCACCCGGGGAGGCGGCAGGTGACGGCTCCAATACTTGGGCCCCTACCACCCATGTGGGAGACCAAGGCAGCACCAGGCTTCTGGCTTCGACCTGACCCAGCCCTGGCTGTTGTCTGGCTGGTGTGGGCATTTCAGGTGTGAGCAAGTGAATGGAATCTCTCTCTCTGCCTTTCAAATAAAATGAAAGTAAGTAAATGTTTTTTTTTCTAAAGTAGCTTCAGGGGCTCAAGTATTAGAACTGCTTTTTTTTTTTTTTTTGACAGGCAGAGTAGAAGTGAGAGACAGAAAGAAAGGTCTTCCTTTACCGTTGGTTCACCCTCCAATGGCCGCTGCAGCCAGCGTGCTGCAGCCGGCTGATCAAAGCCAGGAGCCAGGTGCTTCTCCTGGTCTCCCATGGGGTGCAGGGCCCAAGCACTTGGGCCATCCTCCACTACACTCCCGGGCCTTAGCAGAGAGCTGGCCTGGAAGAGGGGCAACCGGGACAGAATCTGGCGCCCCGACCAGGACTAGAACCCGGGTTGCCGGCACTGCAGGCGGAGGATTAGCCTATTGAGCCACAGCGCCGGCCAGAACTGCTCCCTTTTAAAAAGTTTATATTGGGGCTGGTGCTGTGGCATGGTAGGTTTAGCCTCCCTCTGCTGCACTGGCATCCCTCATGGGTGCCTGTTCACGTCCCGGCTGCTCCTCTTCCAATCCAGTTTTCTGCTTACAGCCTGGGAAAGCAGTGGAAGATGATCAGAGGTCCAAGTGCTTGGGCACCTGCAACCATATGGGAGACCTGGAAGAAGCTCCTGGCTTTAGATTAGCCCAGCTCTGGCCATTGAGTTAGAGGCTCTAACTCTGCCTCTCAAATAAATATTTCTTTTAAAAAAGCTTATTTGAAATGCAGGAGAGATCTCTCAACTGCTTGTTCACTCTCCAAATACCCACAATAGCCAGGGCTGGGCTGGGGCCGAAGCCAGAAGCCAGGCCCTCAATCTAGATCTCTCATGTGGGAGGCTGAGACCCAACTACTTGAGCCATCACCTGCTGCCTTCCAGGGCTGCGTTAGCAAGAAGCTGGAGTCAGGAGCCAGAGCTCGGAATCAAACCCAGGTACTCCAATGTGGGACTTACTAGCTAGGCCAAACGCCACCCTCATATTCCCTCTTAATGATTCTTACCTTGATGAATCAGACTAGCTTTCCCCTTGTGATTATGACTGTATCTTACTAAGATACTCAAAAGTCTTCAGAGTTCTTTGCCCAAGAGAAATAGGGTAGGACTCCAAATCTGCAGTCTTCCCTGGACAAAACCCAGAACAAGGGCGGGCAGATATGAGGTATGCTCTCAGCTGGATCGCACTGGATCTGAGCCCCTTTTGTTTCATCTTTTTTTTTTTTTTAAAAAAGACAAGAATGAGCTCAATGGTGCACAATACTCCTAGATTAGAAAGTGACATGCTACGCCTCCCTCCAACCACACTGAACACTTGCCAAATGATGCTGTCCAGAGCCTGCTGAATCTTGTGTATCAATGATAAAAAGAGGTTATTTGAGCAGAAGTGACATCATATCATCTGTGTAACTGCTTTCCATGAAGGAAAATCTATCCCAAGGGAGGAAAGAGGAGGGGAAATGTGGATGTATATATACACTGATGGAAGTGTTTTGACCTCTGGAAAAACCTCACCTGCCTCCCACCCCCCACCCCCCACTATCATAGAAAACTACATTTGTGAGATTTGTGAGTGTGGTAGTCACACAGTTGGTTACAACTACAGACAGCTAGGAACACTGGTAAGTTGGGAAGGGTTAGGAGACCTGGATGATGGCAAGTTTGAAAATGCAACTAGGACCCCAAAAAGTAGCAAAGTGTTCTCATACAAGACAATCCGGTTCCAAAGATTCTCAACAACAACAACAAAATGCTTCCCAAAATATATTAAGAAATAACTTTATTTTTTATTTGCCAATCTCATGATTGAAAAGACATGTTGATCCCAAAGAGACAAGAGGCATGACCTGGAACAAAATTCTTTCTGAAAATTTAGTTTGTGAACTTACAACACTGCAAATCAGAGGATCACAAAAAGCTGCAGCCAACACTTAAAAACTGGTAAAAACACTCTATCCCAAGCTTAGGAGCAGAAAGGTGAAAGCTTTTCAAAACCATCATCAGCAACAGAACAGCAACAATGGAGGAATTAATTGTTATGCCCTCAACTTGAGAAAAGCATTTACAAATACCATCCCATTTCCTAGAAAAGATCATTTTGCAGAAAAGAACTGATTTATTGAATCAAAAGACTATTAGCACAGAATTCTCTTCTTCCCTTCAGTTCTAGGTTTTCCTTTACTCAACAGCATCTCTAGCTCATGCCTGGACAGAATTTGGCTTCTCAGAAGAATCCTTGTCATTTCAGCACAGTGTGGAACAGGGGAAAGTGTGTACTTACAAGGGGACCAGAAGACTACAAAAAACAATCACTTCTGGAGCTTGCTGATGCTCAAGAAATCAGAGACGAGGGTCTCATTAATGCCTGAGAGCTTTGTGCTTGAGGAAACACTAGAGTAGAGGTAGCTCTGGTTCTGGTTTGTATTTAATAATGATTTGTTAGATCCTGTCATAGGAAGGTTCTAATTGTTTGAACAAAATGAAAGCACTCTGAATTTTTCTTTCCCACCCTCCAGTTTCCTATAAGAAAGGGTAAGAAAAAGCTTAATGTGACTCCACACAGAATAGCAGCTAATTCAGTAATTCATACCCTGTGGGCTGACAGGACGAGTAAAGGCAGTGTGGTGCCCTGGGCTCTAGGAGGAAGACCTGCAGAAGAGCAGAGGCCTTGCGTGTTCACAGCCCTCAGGGAAACGAGGGGAGGCTACTGTCTAGGGTGCACAGACTGAGAATTTCTTTTGCACACGTCACAGCACATTCTCCCCCAGCAACAACCACCCAAATGAGGAATGGATCTGGCTGCACGCGTAGCGGCTTCCTCACCCTCACTTCATGCAGGAAAGATCGTTATTACCTATTGAATACAGGGCTGTGTACGAGGTGGGAGGGCATGGATACAAACAGCACATTCCATAAGAAAACACTTTTTGAAAAGATTTATATAACTTTAAGCATTAAATGAATGATTCACCTCTGCATGTCCTACACCCACATGGTCATATTTGAAAGAGAACTCAAGCACAAACACTGAATCCAAAGGGCGGTTCTAAGGGAGGTGCGAGAGTTGCTGATAAACTTACCCCAAGTGTTTAACTGTTCCTCTCTGAGCCTCTCTCCTTGATTCAACACTCTGAATGTCAAGTTGGAAGGATTAGAATCAAATATTCAGACCAAATTAATAATGTGCGATAAACTATTTAGTACAGGATATTTAAATGATATTGAAAAAATGCTCATTGCCTGAAGTATTCATTTTTTAAAAGCCAATAAACTGAAAATTTCAAAGGAGAAAGTAGTATGAGAACCTTCCTCCCCTCTCCCTCTTCAAATAATCATTAAATACACTGGGCAACATTATACAATCATTTTTATCATAACAATATAAACAATTTCCATCATAATCCTGAATATTACTTTATAAAGATATATATTTTAAAAGGCTTTCAAAACAATTTTCAACCCAGCATCTGAGAATAAAGCATTAAGAGTTTTGTTTACAGCAACACATTCATGTGATAAGTGTATGAATTTACAACATACATAATATATATATGTATATATATATATTTATATAAAAAACAAACTTGGCCAGAAGTTAAGGCTACCTACAAAGTTGTCCAAGTAATTTTACTTGTCAAAACAATTACAAAGTTAAAATCATACATGCATTTTTAAATCATCTAAACCACCAAAATAAGGTTCAGCATCCAAAGTTTTCAAATTAACTGAAAGAAAGTGCTACAGACATATACATTTTCTTAATATCAAATCAGTGTTCCCAGAACATTACATTTAAATTTTTCACCAGCCTCAGAAGTAATATAACTAAAAACTCAAACTTTTACAATTTGGTACCTACTACTCTTAAAAGAGAATAGGTTGCAAATGGCAGGCAGCAAGCACCACTGACAAATGTGCTCTCTCTCCTGCACCCCAGTACAGACTATAATACTGTTTGACCTGACACACTGAAATTCTAAGCCTCAAAAGGAACTAAGAATGAAATTTCATTAATAATTACACATATCAGCAACCACATGATAAAGGTTTCAGGCCTTTCCCACGTAAATCAAAGTAAATAATTTAATCATGGAATAAAATAAAACTTCATTTCAAAATAAGAAAAAGTCATTTCTAATATTTGTCTTAATATTTAAATCCTGCTTGAAAAGTATTGTGAACAAATGTCTCTTTTAAGATTAACTTCATAAAATATATTTATAAATATAACTCAGAACCTACAGGCTTCTGACAGTTTGAAATATAACAAAATTTGCTATGATGGAGACAAGTTTTCTAACCAGTTGATGTATTAAGAAATAAACTGGGACAACCAAATCTATATTACTTTTAATTTTGTGAATTTTACATTTCCAATTTCAAATCTAAAAGCTATTTTTCTGCTTTTCCAAACTTAGTAAAACATATATTTCAGGATGAAAATATTTATCAAATAATAGATCATTTAAAAACAATAAAGCTTAATACTAAGGGTGTTTTGTCCCTACTGATCAAAAAGAAAATCCTATTGACTGGAATTTAGTCCTACAGGCACTATCTTTAATAAAACTAGCACCCTCAGTCATTAATTAGCTCATGCCTAAACAGGCAATTATTTTCAACAAATTACTGAAGTAACTTTCCTTCAAAAAGACTCTATTTAAAGAAAAAATATATTTATTTACTGAATCAACAGCATATTCTGAGCAACTTATATAGTTTTATGAGTGCTGATTCACCAAATGAAAATTACTCTAACTCCTTATAGCACAGTTTCAACCACAGAATGTAGGCATCATTGAGAATTCAGATCAAGTAAAAAGATATTTATTAACAATACTTAGTAATGTAACAGGTTTTTAAAAAACAAATTTAAACATTATTTCTCTAACAATTTTGCAGGTAACAGTGTCTGAAGAACACAATTTTTAAGAATAATATACAAAGTCACCTTAGGGAAATACTACATAAGATGCACTTTGCCAACATGGCCCAGCACCTGTCTTAGTTCACTTTCCCTTCATCTTTTCGTGAAACAAAACAAAACAAAACCCTCTAGAAGGTGAGGCAGGTGATTGTCTCCATGGCAGAAGATGAAGAGAATACAAGGACATATTTAAAAAGCCACCCAGACCACAGAAGTCCTCCCACTGTTACGATCCAGTGGAATGCAAGCTAGGAATGGGATAGAATTTAGAAATTCGGCTCTGTGTTGACGGGTTAAGGCATTCAGACTCTCCAGTCATTTTAAAGAACACTTCCTGTTCCTGGAGTTTCCTGGCAAACTCTTCTTCCAATGTCTTAAAAAGGAAGGGAAAAAGAAAGAAATTGTTATGTGCTGGTATTATACTGTACATGGAATTTACTGACGGCAAAGAGAAAACCACATGTCCCAAACACTTCTCTGTGTATCATCCTAAGGAAGCCAACTGCTCAGTAGTGAAGATCAGAAGCTTTGAACGCCCCTGGTTTCAAGTTCTAGCTCAGCCATGTGAACAGATCACTTGGGTGAATTACTTCACTTCTCTGCATTACAGTATCATTTACTATCTCTGCTGTGAAACAAGGAGACTACCTATCTCACTGATTTGCTCTGTCAAGAATCTACACAGTAATGATGGACTGACCACACACTGGGTGCCGCAACAGACAGCACCTACTATTAGCTAAATCTGACTCTCACACAAGCCCCTTACCACCTTCTACTTTCTGTTTTAGTTATCAATATGCATGTTTTTCTTCTATACGCTATGTAAAGGACAGATCTAAACTAAGTTTACCTTTACATCCCCAAGATACACAACATAAATAGTTAAGTACTTGATAAATACCTGAAGTACTGTTGCGATCTCAGTGTTTGTGTTCCCCCCACTCCCAGAAAATTCTCTTACACCTAATCCCAAATATGATAATATTAGGAAGTTGGGTCTTCCAGAGGTGACTAGGTCATAAAAGTGGAACTCTCATTCATGGGATCAGTGTCCTCATAAGAGGCTGAAGGGAGAGCTCTTCACCCTTTGCCACGTGAGGACAACATGAGCAGGTAGCAGTACATAACCAGGAGAGAGCCCTCACCAGAGCCTGACCATGCTGGCACCCTGATCCAGATATCCCAGCCTCCAGCTCATGGTATTTAGCTGTAGCAGCCTCAATGGATTAAGATAGGCATCACTGACTTTGTGGACAAGTGAGTCAGGGATAAATGCTGTTGTAAAGGTAGAAATGATAGGAAAAGATAGGAGGATACAAAAATGTATCTCAGAAGAGGTGAAACATGAGCTTGATCTGCAGAAAAGATTAAGAATTCAATAGACAAAATGGGGAAGGCATGCCAGACAGAGGGGGCCCAAACAACGGCACAAAGCAGAAAACTGCAGAGCTCATGTGGAGAATAGTGACTACAACCCATGCAGGAACAAGGACTGGGAGTCAAGTGGGTGGTGAGAGATGAAGCTACTAAGGTTGTGTTGTACTACGAAGGCTTCAAAATCAAACTGAGGCATTTAGAAGATTTATCAATACCACTGTGATGATACCACAGACGTTCTTTAAGAACTCTGATGATGCCAGTTAAGTAGGAAGAAAGGAAATAGAGACCAGAGTGCCCATGAAGACACTACTGAACAATATAAGCAAGTAGTAGGATAAGGACAGCAATGAGGATAAGGAGAAATACGATGAAGACAATAAGAATTAATTGGCATCTAACTGAAGTGTGACAGAAATGAAAAACCATTTGAGTTTCCAGCCTAGATGTCAGTAAGAGGACAGGAATACAGGGAGGACATGATGGCAGGCAGGAGTACAAGGTGAGAGACATGAGTGGAGAGATGTTGAACTAGTTCAATCTTTGCTGAGTTTACAGTCTGAAGTCAACATTCAATAGGTTTGATTTATCATTTACAACGTGCCAGAACCATTTGCTTTCAAATAGTTTATATTCTCAGGGAAGAAGACAAACAATAAACAAAATGTTAAAGCAAAAGAAAAAGAGAGGATTCAGAATGTTTGGGTGGGTGTGGAGGAGAGTTTACATGCAGTGATCAAAAGAAGAAGTCACTGATGAAATTATACTTGACTAAAGGCCTGAATGAGAGGAGCAGAACTTCAAGACAGGAAATGGGGGGGTTAAAGCTCAAACTAATAATAATAAAAACAATACACAGTAATAGCAACAGCAGACATTCACTGAACTCTGAATATGACTCAGGTACTGGGAAGAGTGCCACATACATTCTCATTTCTTGCAGCTTTCATAACTATCCCAATTAGGTAGATAATAATGCCATTGTTCTACACATGAGGAAAGCTGGGTCTAGAAATACTAAGGGATAAAATTAATCAGTAATTGTCGGCACTGAGATTTGAACCCACTTCTTTGTAACTTTAGAGCTTGTTCTCTATTTTTTTTTATAATTTTTAAAAAAAATTTTTTGACAGGCAGAGTTAGACAGTGAGAGAGAAAGACAGAGAGAAAGGTCTTCCTTCTGTTGGTTCACCCCCCAAATGGCCACCATGGCCGGCGCGCTGTGCTGATCTGAAGCCAGGAGCCAGGTGCTTCCTCCTGGTCTCCCACACGGGTGCAGGGCCCAAGGACCTGGGCCATCCTCCACTGCCCTCCCAGGCCACAGCAGAGATCTGGACTGGAAGAGGAGCAACCGGGACTAGAACCTGGCGCCCATATGGGATGCTGGCGCCGCAGGCGGAGGATTAACCAAGTGAGCCACGGCGCCGCCCCAGCTTTTTCTCTATTAATTTCTTCTGAGTTTTGGAAGTGTCCTTAAAAATGTAAGAACAGAAGCCACGCTGAGCCACAAAACCAGCACTGGGCAACGCCCACATGAGACAGAGGTGAGAGGTGAGGGGCGGGGACGGACAGAGGGGCGCCGTGGAAACCGCTGGGACGGGGTCTAGGAAATGAGGGGAGTTAGGTCAGAACACTTTCGATGAGGTCACGGGATTCAGTTGTAAACAGCTCACTTGTAACCACTGTCAACAAGTTCACTCAGGGACTGGAGGCAGAAGCCATATTGCAAGGAGTTAAAAAGAGAAACTGGACAGAGATTTTTCAATGCTTACTCTTCGGTACTTTTCGAATTCTAAACTGCATAACTGTATTACCTATTTAAAAGCATTAATAAATAAAAATGAAATTAAAAAACAATGCTATCAACTAAGTTGGGTCATTTAAATTCCTCTAGAAACCTTTGGTACACAACAGGGGCCAAATATGAGATGCTTAAAAAGTTCATGGAAAATGAATTTGAAAGATAATGTGATTTTCCACCAACTTTTTGAAGCCTCTGCATACATTACTTCTTTGAATGACTGATTGAGAGGATGCATCCGAGAAAAGCATGATTAATATGCATAACAGACAGGAAGATGAAGAGAAGAGAAAGATTTAAGTCTGAGGGTTGGCAAAGGGATAGCGATCACACAGTTATAGCAAAAGCAGAGTTGAAACGGCTCATCAGTAAGACCAGGACAGCAGGCAGTCAGGTACAAACAAGTGGGAGGAAGGCACAGAAGGAGGAAGACCATTCCTTCACTAGATTTAAATTTACATTTGGAAAGATAAATGAACAAATTAATTAATTAATTAATTTACATAACATACAAGAGCCTCTAGTCTGGCTCTAAGCAACTGGTCCAAACTCAGTGGGCATCATCATCACCGTCTCTCTTACTCCCTAATGCCCACACACAGGCTCACACATAACCCCGCTCTACAAATGCTCCAATGATAAGCACCCACTTGAGTTTCTGCACACTTCACTTCCACTCATTCTCTGTATAAGTTGCCCCCATTTCACTTCAGTCTGTCGGAGGGCCTGGCAAGCTCTTACTCACCCTACAAGCTTCACTTGGCTTACACAGCCACCTCCTCTCCAAGCTCTCCCCAACTTCCCCAGGCAGAAGGAGGCTCTCTGTGCCCTGCCTGTACATTCTGCTCCTTTTCCCTGTATCCTGTACTGAAATCCTCCACAGCGATGACCCTACCAATTTGTATAGCTTGGCAACTGTGAACCTTTTGGGGACGGCAACTATGTCTTTTCATCTATCTACACCCTGTCCCTGACACGGTACAGAGTGGGAGAGGAGCCAGTAGCTGGGTCATGGATAACTGCAAACACACCACTTTAAAGTTTTTAAAAATTACCTTTTTCCTAGGTCTCAACTTCTCTCTCCACTCCTTTAATTCTTGGCTGTGTTCTTCATCTAGCTCTTTTAGTTTCTGAGTCTCATGCTCAACCAACAGGTGGCATTTTTCATTCTGAAAATAAAGTCATATTAAAAGAATTTCAGATCAACTAAGCAATTTTTCACAAATATAACTATTTTCCAAAATAATAAATTACTTCTCAAACATCAGCTATTCTCCTTTAACAACCAAGGAATTATTCAAATTCTCCTTTATAAAACAAGGAACTATCAAAAATTATAAAATGAGCAGTTTCCTATTCACATGTTCAGAAGTTCTATTACACGCATATAAAAAGAGCTTCAATGGAAAGAAATTTTTTTCCCTTTTCTAAGGTCTATTTTTTAAGAAAACTTTTATTTAATAAATATAAATTTTGAAAGTACAACTTTTAGATTATAGCGGTTTTTCCCCCAATAACCACCCTCCCAAACCATCCCATCTCCTACTCCCTCTCCCATCCCATTCTTCATTAAGATTCATTTTTAATTATCTTTATATACAGAAGATCAACTTCGTATATACTAAGTAAAGATTTCAATAGTTTACACCCACATAGACACACAAAGTATAAAGTACTGTTTGAAGGCTAGTTTTACCATTAATTCTCCTAGTACAACATATTAAGGACAGAGATCCTACATGGAGAGTAAGCGCACAGTGACTCCTGTTGTTGATTTAACAATTGACACTCTTATTTATGACATCAGTAATCACCTGAGGCTCATGTCATGAGCTGCCAAGGCTGTGGAAGCCTCTTGAGTTCATAAACTCTGACCTTATTTAGACAAGGCCATAATCAAAGTTTTCTCCTCCCTTCAGAGAAAGGTACCTCAAGAAGGTCCACTTTTAAAACTGACACCTCAGAAGGCAGCTTGCACTAGGAACTATTCTACTTTTGTAAGTTAAACAAATATACAGAGTATCTTATACTACCACTTACACTATTCCGAAATTTTAAACATTTTAGGCTGGCTATACTATGTAGGATGCACACTTTAGGTAAGGCCCCAAAACAGCCCTTTCTAAAGCAACCTTTAAATGTACTAGAAGAAAAATTCCCAAATATCTATCACCTTTTCAAAAACCTAGAAAAATCAACTATGTCTGGCATTGTGGCATAGCAGGTTAAGCCACACCCATATGGGTGCTAATTTGAGTTCTGGCTGCTTACTCCATTTCCTATCCAGCTCCCTGCTAATAAGCCTAGGAAAGAAGCAGAGGATCATGGCCCAAGTGCTTGGGCCCCTGCACCCACGTGGGAGACCTGGATAAAGCTCCCGGCTCCTGGATTCAGCCTGGCCCAGCCCCACCCATTGTGGTCATTTGGGGAGTGAACCAGCAGATGGAAGATCTTTCTCTCTGAACTCTGCCTTTTAAGTAAATAAAATAAAATAAAATCTTTAAAAAAAAATCATCTGGCAAAACTACCTTTATCATTTTGAAAGCCTGTACATCTTACAAAATATCCTAAAGATAATACCCAATACAAGAAGACTCTATTTCCTAATTTATAATTTAGCTTCAAGGGACAGCCCTGTACAGCAAGTTAAGTCACCACTTGCAATGCTGATATCTGACATCAGAGTGCTGGTTCAAGTCCCAGTTGTTAGGCTTCCAATCCAGCTCCCTGCTAATGTGCCTGTGAAGGCAGCAGCAGATGGTCCAAGTACCTGGGTCCCTGTCACCCACAAGAGAGAACAGGAGGGAGTTCTTGGCTCCTGGCTTCAACCTGGCCCAGACCTGGCCGTTACAGGTATTTGGAGAGTGAATCAACAGATGGAAAATCTCTCTCTCTCTCTCTCTGTATATTGCTCTTTCAAATAAATAATATTTTAAACAGTCTGTTTTATTCTTTATGTATACAGCTTTTTAAAAAATATTTATTTGAAAGGCAGAGTTAGAGAGGCAGAGGCAGAGAGAGACAGAGAGAGAGAGGTCCTCCATCTGCTGGTCCACTCCCCAAATGTCTGCAACAGCTGGAGCTGTGCTGATCTGAACCCAGGTGCTTCTTCCAGGTCTCCCACACGGGTACAGAGCCCAAGGACTTGGGCCATCTTCTATTGCTTTCCCAGGCCATAGCAGAGAGTTGGATTGGAAGTAGAGCAGCTGGGACATGAACCAGCAACCATATGGGATGCTGGCACCACAGGCGGAAGCTTTATCCACTATGCCACAGCACTGGCCCCATAAATATTTTTAAAAATAGTACCCAATCAGCTTCATATTTACAGTAATCATGATCATACAAAATTTAAACAAGTTCCTATGATATCAAACTTATGTTTGGGTCTATACACACAGTCTCTACATCCTAGCATTTTCTTGACGTGCCACTTCCCTTGGTCAGCTGCCTTTTCTCCGACCCAACCCCAGTGTGTGCTCCTTGTTCTCAGCTGCTGTATCTCACCTGCAGCTGATGCAGTTCTCTCACGTTGGCTTCACACTGCAGCTGAAGATCTCGCATTTGATTTTCATGTTTTTGATGCTGAGCCATTCTCTCATTTTTCTGCCTCTTTTCTTCTTGGGCTGCAAACTATGAGCAAGAAAAACAAAAGATATGATTCTGTACTTAGAGGATCCAAAGAACTCTACTAAGAGACTATTGGAACTCATAGAGGAGTTTGGCAAAGTGGCAGGATATAAAATCAATGCACAAAAATCAACAGCCTTTGTATACACAAGCAATGCCATGACTGAGAAAGAGCTGCTAAGATCAATCCCATTCACAATAGCTACAAAAACAATCAAATACCTTGGAATAAACTTAACCAAGGACGTTAAAGATCTCTACGATGAAAATTACAAAACCTTAAAGAAAGAAATAGAAGAGGATACCAAAAAATGGAAAAATCTTCCATGCTCATGGATTGGAAGAATCAACATCATCAAAATGTCCATTCTCCCAAAAGCAATTTATAGATTCAATGCAATCCCAATCAAGATACCAAAGACATTCTTCGCAGATCTAGAAAAAATGATGCTGAAATTCATATGGAGGCACAAGAGACCTCGAATAGCTAAAGCAATCTTGTACAACAAAAACAAAGCCGGAGGCATCACAATACCAGACTTCAGGACATACTACAGGGCAGTTGTAATCAAAACAGCATGGTACTGGTACAGAAACAGATGGATAGACCAATGGAACAGAATTGAAACACCAGAAATCAACCCAAACATCTACAGCCAACTTATATTTGATCAAGGATCTAAAACTAATTCCTGGAGCAAGGACAGTCTATTCAATAAATGGTGCTGGGAAAACTGGATTTCCACGTGCAGAAGCATGAAGCAAGACCCCTACCTTACACCTTACACAAAAATCCACTCAACGTGGATTAAAGACCTAAATCTACGTCCTGACACCATTAAGTTATTAGAGAACATTGGAGAAACCCTTCAAGATATTGGCACAGGCAAAGAATTTCTGGAAAAGACCCGGGAGGCACAGACAGTCAAAGCCAAAATCAACTATTGGGATTGCATCAAATTGAGAAGTTTCTGTACTGCAAAAGAAACAGTCAGGAGAGTGAAGAGACAACCGACAGAATGGGAAAAAATATTTGCAAACTATGCAACAGATAAAGGGTTAATAACCAGAATCTACAAAGAGATCAAGAAACTCCACAACATCAAAACAAACAACCCACTTAAGAGATGGGCCAAGGACTTCAATAGACATTTTTCAAAAGAGGAAATCCAAATGGCCAACAGGCACATGAAAAAATGTTCAAGGTCACTAGCAATCAGGGAAATGCAAATCAAAACCACAATGAGGTTTCACCTCACCCCGGTTAGAATGGCTCATATACAGAAATCTACCAACAACAGATGCTGGCGAGGATGTGGGGAAAAAGGGACACTAACCCACTGTTGGTGGGAATGCAAACTGGTCAAGCCACTATGGAAGTCAGTCTGGAGATTCCTCAGAAACCTGAATATAACCCTACCGTTCGACCCAGCCATCCCACTCCTTGGAATTTACCCAAAGGAGTTTAAATTGATAAACAAAAAAGCGGTCTGCACCCTAATGTTTATTGCAGCACAATTCACAATAGCCAAGACCTGGAACCAACCTAAATGCCCATCAACGGTAGACTGGATAAAGAAATTATGGGATATGTATTCTTTAGAGTACTATACCGCAGTAAGAAACAACGAAATCCAGTCATTTGCAACAAAATGGAGGAATCTGGAACACATCATGCTGAGTGAAGTAAGCCAGTCCCAAAGGGACAAATACCATATGTTCTCCCTGATCGGTGACAACTGACTGAACACCAAAAAGGAAACCTCCTGAAGTGAAATGGACACTATGAGAAATGGTGACTTGATCAGCATAGCCCTGACTGCTAATGGACAACTTAATACATTATCCCTCATAGTATTTTTTTTTTTTGTCTGTTCTACTTAATATGACTGGTTTAATTCTGCAATTATCACACAGTTATTCTTAAGTGTTGAAAATTAACTGAAATGTGATCCCTGTTAAACATGAGTGGGAATAAGAGAGGGAAGAAATGTATAATTTGGGGCATGCTCGGGCTGACTTGCCCCAATTGGTAGAGTTGGAAACATACCAGGGGATTCCAATTCAATCCCATCAAGGTGGCATGTGCCAATGCCATCTCACTACTGCAAGTGATCAATTTCAGTTCACAATTGATCATAATGAAAGGACTAAGAGTCAAAGGGAGCACATAAACAAGTCTAGTATCTGCTAACACCAACCGATAGAATAAATAAAGGGGAGAGTGATCCAACATGGGAAGTGAGATACTCAGCAGACTCATAGAATGGCGGATGTCCTAAATAGCACTCTGGCCTCAGAATCAGCCCTAAAGGCATTCCGATCTGGCTGAAAAGCCCATGAGAGTATTTCAGGCATGGAAAGCCAAGACACTCTGGCAAAAAGATCTCTGTGAGTGAGATCCCAGTGGAAAGAACAGGTCTTCAAAGAGGGATGTGCCTTTCTCTGAAGGGAGGAGAGAACCTCCACTTTGACTATGACCGTGTCTAAACAAGATAAGAGTCGGAGAACTCAAGGGGCTTCCATAGCCTTGGAAACTCATAACGGGTGCATAGGGAGATTACTGATGCCATAAACAGGAGTGTCAATTGGTAAAGTCAACAACAGGAGTCACTGTGCACTTACTCCTCATGTAGGATCTCTGTCCTTAACGTGCTGTACACTGAGGCTTAATGCTATAAATGAGTACTCAAACAATATATTTCACTTTGTGTTTCTATGGGGGTGCAAACGACTGAAATCTTTACTTAATGTACACTAAACTGATCTTCTGTAAAAAAAAAAAAAAAAAGAAAGAAATTATCAATTCCCAACTTGACTCTCACTGGGATTAAACATGACAATAGGTCTGATCTGATTTCATCATCATTTAAAAAAAATCATCTATTATTTTTCACTTTATGTTTCTGTGTGGGAGCAAACTGTTGAAATACTTACTTAAGGTATACTAAGCTGATCTTCTGTATATTAAGATAATCGAAAATGAATCTTGATGTGAATGGAAGGGGAGAGGGAGTGGGAAAGGGGAGGGTTGTGGGTGGGAGGGACGGTATGGGGGGGAAGCCATTGTAACACATGAGTCGTACTTTGGAAATTTATATTCATTAAATAAAAGATAAAAAAAAAAAAAAGAAAAAGAAAAACAAAAGACACAAATTACAGTTAAATGAGCAATGTAGTTTCTAAAAATTCCAAGGCTGTGATTAATAAATTTAACAAAACTTAAAAGAACAACGAAGCAAACTACAGGTTATAATAATATGCTGCAACTCAAAGCTCAAGTATCCATCTTGATTTGGCAGGGGGAAAGGAGGGACTTATAAGTAAACCTTAATTCTGCTATCTGCTTAGTAACCTCAATTAATCTGTGTGTGAGACTTGTGACTGCATACACATCATAGTAAGGCCACATGTTTTGACTTAAAAAGCTGTCTAAGTCATCTCATTCCCAAGGTCTGGTCCTAAGACCAGTGTAGCCCAGGATGTGGTGTGAGGCATGGGGCTCTGCCCTCTTTTGCTACCACTCTGGGAAGACTATGTTGGAATATACCATGCTCCTAGCCCTAGTCCATAGATTTGAAGTGCACATCAACAAACCCATGCTAAATATTTACAACACAACTATTGTGGCACTTCCAAAGGTCATTCAAATTTGGTTTTTTGAAACCAAAAAGAGAAGAGGGGCAGGGGCACCTGGCCTAGCAGGTAGAACTTCCTATCAGACTGCTGGTACTCAGGCTCCACTCCCAATTCCAGCTTCCTGCTAATGCATTCCATGGGAGGCAACAGATGATGGTTTAAGTACTTGGGTTGCTGCTACCCACAAGGAATACCCAAATTGAGTCCTCCCATCCTGGCCATAGAGGGCTTTTGGAAAGTGAACCACAAATGGCTATCTCTGTCTCTACCTTTCAAATAGAACAAATGAATAAATAAATAAAATCTGAAAGAGAGTAATTTCCTTATTTACTTGTTTAATTTTGTCCCGGTCCTGATCTGGTGTGGCTGTTGAGTTAATTCTCAAACTTTTCTTAAACATGGCCATTCGAGTCTTGGCTTCACTGCGTTGAATCTTGGGCAGTCTTGCTCTTTCTTGGGTCTGTCGGTTTTTCAGCTCCTCAATAAGTCGTTGATTGTAACGCTGCATTTGTTCTGTTTCCTGGGAAAGTTTTAAACAGAACCCAGTGGTATAGATATAATTCAATACTCAGTTCCCATATGTATGTTCAAATATATCATTTAGTGGTTGTTTTCTATAATTATTCTCTCCCTTTATTCACAGTAACCAGTAAAATATTATGGAAAAATTAATTTATTTTAAAAAATGAAGCTATTAGGATAAGACTCTTAAAATGAAATTTTATTTCTAAACACAGGGAGTTAAACACTTTTAAGATAATTGAATCACAAAGTCAAAAATAGCTACCTTTAAGAGACAAAATGAAGATTATAATATATAAGAGGTCTTTAAATCTTGTAATTAGTTAACATCCTTGTCATTCATAAAACAGAGCTTGCAATTACAATTCAGATACAATTAACTACTGCAAACTTCATCAAAGAAACTTTAGGACTGGGACAGGCCCTTAGCATAGCAATTAATACACCACTTGGAATGCCTGTACCCCATATCTGAGTGCCTGGGCTTCAGTCTCAGCTCTGCTTCCAATTCCAGCTTCCTGCGAATAAACACCCTGAAAGGGAGCACATAACTTGGGCCCCTGCCAGCTACAGTGGAAACCCAGAGTTCTTGGCTCCTGGCTTTGGCCTGGCCCACCTGCAGCTGTTAACAGGCATTTAGGGAATGAGCCAGCAGATAAAATCTCTCTCTCTCTCTCTCTGCCTTTCAAATAAACTCTAAAATTCTTATAAAAAGAGAAACTTTAGAATAAAAGAAATAAAAAGTGTATTCTCTAATAAATATAAGCTTCAGACGAGATCAGGTGCGTTCAGGGTGGTATGGCCATAGACTAAATATAAGCTTCAAACTATTAGCTTTGCAAACTTTAAAATGAACAAAAAAGTGAAGAAATTTTCCTTTCATTAACCTTTTCATGTCGCTTAAGTAGCTGATGTCTTTGCATGAAATACTGATCTTTAAGTTGCTGTTTGAGCAGCTGGTGTTTTTCTTGTAAGTGTCGTTCTTCAAGCTCCCAAATTGCAGCTTCTCGAGCTAGGAGAAGAAAGGAATTTTCAAAATGTCACTTTGCTTTCTGACTAATGTACTTTATCCCTGATTTTAGTATTTACATAAAAATGTTCCAAATACACTAACTTATACACAAACATTCTAAGCCATAAAAGCTATTTTACCAATGTAAAGACAGTAAGTTTTAGCAGTTTCCATTCTATTCTAACAGCCTGTGGCCTATGGCCTATAAAAACAGAATATCCTATCACAAATACTAAAATTCAATTTAATCATCTTAAAAAAACATATCTAAACTGATTTGTTATAGGGAACAAGTACTTAAAATTCCTTCCTATCATGTATCTATTAAGTATATCAACAATTGTAAGGCATAATGAGTACACAAATTATTCAGACATTTCTAGCAAAATGTGAACAAGGCAAAGACTTAAGAATAATGTTTATGTTCACGTATACTGTCATAAAGGAATTCTATATCTTGCAGTACTTATTTTTAAGAAATTATTTTCTTATTCACCATGACTTTATCCTTCCTTTCATCAGCCTAGCAAAGTAAAGCATTCAAATCATTTCCAAGGTGCATTTAGGAATGTTTTTGAAATACCATTTTATATATACACACATACTGCAAAATTCTATACCTCTCATGAGTTGTTGTTTGTTATTCAGGCACTCTCTTTCAATATTGGCTAACTCTGCCTTCTGTTGTTGGATGATCTTTTTCAAAGAGCCATCTAATTCTTGTTGTTGCTTCTGAACAAATTCTTGTTCCTATCAAACACAGTTGACCATCAGTTAATAAATTATCTACTGTGCTAAACATCCAGTTTTCTATATGACTATTTATGGTTAACAAGATTTCTAAACTAAGTTTACAAAGTATCTAGATTTTAAAAAACCAAAATTATATTGTACATATACAATATAAATGTATTAATCACCCAATTCAACCCCAGAAGAAAAGTAGTATAAAACATAATATTCTGAACTACTAAGAATGATACATACAAAAGTTGATGTCCTCCTCATAATTAAAAAGCCCTGTTATACTAGCATCTTTGAGAAAATAAATTTATAGGTTCTAAGGCTTACTATTCATTCCACTATGATATAAATAAAAAATAAATGTCAGGTGCCGGCACTGGGTAAAGCCACCACCTGCAGTGCCAGCATCCCATATGGGCACCAGCTCAAGTCCCAGCTGCTCCACTTTCAATACAGCTCTCTGCTAAGGCCTGGGAAAGCAATAGAAGATGGCCAAAGTCCTTGGGCCCCTGCACCCCCATGGGAGATCCAAAGGAAGCTCCTGGTTGCTGGCTTTGGATCAGCCCAGTTCTGACTGTTGCAGCCATTTGGGGAGTGAAATAGCAGATGGAAGAACTCTCTCTCTCTCTCTCTCCGCCTCTGACTTTCTGTAACTCTGCCTTTCAAATAAATAAAAAAATAAATCTTTTAAAAAAATGTCTTCTAGGAAGAAAGGCAATAAAAAACTCATAACTAACACAGAATCAGAATTTTAAACTTTCTATTATTTTAAGTAATAAAGAGTTACAAATACCCCAGGCTAAATTAACAGAGGAAGATAGTATCTACAGCATGTGCCAAAAAAAGAACAAGAGTTAGAAGACTTAAATAATGCACAGTGACATGCAAACTAAGAACAGGAAAATTAGTTATACATTACAAATATATGAACAAAATTCCTATAATCACAGAATTCTACCAACATATTTGGGATTTACTAATTCAGTCAACAAATATTTGTGGAGTACACAGTATTTGCCAAATTTATGCTTTTTCAAAAAAAATCCTTCAATTACTATATAAGAAAGGGAAATGTTAAAGTAACTTAATCTTTCTTCTAAGTCACACATTTACAGAAGGAAAGGAATAATATCCAAATTAAAGAAATTTAAATTTGGATCTCTCAGCAAATACAGAAGTTGGTGAGTAGCTCAAGGAATATTCAAATCAATTTAATTGTGGGTTTTAAACTCGGCATTGAAGCAACAGTTCATCTATAATCCCTATTCTTGCACAATCAGGAGAAAATCAAACCCTAAAACCTATTTTGGAACTATTCTTTAGGCCTTGGGCAGAGTCTGAATCACAACCAGCCCGGTCCTCAATGAACAAGCATCCAGCAGTGCTCCACAGGTGTTTGCCTTCCCACAGTGTCTCGGACGTGATGCAGTTCATGTGACTTGTTAAAGTAACTTGGAGTCAGAAATGCTGTCTCATTTGCTTCATCATTTGTACGTTAGTAGGAATACAAAGACAGCGTAAGCATAAGGAAAAGATTAATGAATTGTCTCTGTAGAACACCAACCTGACTATAGACACCTATATAACTTTATCACAGCCAAAAAAGTTTTCATAGAGGCCAGCACTGTGGCATACTGGGTAAAGCTGCCACCTGCAGTGCCAGCATCCCACATGGCACTGGTTCAAGTCCCAGCTACTCCACTTTCGATCCAGCTCCCTGCTAATGTGCCTGGGTAATCAGTAGAGGATGACTCAAGTACTTGGGCTCCTGCATCCACATGGGAGACCTGAAGAAGCTCCTAGCTTCTAGCTTCAGATTGGCCCACCTCCAGCCATTGTGACCATTTGGGGGAGTGAACCAGCAGATGGAAGACCTCTTTATCTCTCCTTCTCTCTCTAACTCTGCCTTTCAAATAAATAAATAGTCTTTAAAAAAAAAAGACTTAAAAGTACTTTCAATAAATAAACAACTATCTAGACTAGGACTTTGACTTTTATTTAAAAATATGCAAAATCTCCATGCCTATCTTTTGAATAGTTATAACAAGTCGTTCAGGATTTGCTTTTTTCCTACAGTTAAAATCTGTAATAAAAATTACCTTGTTTCTCTAATTTCAATTATAAAATTTCTATATGCAAACTTGCTTAACAAATTTAATATAACCTGCAGATACATTAAAGGATTTCTTTCATTCAACATTTTTATCACTGATTTGCATAAAGGATTTTTTTTAAATATCTATGTGGACAGAAACAATGGTCTAACTTAACTAGCATAAATATAAATCTTAGATTCAAAGAAACCAAATGCAAAGTATCGAATGGGATGAATAAACATTCATGTGAAAATGAACGTAAAATATAAGCCAATGCCACTAAAAATTACTAATTTTCTCATCTATGTAATTTTGGGTCACATTACTTTAATATATTAATGTCTTGATTAAACAAAGTAAAAGTTCAGGGGCAGCGCTGTGGTACTTAGCAGATAGAGCTGCCACCTGCAGTGCCAGCATCCCATATGGGTGTAGCTTCAAGTCCTGACTGCTCCACTTCTGATCCAGCTCCCTGCTAAAGAGCCTAGGAAAGCAGCTGAAGACAGCCTGGGTGCTTGGGCCAGGAAGTTCCTGGCTCCTGGCTTCGGATCAGCCCAACTCCAGCTGTAGTAGCCATTTGTGGAGTGGCGGACAGAAGCTCTCTCTTTCTGTCTCTCCCTCTCTCCAACTCTTTCGAAATACATCAATAAATCTTTAAAAGTTCAGTTCAGAGAAAACCTTTATTAAGCACTTAGCAGATGCTGGGCACGTACCAGTCACAGGATTACTTGGATTAATGAAAGACAGTCCTGCCTTCTAGGAGCTTCCAGCCCACTAGTCCCAAGACTCTCGGTTTGCCAGTCCACTGAAGAGAAAACGATCCCTTCCCTTAGTATAACGCTTTCTAAAGTTCAAAAGCAAACCACAGAAAACTCAAAGCTAGAAATAATGGGCCACAAATCAGGTCTCAGAATGACTGACTGAAAGAACTACAGGAATGTATATTGAAGTAGCTAACATATAATTCCAAGGGTTAGAACTGCTAACAGAAACAGATGGGGGGGGGGCGGCGCTGTGGTGCAGTAGGTTATCCTCTGCCTGCAGTGCCGGCATCCCGTTTAGGCACAGGTTCTAGTCGCGGCTGCCCCTCTTCCAATCCAACTTTCTGCTATGGCCTAGGAAAGCAGTCGAAGTTGGCCCCTGCACCCGCGTGGGAGACTCAGAAGAAGCTCTTGGCTTCTGGCTTCAGATCAGCGCAGCTCTGGCAGTTGCTACCATCTGGGGAGTAAACCAACGGAGGGAAGACCTTTCTCTCTGTCCCTCCCTCTCACTGTCTGTAACTCCACCTCTCAAATAAATAAAATTTTATAAAAAAAAAAAAAAAAGAAAAGAAAGAAACAGATGGAACACTATAGCATTCTACTGCTATAGAAGGTGGAAAAAAAAAAGCATCAAAAGGTAAAAATTGAGACAGGCAATTATAAATCCAATGTATGGAAGTGCTTCCTAACAATCAGAAATAAAAAACAATCAAGCTCTGGCCGGCGCCGCAGCTCGCTAGGCTAATCCTCCACTTTGTGGCGCCAGCACACCGGGTTCTAGTCCCGGTCAGGGCGCCGGATTCTGTCCCGGTTGCCCCTCTTCCAGGCCAGCTCTCTGCTGTGGCCAGGGAGTGCAGTGGAGGATGGCCCAAGTGCTTGGGCCCTGCACCCCATGGGAGACCAGGAGAAGCACCTGGCTCCTGCCTTCGGATCAGCGCAGTGTGCCGGCCGCAGCACGCCAGCCACAGCGGCCATTGGAGGGTGAACCAATGGCACAGGAAGACCTTTCTCTCTGTCTCTCTCTCTCACTGTCCACTCTGCCCGTCAAAAAAAAAAAAAAAAAAATCAAGCTCCTTTATACAGCTATATAAGTAAGCAGACTCTAGATGACTATATAGATATTACACAAGATTTTTAAAATTAAATCTAAAAAGCATCTAAACAAGTCCCATACAACTAATGAATTTCATTATCTCAAAAGAAATGAAATTTTAATATTATTGAGCATTCATTAAATATCCTAATTCAAAAGTCAAGTAAAATAGAATGTACAGTTAGAAATTACAAATTCACAGGCCGGCGCCACAGCTCAATAGGCTAATCCTCCGCCTTGCGGCGCCGACACACTGGGTTCCAGTCCCGGTTGGGGCGCCGGATTCTGTCCCAGTTGCCCCTCTTCCAGGCCATCTCTCTGCTGTGGCCAGGGAGTGCAGTGGAGGATGGCCCAAGTACTTGGGCCCTGCACCCCTTGGGAGACCAGGATAAGTACCTGGCTCCTGCCATCAGATCAGTGTGGTGCGCCGGCCGCAGCGCGCCGGCCGCAGTGGCCATTGGCGGGTGAACCAACTGCAAAAGGAAGACCTTTTTCTCTGTCTCTCTCTCTCACTGTCTACTCTGCCTGTCAAAAAAAGGGGGGGGGGGTGAAATTACAAATTCACAACAGAATTTGTAATTAGAAAGTATTCTTAGCAACTAACAGATCTTCTGAAAAGAAAGCAAAAAATTACATTCACCTTAAAAAAAAAAAAAAGATGGATTAATCACTATAACAAAAAACAAAAAAAGGACCCAAAGTACAGAGACCAAAAGTCATTTTTTAAAAATGGATAAGTACATTGTGAAAAGTGTACTCTTTTCTAAAAGTATAGGCTTATATTTTGATAAAAAAAATCTCATCACATGAATTACATAACTACAAACATTAAAAACACAATTTTGGAGTCTAGACAACTGTAAGGAAGGGTTATGACAGATTGGGTTATTTGTACAGGACTTGATCACTTTAACTTAAAAGACTGACTCAAAAATGGTAATGATCAGAAAAGTGATCACAATAACTCCTCATGTTAAAAAAAAATCAATGTTTTGCATACTCTTAGAATGATGTGTAGTCAACCATCTCCAATAATTTAGGGAAGACAGGGGCTGGAATCAAGCTGTATTCTATCTATTCCAGTCGCATATATCAAGCAATAAAAATTACAGTTTTAAATGAGCTGGTCATTTCCCTATGTGAACTCTGACAAAGAATACAGCCTGGAATTCCAGCCTTAATTTAAAATTACAATAAGGAGAATAGCGATTAATCATCAACACTTTGAAAAAATGCAAACTAGAATTAAATGGAACTAAAATCACTACTTTTTAGCATGGCTTTTCTGACCATATCCATAATTAAATCATCTACATGAACATTTATGCAATCAAAATGTCACTTCACACCAAGATGAAAATCTAATCACAGCATTCAATTTCTCACATGTGCAAAGTTTATAAAATACCATTAGGAAGATAATTTTACTGTTCTTGAAAAAAGATAGAAAACCTCTAATGAAATCTGCAATGAGGTAGAGAGAAAAAAGAACACTATTAGGAGTGTCCTAGTTCCAGCTCTAGCATTAGTCTCTTACATGACGTTAGGCAGATCACTTAGTCTTTTGTATCTTGATCTCCTCATGTGTAAAATAGCTAACACTCCATCCCTCTATCAGGGTGGCGGCAGTGAGATCCAAAGGTGAAAACTCTTTGAAGACTACTGTTTTATAAAGCTCATATGAGGTTATTACTATTATTGTCACTACTGACATTATCACCTATCGATCTTCTAGATCTTAGCAAATGAAGTCAGGACTGAAAAGGCACATGTGAGTCAAAGAAAATCAAGTCAAACAGGAAAAGGCATCCTCCTGCAGGCACACGGGACTTACATCCTGCATTTGGGCGTTGAAGACTGCACAAGATGACAACTGAAAAGACTGAATCATGACCTGAGCAACACCCTGTGGATCAGAATACAATGCACCTCCCAGATGAGAATATATCTGAATGACTTTTGACAAATGGAAAGAATAATTACACAAATGTTGAGTTTCTTGAAGCATGGAACAAGTCAATTAACACAGGGGGACACTTTGATCTGCAGAAAAGAGCTGAACTAGATCAGCAGTTTCCCATACTCTGTTGTATTGTTTTTTTTTTTTTTTAAAGACATGTAGTACCTCCTTTAAAAAATTATGTTTATAAAACAGATCACAAAATGATGCTGCTTTAGTTGAAATAGAAGGGCCTACGGTCCCACAGTCCTTGCCTTTTAGAAGGATTCCCAAAAATGCATCTCTAAACTTTAGGAGCTCCTAGAAATACAGTCTGAAAATTACTGGACTAGCTTATTAACTATATTCTCATAGACTATATGGCTAATTACTTACTAATCCTTAGAAAAAGTTTGAAATACCCAGTTTTAGCAACTTCATCAAAAGCAACAGAATATTTTTTAAATTTTTTAATTACTAAATTCCTAATTAAATTTACAGTAAGAAGGACTATGACATTTGGCTTTAGTTGGAAAATACAGGCCAAATATCTCCCAACCCCCACCAAAAAAAGTCACTAATGTATAGGGGTTACCTAATTCATTCAGTATTAATTCTTAATTAGCTGGAGTTTGATATATTATCTCTTGGAATTAAAAAAAAAAAACCCTATGTTCCTTTATAAGGGAAAACCATACTGCTACTACCTGATTTGAAATCCAAATTAACTAAAAGTATGTGTGTGGCTAGCAAGGCCTTTCTCTTCACCTGATAACAAGAAATAGCCAAAAAAAACACTGGATAAAGCAGGTAAGAATTTAGATGAGGTACAGAGTGGGAAACTTAGATATGAGAGGCAGTCTGAGGTGGGTTCAGTACATGAAATCCAGGCCTAAATTTAGATAAGAATCCTGGCTCTGCCATCAAACCAGCAGTGTGGCTCTCGCAGTCACTCCCTTCCTGTGTTCCAATCCCCTAATCCATAAATTGGGGGTAATGTTTGCTGTGAGATTAAATGAGTTCATACATGTGAAGCATTTGGAATAGTGCTTGACACACAGCAAATGCTGTGACTGCTGTCATCACTTTAAAGTAATAATCTCCACGCCAGGCCAATATAAAATGCTTCACAGGCTCACAGCAAGGAAAGACTACAAAAAATGCAAACTGAATTTATTAAAATAAACTAACTTGATTAAAGTTTTAAAATCCCAAGATTATATTTTCCTTACTTTCATGGTGTTAAAAATATTCTATCCTCTGAAATGATGATGACAAGGAAATGGCAGTTTTAAAATATCCTTGCTTTGGGGGCCAGCGCTGTAGCATAGCAGGAAAAGACACCGCCTGCAAGGCTGGCATCCCATATGGGCAATGGTTCCAGTCCAACTCTCTGCTATGGCCTGGGAAAGCAGCAGCAGATGGCCCAAGTGCTTGGGCCCCTGCACCCACGTGGGAAACCAGGAGGAAGCCCCAGGCTCCTGGCTTCAGATCGGCTCAGCTCTGGCTGTTATGGCCATTTCGGGGATGAACCAGTGGATGGATGACTTCTCTTTCTCTCTGCCTCTGCAACTTTGGCTCTCAAATAATAAATAAATCTTTAAAAAGAAAATATCCCTGCTTTGAAAAGAAAAAAATATAATGGCAAAACCCATGCCATGGGTCTCGAGTGGTTTTTGTTGTTTCTATGTTTCTTTCTAGAACCCGGTGTGCCGGTGCCGCAAGGCGGAGGATTAGCCTATTGAGCCGCGGCGCCGGCCAGAGCTTTTTATTTCTCTATCTTTGCGTCCTGTTGACTGCAAACTTCATTAAAAGACTCATCTTTATTAATACTGAAAAATTCTATAAAGTAATGTGAGATAATTCCAGAAATTTCCATTGAAAATACTTACTAATCTAGTTTTATTAAGAATTAACTCATCTTCTGGTAAGGCTTCCTTATCATAATTTAAAATCAAGTTCCTTTATTTAAAATAGCATAGGCCAGTGCTGTGGCTCACTAGGCTAATCCTCCTCCTGCAGCACCGGCACACCAGGTTCTAGTCCCAGTTGCTCCTCTTCCAGTCCAGCTCTCTGCTGTGGCCCAGGAGGGCAGCAGAGGATGGCCCAAGTACTTGGGTCCCTGTACCAGCATGGGAGACCAGGAGGAAGTACCTGGCTCCTGGCTTTGGATCAGTGCAGCGCCGGCCATTGGAGCCATTAGGGGAGTGAACCAACAGAAGGAAGACCTTTCTCTCTGTCTCTCTCTCACTGTCTATAACTCTGTCAAAAAAAAAAAAAAAAAGCATAGTCATTTAACAACTGGTTTCTAAATCACAAAGAAAAGCACTTAGTATTTAAAATATGATTTTAAAGTTGCTTAATATTGTAGAGCTTAAAAGCAATAAATGTTTGATCTAAAACTTCACATTATCATTTGTCATCTAACTTTGAACTTCATAAAAATAATAATGACCTCTCAAAGCATGTTATCAATGTTTATATATTCAGCCTCTATATTTCTGTCCTTAAGATCTTCTATCAAACATTGGCTTTGCTACTTAAAAATATAGGTTTACATCATAATAAAAATCAGAGAACAGATTATATATTAATATATTTGTTTATTTTATCAGGAGTCAACTTTTCAAATATTCCACATCATTCATCATTTCACAGTAGCAACTTAAATGTCTCTATCAGCATGAATTTAGGACAGAAGATCCTGGGAATCTTTGGATGGGAAGAAGTCAATGTCATACAATAATCACAGTTAAAAATCTACCCTTTCACTCAGTTTCCTGAGCTGTGAGAAGATGCTGCTTTGTTTCAGCAGCACTGAGCTGCCGCTGTTACCTGAGCATGCTGGCTTTGTGCAAGCTCCTCTCTCCTGCGTTTCATGAGCTCTTTCCTCAGCTCTTTGGGTGCTTTCTCCACTTCATTTATAACCTACAGTGTATAAGCATGCAGGAGGTGGGGAAATGATACTTTCTCCACAGCAAGCACTTACGTGAGCAGATAAGCTACAAGTCAAATAGTAAAGCTGTTAAAGAGAGCCTTCAACATGCATTAGCACAGGTGTTAGTTTGGTGAAAAGGAATGAAAGGATAGAACATGCTTAATTTCAGTGCAAAGGGACATTACACCACCTAAAGGTTAATTAGCTGCTTAATTATTCCTATATATCATTTTCTCTCTTAAAGATTCAAAGAAAATCAGTGAAGGATAACTTGCAGCTCTGATGCTGAACCTGAAAGCCCTCTTGAAAGATCATAATACATCTATCTACTGACATAGGAAAGCTAATGACATTTATCAAAGTGCAAAGTTTCATAATTGGCTTGATAACACAAGAGAAATTAAATAAAATCCATTTGATGAAACAAAAATAAATAAAACACAAAAAGGGAAGTAAGCCTTAGAATATACAAAGGAGAGATAAATATATACTAACTTTTTTCATAAAACACACCATTTTATATGTGGTGTGATAAAAATGAACATTTGGATGATTTTATGCAGGTTTTCAATAACATTCTCCTTTGCTGACAATTTAAGCCAGCTTGTCAATTTTAAAATTAGGAATATAAGCACTTTAAAGTAAGTTCAGTAAACTATGATGTATTAAACAAATTAAGGATATTATAGGGAAAAATATCTTTTAGGGATTCTTTTAATCTTTCCAGTCCTAGATGTGTTATTCCATCTAACAGACCTATAACCCAGTATGAAAAACAACTGTGTGTTTACAAGTAGAAGTGCCCAAAGAAACCAGATTCCAAATCACCACATGCTACGATGGTCCAAGAGGCCGATTTTGATTTAATAGTGCACTTAAAATTCCCCATCAGTAATCCGTCATGAAACCAAATCACCATTAAAAGAAAGAGATTCCCCAAGGGCAAGAAATTTAGCAATAGAAGAAAAATACATAATTATATATATCACGATCTCAAACATGTTCACTGATTAAAATGCTTCTATGCCAAAACAGTAACAATAAAGACTACTACATATTTAGGATTAAATCATATGTTTACCCACAAAAATCTTTTAATTAAATTTGATATAAAAAATAACTCCTCAATAAAAAGTACCCACTGTTTTAAGAACGTTAACATAAAGCCCCAGTAAAGTAATAATAATGGCATATAGAGCAATTCCATACAAAATACAGTAAGTGGCAGCATTAATTTTTATAAATGGTTATCATACCAAATAAAATTACATTTCACTCATCTCAACTTAAAAATATAGAAAATCCTATTGTTAATTAATTCAATTCTATTCTTTGTAAAGAAGCAGATTCTTAAGACTCAGCAATATGATGCTCAGTTTTCTTCATAATTTGAATGTTAAAGTCAGTGAATATGGCTATGTGAGATGTGTAACAAATGGAAAATGCACTGGCTAGTTTAGAAGAGATTTTTCTGTCCTAATTCAAATGGAATTAATTATAATTATCATCCCTGTGTCTTTTATTATAATGAAAAGTAATATTCTCCTACATTGAAAATGCAGGATAAACCATAAAATTATCTCTCAAAATTCCTTATATGTCAAAGTTCTCAGATTTATTAATTTGAAGACAAGACACACTAATATGTAAACCCTCCTTCTGAATCAATGACAAACTTTCATAGTAACTACTAGTATATATATATTAAAAAAAAACTATAAACCATGGAAACCATTTCAGAAAAAATTAAAAACTCATTCTGATCAAATGACTTTCCAAATATTTTCACTTTTAACTCTGCAAGTAACTCTCAATCTTATGAGCTCATACATATTTCAATTGCAGATTTTCTAATTTTTGTTTGGCAACTATCCAAGAACGTCAATAAAGCTAATCAAGAAAATATTGTTAAAGGCAGGAATTAAAGATGACATATAATTAAAATGAATCATTACTGCTACTGGCAAACAAAATGTTTTCTTAAAAAATATTCCTATATAAGCTTTAAATACTGCATTATTAAAAGAGAACAATAGGGCTGGCACTGTGGCACAGTGAGTTAAGCCTCCATCTGCAGCTCTGAAATCTCATATAGATTCAAGTCCTGACTGTACCACTTCCAATCCAGCTCCCTGCTAATGTGCTTAGGAAAGCAGTGGAGGATGGCCTAAACGGTTGGGCCCCTACACCCATGTGGGAAACCTGAAAGAAGCTCCTGGCTCCTGGCTTCTGTCTGACCCAGTCCCGCTGTTGTAGCCATTTGGGGGGTTAACCAGCAGACAGAAAATCTATGTCTCTTCCTCTCTCTGTGTATAACTCTGCCTTTCAAATATATAAAATAAATCTTTAAAAATAAATATAAAAACAAGTTTTAGTAATTAAAAACGGTAGTTAAACTTACCTCCTTCTTTCGGTTCTTTAGTATATTCTGAAATTTGGACAGCTCTTTCTCTTGTTCTCCTTTAATGCGCTTGGCTTCATCTCGCAAGCGATTTGTATGTTCTTGTTCCAGACGTTCAATGGTCTGTTTCTGCTGTTTTTCTAGATTCTCTATTTCCTGATCATACTGTCGCTTTTTACTCTGTAAACCAATACAGCTTAAGATCATCTAATTTTTCTATCACCCGCTTTGACTCACTATAGTGAAGATATTTACTAAGAGCTAATAACTAGCATTTAAAAATAGTGATGTGAGGGCCAGCGCTGCGGCTCACTAGGCTAATCCTCCACCTGCAGCGCTGGGACACCGGGTTCTAGTCCCGGTTGGGGCACCGGATTCTGTTCCAGTTGCCCCTCTTCCAGTCCAGCTCTCTGCTGTGGCCCGGGAGTACAGTGGAGGGTGGCCCAAGTCCTTGGGCCCTGCACCCGCATGTGAGACCAGGAGAAGCACCTGGCTCCTGGCTTTGGATCAGCGCAGTGCGCCGGCCACAGCGCACCGGCCACTGCGCACCGGCTGCAGTGGCCACTGGGGGTGAACCAACAGAAGAAAGACCTTTCTCTTTGTCTCTCTCACTAACTCTGCCTGTCAAAAAAAAAAAAAAAAAAAAAGGAAAAAAATAGTGATGTGATATAGCCTTTGTAATACTGAACAAGTCAAATGTACCAAAATACATAATTTTTTCCTAAAAAGTAGCTAGCTCCTTTTTTCCAACTTGAAAAACTGTACAAGTAGAATGTCCAAAAATTTTAGACAATCCAGAAGAATATCTAGTTGCTATGAGGTACTACGTAGTAAATTACAAAAAATGTAGACATTTATCAAATTTTTGGTAAATCAAAGCACTTATGTGAAGTCATTTTAATAATGTAACAGTACTCGATTTACTCTTCCTCATTAAAGAATCTTAAAATAAATCTACTATTGTACTGAGACAAATCTTTGGAAATTTAAAACCTATTCTTCCAGCAAGACTTCTGTAATTCTGTATATAGGCATAATTAAATATAAAGGATTTTTCTGAAAGAAATTGAAAGTCAAACATTTTGAAAAATATTTGGGGAACAATTTTTTATAAGGTTCTGGAAAACAGAATGTAAGTATGATAAAAACTATTCATTGATAACTAAATTTCATTATTTTCTGAGCAATTTTGAGTTTGAACTCATGCAAGTAATCAATAATGCCACATTGCACAAAATGTTCCTTACCACTTCAAATTACAAGACAGCAAAAGGAGCATATTCAAAATAAGAGTACTATTAACATTTCAAATTATCTATTTTCTAACCTATATTAGCCTAGATATTCAACATAAGTTAATGAAATTTTCTATAACATTACTAATTCCATTTCCAACTCTGGAAGGACTCAGTGACAACTATTCCTGAACAGCCAGTACTGTTTTCTTCAGCAGCAGTGGACAGGGACACGGACGTTTAACCACAGGAGCCAGAAAGAAAGAATACTTTGAAAAACAAAACAAGGGGCTAGCGCTGTGGCACACTAGGTTAATCCTCCACCTGGAGCACCAGCATCCCATATGGGCGCCGGTTCTATTCCCGGCTGCTCCTCTTCCAGTCCAGCTCTCTGCTGTGGCCCGGGAAGGCAGTAGAGAATGGCCCAAATTACATTACAAAGCAAGGAAAATCTAGCAATGAGAGAACAAGTTCTAAAACCAGCTACTACATTTTGTTTCTTTCAAAGCACTAAATTTAATTATTAACAAAATGGGACATGGAGCAGGCATTTGGAACAGCCAGTTAAGTCACCACCCTCAATATCCAGATCTCATACTTTAGTGTATGGGTTTGAGTCCTGGCTCCACTTTCAATTCTAGTTTCCTGCTAATGTGTACCCCAGTGGGTAATGACCTGAGTACCTGGGTACCTGCCACCCATTTGGGAAACAGAATGAGATCCAGGCTCTTAGCTTCAGTCTGGCCCAGCCTTGGTACTTGGGTATTTGGGGAGTAAACCAGCAGATGGCAGATCTCTCTCTTTCCCTTTTCACTCCCTCTCTCTCCGTGGTGTGTGTGTGTGTGTGTGTTTCCTCCAAATACTTTGTTTTCAAAATGATACAAAGGTATAAAACTTTACCATCATTTCTTGCTCAAAGCGCCGGAAAATTTGTTCCCGTTGTTGCTGCAATTTGCCATTAAGCTGTTGTTGGGCTCTTTGCTCTTCTTTTTGAAGAAATCTTAATTCCCGAAGTTCCTGACGTCTGCAAAAATTCAAGGGCAATGACAGAGAGGGAGATCATATCTCTAACACTTTTTGAAAGCTTAGAAGAATAGTTTTTGTTAAATGGATAACACAAGAACAATCCAAAATTAGTCAAGAAATTACCCTCGTTTCTCAATTATTCAGACTTTGCAAAAACAGTAAAGAAGTCAGAAACCAGTTTCAATTATGTTGTTTGTCTACTCACCTAAGAAATCTCAATTCTTCAGTTTTGGAATCACTATCTGTAACTATCTTTGACGTTGTTACACTCACTTCTACACCATCAACAATAAATTTGCGTGTTTTCTTCAATGTTTTCTTTTGTCTTCTTGTTTCCTAAGTGAGATTTTATTTTAGTTAGGCTTTATATAAGCAATAGTGAAGGAAGAAAATATTCCCTTTGTTAAACAAAAATTAAAAAGCACACAGACTATATATTAAGTATGCATATAAAGCAGCAAGAGTCACCTATGGAACCACTGTATCATCTTAAATCTCATCTGACTATTTATGGCTTTATATGAAATAAAATTTTTAAGTGGAAGTGGGGTGCATTTGGTACAGCTATCAGGTCACCACTTACAGACAGCAACATCATACACAGGGATGCCTGAATTCAAGTCCCGGCTACACTCCCGCTAATGCACACTCTGGGAGGCACCAGTTCATGGCTCAGGTACTTGAGAGCCCGCCCACCACATGGGAGACCTGGTTTGAGTTCATGGCTCCTGGCTTGAGGCTGATTCAAATCAGGCTGTTGTGAGCATTTGGGGAGCAAATCAGTGACTGAGAGATCTCTGCTGGCCTCTCTCTCTCCCTCTGCAATTATGTATTTAGTTATTTATTTTAATTATTTATTATTTAAAAGGCAGAGTTACAGAGAGAAAGGGAGAGACAGAGAGAGAGAGCTTCCATCTGCTGGTTCACTCCCTAATTGGCTGGAATGGTAGGAGCTAGGCTGATCTGAAGCCAGAAGTCAGGAGCTTCCTCTGGGTCTCCCACAAGGGGACAGTGTTCCAAGTACTTGGGCTATCCTTTGCTGTTTTCCCAGGCACATTAGCAGCAGCTGGGACTTGAACTGGTACCCATATGAGATTCTGGCATCACAGGTGGCAGCCTAACCTGCTAAACCACAACACCGGCCCCTCAAATTATATTTTAGAAAGTTTTAAGTGACACTACGCATTTTGATAATGTACACGTATAACTTTTACAGTACCACTTCATAATTAGGCACAACTGAAACGACTAATTAGTCTAACTTTTAGATGTTAAATAGCTTTTCTTCACGTTTTCACTTTGTAAGTTCTCAGATACATTTACTTTTTTTCTTAGGGTATCTGAGTCAAGAGGTATAAGAATACCTGGGAATCTGATTTTTGAAAAGGCACTTAGGGAATTTTGAAACCCTGCTAGGACCAGGAATCAGAATCTATTCAATCAGTAACAACACTATCAACAGTCCTCCTCCATTTCAGAGGAAAAAATAACACCTCTACTGTACCCGCAAAAGCACCAGATCTGCCTACTAGCTGTTGCTTTAAATTTCTTATCAAAACCAAAATCTTTGGGGCAGCATTGTGGCATAGTGGATAAAGTCACCGCCTGCATGCCAGCATCTCATACAGGTTCTGGTTCAAGTCCAACCTGCTCCACTTCCAATCCAACTCCTTGCTAATGGCCTGATGAAAGCATCGGAAGATGGCCCAAGTGTTTGGGTCCCTGCACTCAAGTGGGAGACACAGATGAAGCTCCAAGCTCCTGGCTTCAGCCTGACACAGACCTGGCCTTTGCTGCTATTTGGGGAGAGAACCAGTGGATGGATGGAAGATAATCTCTCTCTTTCTCTCCCTCCCAACCCATAACGCTTTAAAAAAAAAAAAAAAGGTTTTTATTTATTTGAAAGGCAGAAAGAGAGAGAGAGAGAAATATCTTCAATCTGCTGCAACACTCCCCTAAGCCAGAGCTGTGCCAGGCCAAAGTCAGGATCCCAGAGCCCAGTGCTGCTTCCGATTCTCCCAAGTGGTTTCAGGGGCCTAAGCATTTAGGTCATATTCCATTGCTTTCCCAAGCACATTAGCAGGGTGCTGGGTTGGAAGTGGAGCAGTTGTAACTCGAACCAGTGCCAATATGGGAATGCCAGCACCGAAGGTGGCAGCTTAAGCCACTACACCACAATGTCAGCACCATGTAACTCTTTCAACATAAATAGCTAAATATTTAAAAAAATTTTTAAAAGACCAAAATCTTTTATTATTCAACTAGTACCCAAAAGCCTTTAAACTCAAATAAAAATAACAAGAGTACAGCACCCCTACAATTACATTTTGGTAAACAGAGTGTTGAGAACACATAAATACTTGATTTTGATATGGGCGAAAGGGTCACAAAGCAGAAGGGGGCAGGTGTTTGGCTCTGGTTAAGTAGCAGCTTGAGAGGCTCTCATATCCCATATCAGAATGAGTGCCTGAGTTCAAGTTCCAGCTACTCTGCTTCCAACCCAGTTTCCTGCTCAGGTACACCTGGAGAGGCAGCAGGTGATGGCTCAAGTACTTCAGTCTTTGTCATCCATAAGAGAGACCCAGACTAAGTCTAAGCACCTGACTTCAGCCTGTCCTAGCCCTAGCTGCTGAGGGCATTTAGGGAGTGAACCATAAGATGAAAGAGCTCTCTTGGTCTCGGTCTCTCTCTCTGCCTTTTCAAATAAATAAAAATTGTTGCTTTTTTAAAAAAAAAAAAAAGAAAGAAAGAAAGAAAGCACTTGGAACACAAAAGTAAAATCTGAAAACACTAAACTCAAAATGCAATAGAATTTTTTTAGATTTATTTATTTGAGAGGCAGAGCAGCAGAGGCAGAGGCAAAGGCAGGGTGGGGAGGTAGGGAGAGGTCTTTCATCCTCTGGTTTATTCCCCAAATGGCTTCAATGGCTGGAGCTGGGCCAATCCAAAACCAGGAGCTTCTTCCAGGTCTCCCATGTGAGTGCAGGGGCCCAAGGATATGCCAACTTCTACTGCTTTCCCAGGCCATAGCAGAGAGCTGGATCAGAAGTGGAACAGTGGGGACTCGAACCAGTGCCCATATGGGATGCCGACACTGCAGGCGGTGGCTTTACCAGCTATGCAACAGCACCAGCCTCAAAATGCACAAGAATTTTAAAATCTGACTTCATCTTTCAGTCACGTTTCCACAAGCTCTCACTGTACTATCCTCAGGGATCCTGTATCCTCCTGCTCCTCTCCCTAGTCTGTGTACTATATGGTGTCCTATCCAGATCTACCTCCCCTTCACCTCCAATCTTCACATTTCTTTAGCCCCTACTAAAGTATCCACAATTAATAGCTCCTTAGCTCTCACAGAAGTATTTGTAGAGTTGACTAGTCAGTCAGTGAATGAATTTCAGATTAAGCAAAGTAAACTGAAAAAAGCAAATGCAGACAACGTATGCAATAATTTGGGGTAGACAGGCTGATTATCAGTCACATTATCAGTCACATCGCCCAGAGTCTCTAAGAAATAATTTCTAAAGAGCAGTCCATAGCTCACCTGTATCAGGATTCCAATAGATCTTTGATTATAAACCATGTTTAAGGTGACCCACCCAAAATTTACGAATAGCTCTCTATGGTAACTTCTAAGCACATTAAGATTTCAGAATTGTACTCAAAAGCTCCTAGTGTTCTAGGTTTCAGGTTTTTTTTTTTTTTTCCTATAACTCATGACAGTTGCAAAGGCTGTGACTAAGTAAGCACAAGTAGTCATCTTCATAAGCCAATACTAATTCAAGGACTGTTTACACCCTAACACACTTGTTAAGATTTATTTTACTTATTTGAAAGAGTTAGAGAGAGAGGTAAAGACAAAAAGAGAAAGGTCTTCCATCTGCTGGTTCACTCCCCAAATGGCTGCAATGGCTGGAGCTGAGCTGATCTGAAGTCATGAGCCAGCAGCTTCTTCAGGGTCTGTCTCCCACTTGGGTGCAAGGGCTCAAAGACTTAGGCCATCCTTCACTGCTTTCCCAGTCACATTAGTAGGGAGCTGGATCTGAAGTGGAGCAGCCGGGACTCAAACCAGTGCTCATATGGGATGCCAGCATTGCAGGCCAGGGCTTTAACCCACTGTACCACAGCGCTGGCTCCAACACACTTTTTAACAGAGATTCTTGGGGTGGATGTTGTTATACAGCAGATTAATTCGCTGCTTGAGACACCTATACTCCATATCCAAGAGCCTCTTTGAGTCCTGGTTATTCTGCTTCTGATCTAGCTTTCTGCTAGTGCATACTGGAATGCAGCACATAATGACTCAAGTAGTTGGACCTCTGCCACACATGTAGGAGATCCAGATGAGTTCCAGGCTCCTGGCTTCAGTCTGGCCCAGCCCTAGCTGCCACAAGCATTTTGAGAGTCAACCAACAAGTAGCAAGATTTTTTTCTCTCTCCTCCTCTGTCACTCTGCCTTTCAAGTAGATGAAGAAAAACACTTTTTTAAAAAAGAAAATTTTGGCTGGCGCTGCAGCTCACTAGGCTAATCCTTTGCCTGCGGCGCCAGCACCCCGGGTTCTAGTTCCAGTTGGGGTGCCAGGTACTAGTCCCGGTTGCTCCTCTTCCAGTCCAGCTCTCTGCTGTGGCCCGGGAGGGCAGCGGAGGATGGCCCAAGTGCTTGGGTCCTGCACCTGCATGGGAGACCAGGAGGAAGCACCTGTCTCCTGGCTCTGGATCAGCGTAGCGCCAGCTGTGGCAGCCATTTGGAGGGTGAACCAACAGAAGGAAGACCTTTCTCTCTAACTCTGCTTGTCAAAAAAAAAAAAAAAATTAATGAGATCATTCTATCAATTTCTCAATTCCTTCATAATTATGAATCCTTGCTAAAATAACACCTAGAGGGCCGGTGTTGTAGCATCATGGGTAAAGCTGCCATCTGCAATGCTCACATCCCATATAGGTGCCAGTTCGAGTCCTGGCTGCTCCACTTCCATTCCAGCTCCCTGATAATGCATCTGGGAAAGCACCAGAAGATGGCCAAAGCGCTTAGACCCCTGCACCTACATGAAAGAATCAGAAAAAGCTCCTGGCTCCTTCTTAGCTTCAAACCAGCCCAGCTGAAGCCATTCATTTGGAGAATGAACCAGCAGATGGAAAATCGAACTCTCTCTGTAAACTCTGCCTTTCAAATAAATAAATCTTTTAAAAATTTATACTTAGTTATGCACAATCTAAAAACCATAAATTGCGCTAAGCAACTAGACTGCACTGTTTATCTGTATCAGGTTTACAAAAAATTACAATCCAGAACCTCCTTCCTAGGTTCTTTTATACTTCATCTTAGCCAAAAGGCTGAGAAGCAATCCTAGGTTCTTTTTAATTGACTGCCTTTATAGGCCAAAAGAATTCATAGTGTTAAAATAACACTGATGGGACTGGCATTGTTTAGTGGATAAAACTGCTGCCTGCAACACCAGCATCCCACACGGGTACCAACTAGTGTCCTGGCTGCTCCACTTCGGATCCAACTCCCTGCTAATGGCCTGGAAAAAGCAGTGAACACCGACCAAGTGTTTGAGCCCCTGCAAACCGCATTAAGACCCCAGATGAAGCTCCTAGCTTCAGCCTGGTCCGGCCCTGGCTGGTGCAGTCATTTGGGGAGTTAACCAGCAGATGGAAGATCTGTCTCTCAGTAACTTTCAAACAAATAAATCCTTAAAAAAAAATACAATGATTTAATTCCACTTCATTTTCCTAACATCAGTTTCACAGAAATTCCAAATTATCAAAATGACAAAGAAATCCCCAAACAAGGACCCAAGGACACTTACTTGTAAAGATATTGATCCACTGTCTTTAGTTTTACTTAGGAAGCTAGAGATGGATAAATTCAAGTCAATGCTGCTATTATCAGCAGTGGACCCAGTGCCTGAATCAGTATCATTTTCCTTTTGATTCTCTGATTCTGGTGGCAGCATGCCTTCAGGTTTTGGTAAAGCACCTATTTCTCCTTTAGTTTCTGCTTCTTCAGAGTTGATGTTAATACTGGGTATTGGAACAGACACAGGTTCACTGGGTTGAGAAGCTACAGTAGTAACCTGAGGTTCTGTTTTACTTGGCATTTCACATGGGATTTCCTTTTTTTCTGTGTCTATCTGAGTAGTGGCTATGGGAGCATCCTGAGTTTCACTTCCCAAAGCCTTTTGGTCGGCATCAGTCGCTGCACTTGTGACCTCTATTTCTTCAGCACTACTTGATCCAGTAAGTTCCTCTAATTCATTTGTTCCTGGTTCCTCATTGGTCTCCGATGTGTTTTCTGAACTTTTGCTTAATTGTTCCTCATTTTTGCCTTCTTTAGATTTTTGATCTAGCTCATTAATTTCAACTGTATCTTTAACAGGAATTTCCTCAGCACCTCCAGCCTCAGAGCCCTCCGTGAGCTTATTAATTAATTTCTGACCAACTTCAACCACTTCTTCCAGACCATGACTCTGAGCTTGCTCAGCGCTGTTTTCAGCTGCCTTCTGAGCAACATCTACTGCCTCAGTTGTTCCTACGACATTGCTTATGTCACTGATTACACTGTTTTGAGTGTTGTCATCTTTTGCCAATTTCTCCTGAGTATCTTCCTTCATAAGCCCAATTTCCTTATCAACTGACTGATCATCCATCTCTTTTTCTCCAGTTTCTTGAGAAACTAAATCCACTGTTTGAATAGTAGTATCTTGAATTTCTTCAGATTTTACAAGTTTACTTTCAAATATCTGTTGCTTGTCCTGATGATCCTTTCCTTCCTCAGGATTGTATTCAGTGTTTGTTCCTAAAGTTATCATTATATTATTCTCTTTTCCTTCAGCGACTGAATTAATATCCACAGTTTCTTGGTCTTCTGCCTCACGTAAATTTTCAAGTTTTGGTCTCTTCTCCTCTCTCCCATTCTCCTTGAGAATCGCTGTTCTATCATGGAGGTCAGTGAGAGCTTCTAAATGAGCATTAACATGTTCATTAACACTCTCCATAGCCTTTTCAGGTTCAGTGGTTGTGGAGTTTTCATTAACAATTTTGCTGCTGAATTTATCTTCAGAAATTTTGTGTTCTGTTTTCTCTGAGACAGATTCCAAAATACAAGCATTTTGTGAAAGTTTATCTTCTTCAGAGCTGGCAATACTAAGGTCAGAGGAGGCACGCTTACTTGCAGGTATTGGCTAAAAAAAAATTTTATACATTTTTAGTGTTAAAGCATGATGTTGCAATGGTGACCAAAACAACATTAACATATATGATTTAATGTCTTCATTCAGGGGGCCAGCATTGTGGTGTAGTAGGTTAGGCCTCCACCCGCAACACTGGCACCCCATATGGGTGCCACTTCAAGACTCGACTGCTCTACTTCCAATCCAGCTCCCTGATGGTGCACTGGGGAAAGCAGCAGAAGATGGCCCAAGTCCTTCAGCCCCTATACCCACATGGGAGAACCAGAAAAAGCTCTAGACTCCTGGCTTCAGCCAGGCCCAACCCTGGCCATTGCAGCCATTTGGGAGGTAAACCAGTGGATGAAAGATTTCTCTCTTTTTCTAATTATGCTTTTCAAATAAAAAAAATTTTTTTTAAAAATCTTTATTCAGTAAAAGTTGCTTAATTCATAAAAATTAAAGAATTGATTATTCCTCACCTAAAAATATAACAAAAATGTATAGTATGGAGCAACAATGCTATTCATCTTAAGTTCTAAAATTAAGAGTTTTATACTGCCACTCACAAGCTAATTCTTAAATATGGGTACAACCACACTGCAAAACCCAACTCTAAATATGAACTAAGTGAGAATTTTCTTTCTAAGTACTGACCAGAGAATTTTCTGTTTCCTCATCATCATCATCCTCTTTGCCATCTTCAACTTCTTCTGTTACTTCAGCCTTGGCCTCTGCAATCAATTCTCGGATGGGTTTGTTGGAATCAACAGTAACAAATGGATGCTGTTGATTATTATAAAAAGTTTACTCAGTGACAACTGAAACACTGCTTATAAAATAAGTTTCAAACACATAAAACACACATTCTGTGGTGAAAATAAATACACATGAGTAGGAAAAATATAAAAAACTTCAGGGGCCAGCGTTGTGATATACCAGGTGAAGCTGCCACCTGCGACACTGGCACCCCATATGGGCACCAGTTGTGTCCCAGCTGCTCCACTTCCAAACCAGCTCCCTCCTAATGGCCTGGGAAGCCAGCAAAAGATGGCCCAAGAGGTTGGGCCCTTACCATGCACATGGAAGACCCAAGAAGCTCCTGGTTCCTGGCTTTCACCTGGCCAGGCCCTGGATGTTGCAGCCATTGAGGTGTAAACAAGGGGATGGAAGCACTCACTATCTCTCTCTAACTCTGCCCTTCAAATAAATAAGTAAATCTTAAATAACTTCAGACAACATCACATCTGGAAAGGGGAGGAAGGAGATGGGGCAAAAGCAGGCACTGCCTGCAACTGATATGTGTATTTTTTTTATGAATCTGAAGTAAATTTACCAAAAATGGTAAGACTACTTGTAGACAGACAATAAGCAGACATATTTTCTGTATGTTATAAAATTTTACAATTAGAAATCTACATTAAAATTTGAAGTTTCAAATTAGTACATTATTAGTTCTTAAAAAGTAACTATAAAAATCCTTTCAAAGCCACAATCAAAATATCACAAAAAGCTTTCCACTGTTAAGTGTCTACAAATATTTTTTAAAGCATGGTTTTATATTCTAAGAAGAGATTTTATTCCTCTCCATGTATACAACACTTAAGTGTCTTCACAGACTAGACTTCAAATCTGTCAGTAATGAAATAATAACAGTTATATAAGGCATAGACTTGTTGCACACAGCTATGCAATTTTTCATGTATTTTCCCCCAGATAAAAAGATTAATTGACAACACTATAATGCAGGAGTTACTGAACAACTCAGCCCAACAGTGATAGCCTCAGGATTTGTCATTCTATTTGTCTATCTGTAATATTGTTTGACAAATTCAATATTACCAATAAAATTAAACTGTTTACAAACCAGAATTTATACAAACATCATTTTCTAAAAATAAAAAACATTTACCATAAAAGACTAAAAATTAGTTCATGACCCCTGCTCCTTATTTTCTAGTAACTACAGACATAGAGAAGCAAATAACAAAATGAACACAATTAAACTGATTCAAAAAATCACAAAAGTGGACTGGCGTTGTGATACAGTGGATAAAGCCACCACCTGCAACACAGGTATCCCAAATGGGCACAGGTTCAAGTCCAGGATGCTCCACTTCCATTTCAGCTCCCTGCTAATGTGCCTGTGAAAGCAGCAGAGGATAGCCCAAGAGTTTGGGCCCCTGCACCCACGTAGGAGACCTGAGGAAGATCCTGGCTCCGGTTCAGCTCAGCTCTAGCCGTTATGACCATTTTGGGAGTGAACCAGCAGATAGAAGACCTTTCTCTCTGTCTTTCTCTCTTTCTCTGTAACTCTCTCTCTCAAATAAAAAATAAATAAAAATCTTAAAAAAAAAAAAAAAAAAACACACAAAAGGAATGAATTACAAGCTAAATTCCTGTTAGTAATGGCAACACATTCCTAAAGAAAATGTTAAGTGCTACCATGGTGTTTGACTTCCCATAGGAAAATTCAAACAGAGTCCACTAAATGAATCCAAAAATGTGTTAAGAGGCCGGTGCTGTGGCGCAGTGGGCTAAGCCTCTGCCTGCAGTGCTGAAATCTCACATGGGTGCTGGTTCACATACCGGTGCACCTCTTCCTATCCAGCTCTCTGCTATGGCCTGGGAAAGCAGTGGAAGATGGCCCAAGTGGTTGGGCCCCTGCACCTGCATGGGAGACCCAGAAGAGGCTCCTGGCTCCTGGTTTCGAATCGGCTCAGCTCCGGCCATTGCAGCCATCTGGAGAGTGAACCAGCAGATGGAAGACCTTTCTCTGTCTATAACTCTACCTCTCAAATAAATAAATCAAATCTTTAAAAATAAAATAAAATAAAATAAAATGCTGTTAAAATGATTGTATAATTTCTTGCTGTTATACTATTCTTATCTTACCTGTAGAAGCTGAGATGTATTCCACCTAGCATCCACATTCTTTTCCAAGCATTTTTTAAGAAAGTCCTTAAAATCTGAAGACCTTCAAAATAAATTTTAATGACAACATTCTATTCCTTGTTATTAAAATCAAACAAAACTCCTTGATTAAGTTATAATATGTAAGTGTATTGGCATAAAAAACAAGTTAATGAGAATATTAAGATTTTATACAACTTACTCATCTGTAAATACATACTACACATATGTAAGCAGGTACAGTCCCTGAGATAGAACCATTTATTCACAAGTATATCAAAATCATAAAAATTCTATTTTTACTAAATTCCACCACAATATATTAGCCACAAATACACTTCATTACAGTAAAGGAAATATTTTTTCATACAGAACTCAGATTACTCGTATTTTCAAATATATGGGAAAAGTTAGTTATAACCATATGGTCCCCATGTGTTGACAATAATACACCAAACTTCAGTTTTCTAATTTATACAGATTTTGCACCATGTACTAAAATTTAAATACCCCTAGAAAACTGGAAGAATAAAATAAGTGTTGCTTTTTTAAAAAATATATCTTTTTATTTATTTGAGAAGTAGAGCTACAGAGAGAGAGAGGAAGAGACAGAGAGAAAGGTCTTCCATATGCTGGTTCACTCCCCAAATGGCCACAACGGCCAGAGCTGGACCAGGAGCCAGGAGCTTCTTTCAGGTTTCCCACATGGGTTCAGGGCCCCAAGCACTGGGGCCACCTTCCACTGCTTTCCCAGATTAAGGGCAGAGAGCTAGAACAGAAGCCGAGACACAAACTCCAGCGCTCATATGGGATGCTGGTGCCAGAGGAGGAGGCTTAGCCTACTGTGCCACAGCACTGGCTCCCACGCATTGCTTCTTAAAAAGCTTTGTTTAGGGGCCAGCAATGTGGTACAAGCAGGGTTAAGCTGCTGCCACTTGAGATTTCAGTATTCCCTAGTGAAGTGCCAGTGAGGTCCCAGCTGCTATGCCTTCAATCAGCTCGCCTCATGTGCCTGAGAAGACTGAAGATTGCCCAAGTACTTGGGTTCCTGCCACTGATTTGGGAGATCCAGATGGAGTTCCTGGCTTTGGCCTGATCCAGCCCTGGCTGCTGTGCCCACTTGGAGAGTAAACCAGCAGGCAGAAAAATTTCTCTCACTCTCTCTCTCCTACCCTCTTCTGTTGCTTTGCCTTTCAAATAAATAAATGCTAAAAATAAATAAATAAAAGGTTTTTTTAGAATAGTTTACCATCTCGATGGCTGTGCCAATGTAGGAGGCTCCGATTTTGCAATTTTTAGCAGCACTCTCATTGGATTTAATTCATGATGAGGTGGTTCTATCTCAGCCATTTCTATTAAAGTGATGCCCAGGGACCAGACATCAGCTTTGTAGTCATAGGGTCTGTCCTTAGATGTTTCACACATGACTACTTCAGGAGCCATCCTATAAAGACAGAGAATTGAAAATTATTTAACTTAATAAGTTACTATAAAACACATAGTATAATGAATTATGTGGACAAAATTAATAAGTAATAATTGCTGACATTACTGTGAATTCATAAAACTGAATACATACCAATATGGTGTGCCAATAAAAGAGTCTCTTCTTTGAATTGTCCTTGTGTTTTTAGCTGATACTCCAAAATCCGCTTGAAATAAGTAATTATAAAAAAGCATTAATGATAGTTAAGCATAGTTCACGGTACTGTAGGAGCATTACAAAAGCATTTTAAGTCTTAAATAAGCACAATAGAAAAAGAAAGGACTGCTCTACTACCGAAATCTTGACCACCCTCTCTACCACCTTCCAAAAAACTGTTAAAGATCTCACCAGCAATTTTTTTAGTATCACCATTTTTATAAATCTGCAGATGACAAATTTTCAGAATTGAAAAAAAAAATAGTGACTTTAAAATAGACCAGTCTATCCACTTCAAAACAAATGCCAAGTAGTGCTACATGTTGCAATTAAGTTAACATTTTTTCTATTGGGTAAAAACAAATTATACCAAAGTTATCTTTATGGTGGCATATGGCTTGCCAATTTCCTATACAATAACAATACAAAGTAAAATATTAAGAACTTTGTCTTCAGATTTAAATTATAAAGAACAGCAACAACATCATAGTTTTATCAGTTGTTAACATCACATTTTTATTTTTTTCTTTCTTTATTTATTTGAAAAGCAGAGAGCGGCCAGCAACATGGCACAGTAGTTAAGCTGCTACCTGCTACACCAGCATCCCATGTGAGCACTGATTAGAGTCCCAGCTGCTTCACTTCCAATCCAGCTCCTTGCTAACAAACCAGGAAAGCAACACAAAACGGAACAAGTATATGGGTTCCTGTCACCCATGTGGAAGAACCAGATAGAATTCTAGGCTCCTGGCTTCTAGCAGACCCAACCCTGGCCGTTGTGGCCATTCAGAGAGTGAACCAACGGAAGGAAGATCTCATTCTCTCTGTCTCTTCCTCTCTTTATAACTCTGCCTTTCAAACAAATAAATCTTTTTTAAAAAGAAAAGAAAGACAAAGACAGACAAGCAGAGATCTCATATCTGCCAGTTCATTCTACAAATGCTCATAAATTCAGGGCCTGTTAAAGCCAGGAACCCAATCCCAGTTTCCCACATGGGTGGCAGAGACCCAAAGACTTCACCCATCATCTTCTGCTTCCAGAGGTACAGAGTGGCAGGAAGCTGGAACTGTAAACAGAGCCAGAACTCAAACCCAGGCACTCCAATACAGAATGCAAGTGTCCCGAACAGCACCAAACACCCACCTCAACCCCTACTTTTATTTATCTGAAAGCGCAACAGACAGAAAAGATAAAAGGAGAAAGATCTTCCATCTCCTGGTTCACTCCCCAAATTCCCACAACTCAAGCTGAACCAGGCAGAAGCCAGGAGCTCCTTCCAGGTCTCCCATGTGGGTGGCAGGGACTCAGGACTTGTTCCATTATCCGCTGCCTCCCAGGCGAATTGGTAGAAAGCTGGATCTGAGGCAGAGGTGGGACTTGATACCAAGTTTTTTTTTTTTTTTTTTTTTTGACAGGCAGAGTGGATAGTGAGAGAGAGAGACAGAGAGAAAGGTCTTCCTTTTGCCGTTGGTTCACCCTTCAATGGCCGCCACAGCTGGTGAGCTGTGGCCGGCGCACCGCGCTGATCTGAAGGCCAGGTGCTTCTCCTGGTCTCCCATGGGGTGCAGGGCCCAAGGACTTGGGCCATCCTCCACTGCCTTCCCGGGCCACAGCAGAGAGCTGGCCTGGAAGAGGGGCAACTGGGACAGAATCTGGCGCCCTGACCGGGACTAGAACCCGGTGTGCCGGCGCCACAAGGCGGAAGATAAGCCTTTTGAGCCGCGGTGCCGGCCCCAAGCATTTTGACGTGGATGTGGGCACCCCAACCAGCATCCTACCCTGCTACACTAGAATATCTGCCCCTCTCCCCACACACACACACACACACACACACACACACCTGGTAGGCTCTGAGCTCAGATAACCATTAGAAAAACAAGTCATTATCATGAAGTTAAATAAAAAGAATAAAGTATTTTTTTCTTTTTCTATACAGACTATACTTTTAAGTAATTATTTAAGTACTGTCCTATAAAATTACTAATTCTATAATAAATGAAAACAAATAATTGGAGATTACACCAAAATTATTGAAGATAATGAATGTAAACACAATGACAGAATTCATTTTGTAGCCTCAATCAAAGAAGTTATCTAGGTGTTACACATTATTAAAAAAGCAGAAAGCAGATACTGTATGCCATGCAATGAAACAAAGCAAAGCCACCTATGGTACCAAAGGATCATCTATTTGTATGTGCAAATATAAAACTAACTCATTTCCAATCTAAAGAGCATAGAGAAACAGAGAGCCAGCCAGAGAAAAGGAGTGAGCTCCCAACTGCTGGTTCACTCCATAAACGCCTGCAATGTCTAGGGTGGCAGAGACTCAATTACTTGAGCTGTCACCACTGTTTCCCAGGGTGTGTACTAGCAGGAAGCTGGAGTCAAGGCTGCAGCTAGTCCTCTAACCCAGGTACTCTGATGTGGAACACCAGCATCTTACAAACAGCATCTTAGCCTCTAGGCTAGACATTCGCCCCATGTATTCTTTTCAAACTGAAGGTTACTTTTTCAGTTCCGCCAAATTATCATATCAGTAAAATATAGGATAAAACTAAACATAGGAGGAAAACCCCACTGGACATGAATTTTGGAAATAAAGATAAAACTGACTTTGCATGTTTACACGCTATATATTACATTCTAAAGTAAAATATCCATAAGCATTGTCTATATACAAAAATGTAAAACATTTTAACCAGTCTTCAAAAAGCTTGACACTTTTTATTTATTTATTTATTTATTTGAAAGTCAGAATTGCACAGAGAGAGGGACAGACAGAGAGAAAGAGACATCTTCCATCCCTCTGGTTCACTTCCTAAATGGCCACAATGGCCAGGGCTGAGAAAGGCTGAAGCCAGGAGGCAGAAGCTTCATCTGGGCCTCCCACATGGGTGCAGGAACCCAAGCACTTGGACCATCTTCCACTACTTTCCCAGACACATTGTCAGGGAGCTGATCTGGAAGTAGAGCTGCTGGACTCAAACCAGTGTTCATATGGCACGCTGGCAGAGCAGGAGGCATCTTAACCTACTGTGCCACAGCACCGGCCCCCAAATGTTTTCATTTTGAAAATGGAAACCCATCCTTTCTTATCTTCCTTTTATAGTGTCTTTAGGGGCCAGTGCTGCGACGTAGAAGGTAAAGTTGCTGCCTACAGTGCCAGCAGCCCAAGTGTGCGCCAGTTCGAGTCCCGGCTGCTGCTCCACTTCCCATCCAGCTCCCTACTATGGCCTGAGAAAGCAGTGGAGGATGGCCCATGTTCTTGGGCTCTTGCACCCATGTGGGAGTCCCAGAATAAACTCCTGGCTCCTGGCTTCAAATAGGGGCAGCTCTACCCATTTCAGCCACCAGGAGAGTGAACCAGCAGATAGAAGACACCCCCCTCACCCGCCTCTGCCTTTCAAATAAATAAATAAATAAATATTTTGTAAAAAAAAAAACTAAAGTATCTTTAGATTAGGTGTCTATAAGTTAATGACTATTAATCTAAGCTGTGCTTTAAAAACTTGGATGGACAGGAAAATGCAAATCAAAACCACAATGGGGGGGGGGGAACAACCACAATGAGGTATCACCTCACCTCTGTCAGAATGGCTAAAAGCCACAGCAAAGAAAAAAACGAATTCAGGCAAGGGAGAGTATGTGGAGAAAGGGGAACTCTTATACAACTGCTGGTGGAAATATAAATTAGTACAGCCACTATAGAAAACAGAGTGGCGATTTCTTTAAAAATCAGAAATAGACTTGTCATATGATCCAGCAATCCCATTATTGTGATTTTATAAGAGATACCTGCACCATCATGTTTACAGAAGTACTGTTCATAATAGTCAAAACAGGGAATCAACCAAGGTGTCCATCATCCAATGAATGGATAAATGTGTGTGTATATATATGTGAATATATACACACACAGACATCCACACACATATATATATAAAACACATTATTCAGCTATAAAAAAGAATTAAATTCTATCATTTGCATCAAAATGGATGCAAGTGGAAGGCATCACGTTGCATGAAATAAGTCAGACACAGAAAGCAAATACTGCATGCTCTCCCTTACATATAAGAGCTAAAATTAAAAAAAGAAATCAAGGAAGGAAGGAAGGAAGGAATAAATGCCAGTATGTATCAGTATTGCTGTGAATATAGTCCTGTCAAACTTTGTTTTATATCTTTGTCAAACCAATAGTTTAGAATGATATACTACTATAGGGGACAGCGCAGTGGGTTGGAGCCCTGGCCTGCAGCACTGGCATCCCATATGGGTGCAAGCTGGAGTCCTGGCTTCTCCACTTCTGATCCAGCTCCCTGCTGGTGCACCTGGGAAGGCAGCGGAGGATGGCCCAAGTCCTTGGGCCCCTGCATCCACGTGGGAGACCCCGAGGAGGCTCTTAGCTCCTGGTTCCAGATCAGCTCAGCTCCAGCCATTGCAGCCATTTGGGGAATGAACAAGCAGATGGAGGACTTTCATCTCTTTCTCTCTCCCTGTCTCTCTCTGACTGTAACTCTCTAACTCTTCTTTCAAATAAAGTAAGTAAATAAATCTTTAAAAACAAATAAAAATTATATACTACTATAGTTTTAATGATGCATGATTATTTTAAAATTTACTGTATATGAGTGAAAGACACTTATTTGATTATTATTTTATAGCCCTTATATATATATATATATATATTCCTGCTAAACCACAGAGAGTTTTCTTGTTTTTTGTTTTTTACTATTTACTTGTTCAACTCTTTATTTAGCAGAACATTAAATCTTTGACTATAATGTAAATTAAAAATGTTACCTCAAAAATTAAGGCAGAAAGAAAGTGAATGGAACAGAAGAAAGAGAAACAGCCAGACAGAGGGAAGGAAGGAGGGAAGGAAGAAGAAAAAGGAGGAAAATAAGACTCATTATAATCTCAGAATTGTATCTATAACTACATTGAATCTGCTCTCTTTGTACTAATATCACATTAGCATGAGAACTGTGTGATTAGGCATTTGCTATGACCCTGAGAAATACAACATATTAATAAATTCCTTCAAAAAATATGAAACAGGTATGCTGAAGAAAGGCTGAATAAAATGATTGCGGGCATGACAAAAGATAAATTACATGAAAAAAAAAAAGCTATCCCATTTAAAAAATGAAAAAAAATGAAATACTTGGGTGTAATAATTCTCCATGTTTCACACATTTGAGTAGTATTAAAACATTAAACACATTGATACAGGGCAAAATTTCAGAGCATAAATCAAATGTTTTAAATGAATAACTTACCTAATTTAATATCCCCATCTAAAGTAAAAAGTATGTTGCCAGCTTTTAGATCTCTGTGGATGATTTTATTATCGTGTAAGTAGTTCAATGCCTCCAAAGTTTGTTTGCAAACAACTTGTATTTGGGACTCAGTTAATGGTCTCTCAAGTTCTACAAGGAGAAGGTAAACAAATATGCATTTTTATACAGAAAAACATATCAGCAGTCTATTTACCTTTCTGTATGTACCATTACTCAAGGATCACATAGAGTGAATTTATTTAGAAGAACTAAATATCTTCAAAGGCTTCTTTCCTGACATAGAATATTTAATGTTTCATTTTAGAATTTTATTACAATTATTCAATATAAAAATACAATTAAGTTGAATGTTTAATTTACTGAACTTCACTCAACAATCACATAAGCATATAAATATATGGAATTCTTTTATTTTTATTAAATATAATGTAAGATACAAACATAAAGAAACAAAAAGGTATTTACCAAGCATCACAGCATCTACTGCTCCACCTGCACAAAATTCAATGAGGATCTGCATGCAAATAAAAAAGCATGTGTCTAAAACTATATTGAGTTTCAGTAGTTTTTTCTTCAATTTAGCAAAAAAGATACAATAGCTATCAAATAACACAGATTATGGAAATAATATCGTGTTTAACATTAAAATTTTTATGTCCAAGGAGCTACAAGTCTTAAATGATACACATTTGAGATAGCACAAAGAGAACACATCATGGAAGTATGTGCATTTTTAGTTAATGACCATTTTTAACATTTCTGATTCTTTAAAATTACCAGACACAAAATTTCTATTCAGTACAATATTATATGTCCATTCTGTGATCATTGATTTTATTGCTCTCATTGTTAAACTATCGTGATGTAAGTGATCAAATATATTTTTATTAATAGGAATAAATCCTGAAATACATAGAGACTTATTTTAACAAAAAAGAAAAAAATACACACACACACAAGCTTCGAACCTTTGCCCAATTATCACTCACCTGTCCACCCCAGCAAGATAGAATAACACCATGTACCTTTCCCTCTTAATCTTTATCATGGGTGTAATTGTGTATTTATTCTAATTCTCTAATTAACATCTATAGTATCTTCCACTAAAATATGCCTTATAGTTGTTCAGCTTTTTTTTTTTTTTTGCAATAGCCTTGACTAAAGATCTTAACCATTTATTAAACTGTCTAGGAGTTCATTTTCATTATAATCTTTGGAAATATTCTGCTAGACCCCTGAACTATTTCAGAAGGTATCACCCTATGAATAACGTCACATAATTTTTTAAAGTAACATTTAAACAAGTTGTGTAGCTCCCTGCATTTTTTCCTCTAAGCATTTTATTTGTCACAAGTGATTGTCAACTAGCAATTACTTTCAAATTCATTACATTATTTGAAATGTAATTTGGTAGGTGGATCCTTATCCATTCTATATGTAAGTAAACACTCACAAAGGTAAAGTAATTTATCCAAGCTCCTAACTGGCAATTCTAGAGTGAAAAAATATATGCTTTTGATTTCCGGTCAAGTATTCCTTATACTTCTTAACTCTCTCTCCTAACACTATGCTTCTTCCTTCAACCAGAAAATTTAAAACTCCATTTTAAAGAGCCCTCTGATTAAACTAGGTTGAGACAAAGTAATTAATTATAATGAATATTAACATTTTATTTCTGTATATATTTGTGCCTGTTTCTAAATATGAAGAAAATTTATACATATAGATTTAGCTACTATATCTACCATCATTCACTAAAGTTCAGACTGACCATATATTACAAACAGAATGGAATATTATAAATGATTTCTAGAAAAACAAAGTTTAAATGCTTAGATTTTAATCAAACAATGATATATAATTTCATATTTTAGGAAAATATAGTTAACCAAATTCCTCCATCTGGATCCAATAACAATTATACTAAAAATGATACAACTTGAAACAAATTGGAACATCTGTTGCAGCTAAATGTAATCACATTGTAATAACTTTCTCAGCAGAACAACTCTTATTCAAGTAACTTAAGTAACTAAATAGAAAAGGTAACAGATAAAACAGACCTTTCACAACCTCTTTAAGACAATGAACACATTTTGGCTACTCCTAAAGATCAACAGAAAATACTCACCCAAAGATTGTTTTCATAATAGAATGCATCCAGAAGTTTGACTATATTTGGGTGGTCACAAGATGCTAGTATATCAATCTCAACCATATAATCTTCAAGTTCTTCTTCAGACTTGGTGTCAATCACCTTTGCAGCAGCTAAAACATTAGTCTCTTTATTCTGGGCCTAAAACAAAAGAATCACATTTAAAACACAGGCTTTTTTAAAATTTAATTTTTGGGGCCAGCATTATGTCATAGCAGGTAAAGATGCCAACTGTGATGCCAGCATCTCATACAGGTGCTGGTTCATTTCCTACGCTCCATTTCCAATCCAGCTCCCAGCTAATGGCCTGGGAAAAGCAGCAGAAGATGGCCCAAGTGTTTGGATCCCATGCTCATGGGAGACCCAGATGAAGCTCCTGGCTCCTGGCTTCTGCCTGACCCAGCCAAGGCAGTTCTGCCATCTGGGAGGAAGCTGGTGAATAGAAGATTGATTTCTCTCTCTCTCTAATTCTTTCAAATAAATAAATAAATAGTTAAAAGTAAATTTTTTTATTTTTTAAATAGATTATTTTTTAGTTTCAGACGTACAACAAAACTGACCAAAGTGTAAGAGTTCCCAATACATCTTATGCCCACACATGCATAGCCTCCCCCACTATCAATGAGGGGTACATCTGTTATAACTGAGGAACCTACATTACATTAACACAACATTATCACAAGACATCCACAATGTACATTAGGACTCACTCTTGGTGCTTATGTTATATGATTTCAACAAATGGATAATGACACGTATCCACGCCTGTAATATTTTACAGCAGTTTCATTGTCCTAAAAATCCAGTGTTTTTACACATTCACCTCTTCCCTCTCCCTACTAACTCCTGGCAACCACTGATCTTTTGCCTGGCTCCATAGTTTTGCCTTTTCCAAAATGTTGGAATCACATAATATGGAGATTTTTCTTCCACTTACTAAAGTACAGTTAAGTTTCCTTCATGTTTTTTCATGGCTTCATAACTCTTTTTAGTACTAAATAATATTCTATCATCTAGATATAACAGTTTATCCATTCACCCACTAAAGAACATGCTGGTTGCTTCCAAGTTTTAGCAATTATGAAAAGTTGCTATAAACATGCATCTCAGGCTTCTGGGTGGACACAAATTTTCAACTGATTTAGATAAATACCAAGGAGTAAAACTGCTGAGTTGTATGGGAAAGTACGTTTTGTTTTAGATATAAGACAGTGGCAGGGCCAGCATCATGGTATAGCAAGTTAAGCCGCTGCCTGTGATGCCAGCCTCCCATGTGGGCATGAGTTCAAGAACTGGCTGCTCTACTTCTGATCCAGCTCCCTGCTAGTACACCTGGGAAAGTAGCAGAAGATGGCCCAACTATTTAGGCCCCTGCACTCATGTGGGATACCTGGGAGAAGCTCCTGGCTCCCAACTTCAGCCTGGCCCAGCCCCTACTGTTGCAGCCATCTGGGGAGTGAACCAGTGGATGGAAGCGCTCTCTTGCTTGCTCTCGAACTCGCTCGCTCTCTCCTCCTCTTTCTATAACTCTGCCTTTCAAATAAATAAAAAATAAATCTTTAAAGGAAAAAAAAAAACAAAGTGGCAAGTTGTCTTTCAAAGTAGTAGTACATTTTGCATATACACCAGCAACAAATAACAATTTCTGTTGCTTCACATCCTCACTAGCATCTGGTATTATCAGTAACAATTTTCACCAGTTTAACAGGTATGTAGTGGTATCTCATTTCGATCTGCAATTCCCTAATGACATACAACACTGAGCATCCCTGCATATACTTATTATTTGCCATCTGTGCAGCTACCTTAGTGAGGAATCTGTTCAACTATTTCACTTGGTTTTTAATTGGGTTGTTTGTTTTCTAACTGTCAAGTTTTAAGAATTCCTTGTATATTCTGGTTAACACTCCTTTATAACACACATGGTTTGCAAATATTTTTTCCCAGTCGGTACCTTCTCTTCTTATTCTCAACAAACCACTTTTAAAAGACACCTTAAACACAAATAATAACTAATGCATACTATACTCTGTGCAAAATGCCTTACATGCACAGAGGACAGCATTTGAAATCACAGACTGCAGTAGGTTAGATGGCTAGCATTCAAATTCTTTGTCACTTAGTAACTGTGTTAGATTCCTCATCAGTGAAACTTACCTATACCTCCACACAGTTGTGAGAATTAAGATAACATTTTTCAAGTGAAAAAATGCATTCAGTATTAAATTATTAAATACATATAAACTCTTAATACATTAAAATATTTAATGTATTAATGTCTGGCATATACAGTAAGAATTCAAAAACATTAGTCATAATTGTTACCATTATTTAATCCTCACATCAAATCCATGATGTATTATTATCCTTACTTGAAAGATATAAATAGAAGTTAAAAGGCTCCCCCAGGACATGTAACTAGTTAAGAGGTAAAATCATAACTCGTTAATCATTACCCTTGAAAGGTATTGCCAAGATTAAACTTTGACATAAGGATTTCCTCCAGGGGCCGGCGCTGTGGAGCAATAAGTTAATCCTCCACCTGCGGCGCCAGCATCCCATTTGAGATCAGGTTCTAGTCCCAGCTGCTCTTCTTCCAATCCAGTTCTCTGTTATAGCCTAGGAAAGCAGCAGCAGATGGCCCAAGCACTTGGGGCCCTGCACCCACACAGGAGACCCGGAAGAAGCTCCTGGCTCCTGGCTCCTGGCTTCGGATCGGCTCAGCTCTGGTCACTGTGGCCATTTGGGGAATGAGCCAGCGGATGTCTCTTCCTCTCACTATTTGTAACCCTACCTCTCAAATAAATACGTAAAATCTTAAAAAAAAAAAAAAAAAAAAAAAGATTACCTCCAGCTACTCCAGCTAAAGACACTTGAAAAACAGCAGATACAAAAAGAGCACTCTATTTTTCCCCCTTTTCTTTTTTAGAACAGAAGTCCCATACAAAAGGTACCAGGAGGAAAATAAAACAAACAAGTATTCTTTGATGGAGAGTCACATCTGAAAAAATTCTGTTCAAACAGACTTGTTAAAATAATGCTTATCTTTCTTCAGTCTCTATACATAATAAAACTAGTTTTCCACAACTGCCTCTTTGTTCAACCTAATACAAAAGCAAGCAGGTTTTGCCATCTACTTTAGATCCTCATTTCCTTATGAGCACCCGGTTACCACACAAAACTGATATCGAGGACAGGCATTTGACACATCAGTTGAGTTGACAGTTAAGACACCTGCATCCTGGAGCTACCATTGTGACACAGAGACTGAGCAACAGTGTTCACCTGCAACGCCAATATCACATACGGGTGTAGGTTTCATTCCCAGCTGCTTCACTTCTGATCCAGCTCCCTACTAATACACCTGGAAAGCAGCTGAAGACACCCCAAATTCTTGGGCACCTGCACCCATGTGGGAGACCCAGAAGAAGCTCCTGACTCCAGCCTGGCCCAGCCCTGGTCATTGTGGAAATTTGGGGTGGAACCAGCGGATGGAAGGCCTTTCTGTCTATCCCTCTCTCTGTAATTCTGGCTTTCAAATAAATCTTTTCTAAAAAGATGATGGTATCTGCAGTCTTATGTGGTGCCTGAATTTGAATCCTGCTCCAGATCTAATTCCAGCTTCTTGCTAATGCAGACTCAGAAAGAAGCAGGTGATGGCTCAAACAGTTCGGTCCCTGCCCTCTACATGGGAGACAGGACTGGATTCTTGGGTCCTGGCTTTGATCTAGCTCAGCTCCAGCCACTGTAGGCATTTGGGCAGTGGACTGACAGACAAAAGGGAGTACATGAGCAAGTTCATGTTCTCTCTCTGCCTTTCCAAAACAAGAAAACAAACAAACTTTACTATGCTTTTCTCCTGCTGTTACATCAGTTTAATTCTCGAGCCCAAACAGAACCCTAAGAGGATGAAGACCGTTTTGCCTCCCTTACACCCTTTACCAGTCTCCTTATGTTTCCATTAGTTTAGTTATTTTTCCTTGCTCTTCGTACTTTGTTTTCCTTTTTATTGCTTTTGCTTTTCAGGCCCTTTTGACTCTCTATACTTTTCCTAACATTTGAATTTTTTTTTTTTTTTTGACAGGCAGAGTTAAACAGTGAGACAGAGCGAGCAACAGAGAAAAAGGTTTTCCTTCCGCTGGTTCACCCCGCAATGGCCGCTCCTGCCGGCGCGCTGCGGCTGGCGCACCGCGGTGATCCGAAGCCAGGAGCCAGGTGCTTCTCCTGGTCTCCCATGGGGTGCAGGGCCCAAGCACTTGGGCCATCCTCCACTGCCTTCCCAGGCCACAACAGAGAGCTGGACTGGAACAGCAACAACCGGGACAGACCCCGGTGCCCCAACAGGGCCTAGAACCTGGGGTGCCGGCACTGCAGGCAGAGGATTAGCCAAGTGAGCTGTGGCGCTGGCAATGAATTTTTTAAATACATATTATCTTTAAAGAAACAGTAAAGTACTAAAAAAAAAAAAGTACATGGGAGCCTTCTCAGATCTGTTATCTAACCTTTAAGATAATGACATGAATAAACAAGTCAGATACCAACTTCTCTATGGGAAATTTCTTAAGTAAGTAATTGCTAAATTTTAACTTTCTTTGGGAAAAATAAAAGGTAAAAAGAAATACTGGCTGGCACCGTGGCTCAATAGGCTAATCCTCTGCCTTGCAGCGCCAGCACACCGGGTTCTAGTCCCAGTCAGGGAGCCGGATTCTGTCCCGGTTGCCCCTCTTCCAGGTCAGCTCTCTGTTATGGCCCGGGAGTGCAGCGGAGGATGGCCCAAGTGCTTGGGCCCTGCACCCCATGGGAGACCAGGAGAAGCACCTGGCTCCTGCCTTCAGATCAGCGCGGTGTGCCGGCCGCAGCGGCCATTGGAGGGTGACCCGACGGCAAAGGAAGACCTTTCTCTCTGTTTCTCTCTCTCACTGTCCACTCTGCCTGTCAAAAAGAAAAAGAAAAAAGAAAAAAAAAGCAATACTAATATTTAGAGTACAGAGAATATGTTTTAGATAAAAAAAAGATTTTTTTTAGACTTATCTGAAAGGCAGAGTTACAGAGAGAGGGAGAGACAGAGATCTTCCATCCGCTAGTTCACTCCCCAAATGGCTGCAATGGCCAAGGCTGTACCAGGCCTAAGAAAGGAGCCA